GTCTCACTCACCCGACTTGGCACCCTGCGACTTCTACTTATTTCCGAAGAAAAAGTCTGCCTTAAAAGGAATCCGGTTTGAGTCGATGGAAGAGGTGAAACAAAAATCGGCGGAACTCCTGAATGGTCTTACGAAAACAGACTTCCAGCACTGCCTCGAGCAATGGAAGAAACGAATGAAACGGTGTGCGAAGAGGGGAGGAGAGTATATTGAAGGGGAACATTCGGTTGTGGAATAATTTTTAAAATAAAACCATTTTTCATAAGCAGTCTCGTTCTTTAATAGCCAGACCTCGTATATATGCTATATTATAGTAAAATAATTAATTAGACCCTATATATTTTCTTTAATAATATTTGTTTAATATTGTACCAATTTCCACGGTTTTCCTATGTTTTCTCAGTTTTTCACATTTGATAAAAAAAACTCTGAAGAAAATCGAAAAACGACTTCTCTAAAATACCTTCCCAGTGAAATTTTCTTTTTGAAATATTGCTATCATTATAAGTTGGAGCGAAATTGCTGGTAGAAGAATAGTCCACAGGAAAAAAAATCGTAATATTATATAAATATATTTCATACATTTTTCCGTTTTTTTTTTCGGTTTTTCAAATTTGATGAGAAAACTCATGAGGAAATCAAAAATGACCTGTCTAAGGTACCTCCCCACACCTTTCCTTTCAAAAAAATTGCATGTAAAAATCGGAGCTAGTCCTCTGGTATAAATATTGTCTATAAAAAAAATAAAATAAACATCTTTGTAAAGCCATAGGCTTCTTCGCTCCACTCAGAATCTAAAACTAGGTACTTAAAATTAGTATAAAATAATTATAAAATTTTTTTTTCTTAGTCAATGATAATTAATATTTAATTCACCTTTTTTAAAAAATATACCTAGGTTCGTATGTATAATCAATTTTTATAATATAAGTCAAATAATTATTAATTTTTTTTTAATAGGCTTATTATTGACTTGCTGTTAATATTGTGCAATGAATGAGTTTTTTATAGTATATTTATAATAATACTTGTATAAATTACGGTTAATATATACCATTGGATAATCAATTGTTCATCTTTTAAAACCAATTTTGTACTGTCATTTTTAACATTCGAGTAAATTGACTTATTATCAAACTTAAAGAGAAGAACAATGTATGTGTTTATACGGGAGGTTTTCCTAATATTTTAATTTGTTAGTAAGATACGATCATGTTGTAGTTTATATCTATTATTCGCTTATTATACATATAAGAATATAATATATAATATATTATTTTATTAAGATCTAAAATATATTAGTAGCGCAATTACCGTAAACCTTATTGAGTTAAAATTTGTAGCCCAATTCTCGGACACCCAAAACTAGAGACAGTTTTCAAGGCAGTTCGACTAAATGTTCGTGTGATCAAGAGAGGCCTCATAGAATAGGCACTATTAACAAAATTTCAAATATTATTCTTTTATTGATCGTATCATATTATAATTCTGTAAGTCAAAAAATAGATGAAATTCCAGCACTTGAAATCGGATAAATTATTTTTCATAATTCTGTATTAGTGATATGATTTTCATGAACACTAACCAATAATAGGTGTTGTCCGTTTTCCATAATATTATTTGATTTATTTAAATTTACAAAGAATCAGAAGGCAAAATATTGTTATATTTTCGTTATCGTTGATACGTCTGTGAAACAAATATTATATTACGTCATTTGGCATTTTAATGTTGCTATTAACGCGAAACTCTATAGTACTATTATACTGGTTTATTTGTTTATTTAATATTAAATATAAAACAATCTCTTATGAATAGGCGCTCATATTTATTTAATAACTTTTATTATCTGGTTCCGCCAAATGTCTATTTAGTGTTATTAATTTATTTCTATAATAACGAACGAGAATACGATAATATTTTGTTTTAATTAGTTTTTCTGTAGTCAAATTAGATTTATAATTATAATTTTGAAATAATACGATAATCGTGTGATGCAAAGATTTTTAATCGGTGTGGCGCAATTTTTGGAATCTGTTCATCCAAGCAACCGATTGCATTGAATTTTGATAAATAAAAATAGATACGATCAATAATGATAATATCAGTATTCCATAGTAGAAGCTTAAAAATAAATTCGTTTTATTAAAAAAAATTGTTTACTTTGAAATATGTGGTTTGAAAATCGTGTGAACAGCACAGTGTACCGTGTTTAAAAAAACGTTAAAAACGACTGAACCTATGATGAGTAAGTGATGACTAATTTACAGAGAGCCGCATCGATTAATATTACTATTGTTATAAAATGAATCACTGGACTTTAGACAGTCTAACAACAATAACGCGCGATACTATACAACACTATAGTAAAATAATAATGTAGACTGAATGAGATTTATTTTCTTTTTTTATTAAAATTATTTTAGATAATGAGTGGAACAAAGAAGCTTATGGTATTAAAAAGATGTTTATTTTTTTTTTTTCTGTGGACAAGTTTTCTATTAGAGATATCTCCAATTTATTACGTGTAGCACCTTTTCTGAAAGGAAATCAGTGTGATGAGGTACTTTGAGGTCATTTTTCGATTTTCTCATAAATTATGAAAAACCGAAAATAAAAAAACGGGAAAATTTACAAAATGTTGAACGATATTTTGACCTTACGTTTTCCTGCGTTCAACTTTTCTGCCAGAAGTTTTGCTCTAATTTCAGTGATAGCAATTTTTCTAAAAGAAAATTTGTCTAGGGAGGCATTTTAGAAAGGTCGTTTTTAAATTTTCTCAGAAGTTTTCCCAGCAAATGTTAAAACCGGGAAAAAACATGGGAAAACTGGGAAAATCAATGCAACATTAAATAAATATTATTAAATAAAATATATCAATCCTATTAAATTATTTTACTATTTTATGTTATATTGATGACAATGAATCACTATCAACTGAACTTTGCTCAGAATCGTTTTTTCGTTAAATTACTTATAACAGTTGCTTCACCCGTCCCTATATCCTAGGACGTCCTTTTTTTTTTGTTTTTTTGACTCACAGCATGATACGTGAAATATTATTTTAATACAGAGTAATAAGATACTCATTATTTTGGAAAGTATTAATTTTTTTCGGAATTTGATTTATAGAACATTTAAGAAACAAGCAGCTCTACAATTTCACATTTATGTTATTTTTTGTTACCATTTTTGGGGGTAAAACGACTACCTACTTTTGATTTTCAAACGTATATTAAAAATTCCACAAACAGATGGATTATTAGTTAAAATAAATTTTAGAATTTTAGTGATTTCCATCAATCTGTTAACGAGTAATTTGACTTTTAAGTTTTGGTCGGGGGAGAGTACCTATTTGTGCATTATTAAAACGCCGATCGTCATGTCATTACACAAATGATATTTCAATATTATTTTGATAGGCCCAGAGCCAAATTTTAAATATTTACATAACATATTTTATTATAATTCGTATTTTTTTTCCAAACGCGAACCCGCAAATGTAAGTATAATTTACGAGGCCTATATCCTGATTACGCTCCGATCTAAAAAAAAAAGTAATTTCATTTCGCATTTACTGCGAAAAATATTTTGTAGAATTGCCAACTAGTAATTGAATGTCAAAAATTAGTTGGTAACCATTTGTTGGGTGACTCCAACTAATACATATTTTTTGATTTTTATCGCAACTAATAAACACTGAAAAATATATGTGCCTACAGGGATAAAAAATACTTTAAACTGGTCCAAAGTATCTTATAAAAAAAATTGCCCGTTTGGAATATTCACATAATATTTTCTATGATAATTGTTTCGGGTTCAAAATTGCCCTGCCACAAGTTATTTCGATTGATATTCGAACTATAATTATTGCGTTATAATTATACTTGACAATAAATACCTACTTATTATACGTACTTATATACAAGGATTATATGTTGTGTGCGTTAGTTGTTTATACTTTTTAAATTCAAAAACTGCAATAGGTGGTAGCCATTTTGGGAATATTTTCTACCATCATTTTCCCTGCAGGATTTCTAGTATTAGTTCATAATTGATCTGTATATTAATTTTATATAATATGCTCTTTATAATATATTTAGGTGCAGATTATCATAGATCGCAAATAGTTTAAACGTCGATTTTCATTTTGTTAGAATTTATTGTTAATTAATTAGTATGTAAAAAACAATTGCTAATCAATTTATCTTAATACATTATCTTTATTTTGTTGTAAATTTTTCAATACAATATTACAATTATACATTTTAGTTTTATTATTTTGTACTTGTACGTTTACTATTAATTGTGTACTATTATCTATTAGGTAATTTATAATAATTACACTTTTTTGTTTGGTAGTCGATCCTCAAAAGAAAAATATATTCTTAGTAGACTTCTACCAAAACAATTTTGGCCACCCCTGTTATATTATGTAGGTACACGGGATTTTGCCGGGCCGTTTTCATATTATACCCCATACAAAATAATAATAATACTACTATAACATATTTTATCCGGTTTCGTTTTATATAATATTATCGTTGCAGTTAAATAGGTATCTACAGGACACATTTTTCGTTTACAAAAACAACCTGTAGGTTTTTACCTGACTACAGGCTCTGCGACGACGGTGCAGGCAAACGACGGGGGTCGGTGGTGGCCCGCGGGCGGATAACATCTTCTATACAAATTCGTAGGCGGCAGTCGTCACGTGGGTCGGGGGGGGTTCGGTCGAGTTTCGGGATGAACCGGTGTGCCGTCGATGCTGTAACGACAAAGACGAGAAGGGTGCCCTCCCGCTTCCACCCCTCCTCCCATCCACACTACCGGTGCCGAAACAACCCGAACACGACCGAATCCGGGCGACGCGTGATTGGTACTGACGGTCGACGAAGCAACCGGTAGCTACGGCGAACGAACTGGTAGTTATCGAAAACTAGCTGAAGATTCTTGTCGAATATCGACCGTGGTCCATCGCTCGACAACCATTCCGCTGATCATCCCAAGAAAACGGTAACGTGCCGGCAGGGCAACCAAAGACCAAACACATCGCTGTCGTCTCCGCTGGTTTTACAATACGACATTCCGCCCAGTTCTCGTGAATACTTAATAACTAGTAACAATAATATTTATAAATGGGCCATTTTACTTATGTTTGAAATATTTTTAGCTGAAGATTGTTCACCAGCCCAACGGACTGCAGATCGCCAAAGTCCCATGCGGCAGCCGCCATTTCCAGTCACCGTCTCAAAGATCAAACGATAACGCGTTTCCAGAGTAGCGGCCGAAGACCAACACACCTCGCCGTCGTATCCGTTGGTGAGCATAACGCCGTTTTATTATAAAATTCCGTTCGTGCCTCTCGTGTGGTGGTTAGGTACTTACTGAGAAATTACAGTATTCAAATATTTTCTATTTCGTAACTCTGCCGGTTTTTAGATTTGGGGCGTAGCGAGAAATGTAGGTATCGGTTTATTATTATTATTAATATTATTTTGTTCGAAACCCGCAGGTGTGTGTCACGCGTACTGATACGGCATACACCCGTTGCCGATACTCGTAAACCGTCGCGTACGTTTTCAGTTGACAGAAATGTCGACGATTTTATTTTGTTTAGATTCTGAACGGAGCGTGGAATGTTTGCTTCACAATGATGCGTGTACATTTTTTTATACGTCTGTCTGAAATTTGCACAGAATAATTAATATTATGATATAAGCGTTTTCTATATAGACAATGTAAAATTGTCAAAACATTCTGGCGACTCTTGAACTATTTATAGCCGGTTTAGAATTTTTTTTTTACAACTAATTTTCGCTCGGAATTATATTTCGAAATCAATACTTTATCTTACGACATCATAATAATATCATAATATTTGTTCCTTATGTCACGTGATCGATATTGTACAATTTATAAATTCCATATAGTATAAAGTTATAGTTTAACATGTATTTTGCACAATATAATAAATGCCAAGTTTACGTTTAAGTGTTGTAGATGTTTAAGAATTGTTAAAAATTACTATGGGTGCGAATAGCGTTTTTAGCTTGAGGGGGAGGGAGAGAGCAATACTTATGAGCATAACAAAAAAAAAATACTTCCACTAAGAATAATTCATATCTAAAGATAACTTTTTTCGTTTATTATATTAAACTAAAATTAATATAATATAGTATTATAATATATAAGTAATATTATATAGTATTATATTATACGTAATATAATATGAATATAGTATTTAAAGTAGAATAACTCAAAAACTTTTCGTTTGATTACAGTACGACGATATTTTTAGAAAAATCATCTGATTCGCAATTTGCATTAAAACACGTAGGTTGTCATTTTTTGAGAAAACATATTTTGAACTATATATTGTATGATGTCTTTATTGAATTTCGGAGGGGTTAGCCCCTTATCTTTCACCCTCTGTATATGTGCCTGATTATCATCTTACTTATATTAATTAGAAAATGCATGTGGTTTGCACGCATTTCTTCTCGAAAATTTTAACGGTTTTACACTTCTGCTATTTTCTTAATTTGCCCTTTGGCAATAATATTGTGAGGGGAACTGAAAGAGATTTTTTTAAAAACATTTTTGTCGTAGATTGTTTTGTGTGAGACGCACTGTGTTTAGTTTGGTATTTGATTTATAATAATATGTCGGTGCTATAATATTACCTATATACCATGTACCTGTACATGGAGGGTCGATTTTGAAAAAAAAAATAATACGCTTTACTATAAATGTAGGAGATACAAAGACGTATACCCCAAAAAAATGTCAATTCCCATCTATAGGAGAGATACCGTATGGATAATTTATTACTATTCACTTTTTACCCAAAAACCATAAATTACGAAAAAAAAAAACGCACACACACACATTTATATACATTATACATAGTTACGGAATTCCGGCTCGTTTGTGTGTTTATAATATACCTGTGGAGTTTGGACCATCATATTATTACAATACCCACCTACTCCGTGTTGTTTATGTGATCAACATTAGAACCAGTTTTGTATACTATATATATTGTATATTTATATACATATGTGTGTATATATATATATTATATACGTCTAGTGTGGCGTATTATAGGGAAAAAAGGGACAAAAAAAACTTTATGTAGCCAACGTGGATATAGGTATAGATACACTCAGAAGGAGACCGTAAATGTACAATGCACATTAATATCGTAATATTATATATTATATATTAATATATATGTACATAATATTTTTTTGTGATCAAAATAGGTACCTAACCTACTACAGGTAAAATACAATGTTTTTTTTTTTTTTTTTTTTAATGATCTTATCGATTTTTTTTTCGTCCTTAACGAATATAAATAATAATACCTACGATATTATGCTGTATTGCGTGGTAGTGGAATTGAAAATTTCGAGATAGTAAATCCTAAGTTTAACATTGTTAAGCTGTTACATGCACTTGTGCAGGAAGTAGGCGTAGCCCGTACAGTATATAGGCAATAAATAATTGATTCTTTGATTAATTAAACTACTTTTCCGTTTTAATCGATCTTTTCCAGCCAAATGTAAAAAGTACCAAAGAGGCACCAGGTGAATCCCTAAGCGGGGAGGGGGAAGCGATGTCTTATCTCCCGATTATTTTTTGATTTTCCAAGCGGTATTCATATCTGGAAAACCCGAGAGAAAACGTAAGAAAAACGGGAAATTTACGAAAATAATAGTTTTTATAGAGGTCGTTTTTCGATTTTCTCCTAAGATTTCTCAGCAAATGTGAAAAACTGAGAAAACATAGGAAAACCTGGGAAATCGATACAACATTAAACAAATATTATTAAAGAAAATACATAGAGTCTATTTAATTATTTTACTATAATATGGCGTATACAAGACTTGAAATAAAAAAATTAAAATTTTACTATAATTTTTTTAAAAAAATTCAAAATAAATTTTAGAAAATTTTTGGTGGTAGAAATTTTTGTTAAAGTATGGTCTTTTATTTTTTATGTTTTTTTTTTGAAGTTTTTGCAAATGTGAGTATTACTTATTACAGTTATTTAGATATTAGTCAGGATTTTCTTTTCCGTGAGTTAATTTCATGCAATAATATTATCATATTATAGTTATGAGGTAGTTTTAATCAATTAATAATGGTAATTTATGTTGATAAACAATATTGTTTTGATTGAAAATAATATTATTTAAATTTTCAACAACTCGTAGAAAATAAAAAACCATCCTTTAACAAAATTTTCAGTTACCAAAAATGTTCTAAAAATCTATTTTACACAATGGCTATTTTGAAGTTTTTAAAAAAATTTTAGTAAAATTAAAAATTTTTTTTAAGTCCCCCTCCCCCTAAAAAAAAATATTCATATAACATAAATTGTATAGCGCTGAGGCACTTTAATTATTAAAAAAAAATGTACATCACAAATATTGAATAAAACAAAAGTTATTGTTCTTGTCAAATCCTCGTGGGACACTCTGTATATCGTTGATAAAGCATCACTATCAACTGAACTCCGTTTTTTCGTTGGCATTATTAATTGTTGCTAACAGATGTACATTAAAATACCTATAACAGTAGCTGCACCCGTCCCCATTATTCTAGGTACTCTGTGGATACAATTTTTAGACAAGACAGGAATGCTTGAAAATTGATCAAAACGTTAATTGTAAGTCATACTTTGCGGTTAAAACAAAAAACAATTTTATTTAATTTAGTAGGTATATTTTTTAAATTCTGAGTGTAGTGAAGTATGTATTGGTTTTACTAAGATGTTTATTACTATTATTATTATTTTTTTATACTGTACAAAAATTCTACCAAAAATCTTGCTCAGATCTATGGGATACTATTTCTGAAAGGGAATTTTGTCCAGATGGTACTTTTGGTTTTCAGAACATCTAGGGAAAACTAGGATAATACGTAAGAAAAACGGAAATTCTAGAAATCTAGAAAGGAGCAATAGCAAAGCATTGACTTTTCAAAACAAGTATAGGTAATATAGGTACAGGTATATTCTCTCCGAATGGTTTTTCTTTATCAATGGTTTTTCGTTGGATACAGGTATAAATTAAATAACTTTATGCAATTCTCTCCTACAACTGCCTACCTTCAATAGTGGCCGCTTCCATTTTAGTTGCACTCGCAAAATTGTAGTAACTACCAGGTTTGGTCATGGTTTAAACCTTTTTTGCTCGATAGGTTAAATTATTTGGTATTAAATCTAATATATTCTCATTTCCCTTTGACGTATTACAATGTGGTCATCTATAATCTATGTCCTATACCAGTGGTCTTCAACCTTTTTGGACTCGCGACCCACTTTTTTAGGCTTACATTTTTTGCGACCCACGTAAGCTTTGTAAAAAAGCTAAAATTCTTTAATGCTATATAGTAGTACTATTAAAACTGAATAAATAAAATTTGCATTTTAGTAGGTAGAATATTTAATTATTATTAATTGAAAATGTATCGAGTTCATACGAAAATACAAAATAATATAAAAATATGACACAAAATATTTAATGTGAACTTTGTCCTTGAGTGTTTTCACATAATAAATTCCACCTTGGCTCAATTTGACTGAGATTTCGGGGTTGCCCCCGCCGGTCCCGGACGGGCGTTGCGCGCAAACGCAACCACCCCGCGGACGGTTACCCACATCCGTTTCTGGATCATGAACCGCCCGCGGCCGGCGTCGCGTGCTTTCTCTTAGGAAAGACTTATTTCGGTCAAAGACGCTGGTACATCGTCTAGTGGCCCAGCTGCCCTAACTGCCATCTAGCCGGCTTACGCGGACTGGAAGGCTATGCGGCGTCTAATTGATGTCGGGGTAGGCGTCCCCTTAACTGTCCGCGGCTCAATTTGACTAAGCGCGACCCGTAAATCATCTTTAGTTTCAAGTCTGTTTCTTTTAGACGTCTTCAAATTTGACATAGTAGAAAACGCCTTTTCGCATAAATAAGTCGTTGGAAATATTAATAAAATTGAGATGGCTTTAATTGCTAATTCTGCGTAATTTCCCGTGCATAAGTGTGCCCGAAATATTTCTAATGAAGTTTCACAAAATATTTGTTTCAATTTGTTATTACACGATAACTCAATTAATTGATTTTCAATGTCAGTAGACATATTTACTATCATTATATCTACTGCAAATGGTTGTTCAATCCACTTGTAATTTACTCGAATATCTTCAGGAAAATATTGGTTAAATAATTTTTGTAAATTTGTCAAATATTCGTTTACTAATTCAGAAATGTCTTCAAACTTGATTGAAGAATCTTCCTCTAAAAACTCAATAACGTTGGTGAAATTATCGATATTTCCAGAATATACTCAAGCTTTTATTATACGAAGTTTTTTCTTAAATGATATATGGTTTCAAACATTTTGCAATTCTATACGAGACTAAAAACGATGCTTTTAAAGTGAAACTGATGAATATTTTTTTATGATTTTTTGATTTTTATGAAAGTTGAAAGTTAGGTTTTAATGATTCGAAATACTTTATCGATAAGACCACTGTCCTATAATATTCTTATTATTTGTTAAAACGGTGCGTAATGCTCTGCCTATAGCTAGAATACAGTGTTTCACCGACTGGAACACTAATAAAACCCCACGCCCCATACCGCCACACAAATGATATTCCACTACTCTCTTCCTGCCTAAACTTAAAAGAAAAATATCCCGTCAACGCGTTGATGAAAATTAATAATTTTAACACCAATATTTATTTCAAGTAATATTTCGTCTATTTATGGAATTTTTAATATTGGTTCACATTTTAAAAACTAAAGTTGGTATTACAACAGGATACTCCTTAAATGTTGTGAAAATTCTAAATATTTGAAAATATCTACACTTAATAATTCCAAAAATCAGAATTTCAATACATGCAAAATGTATCCAAAAAAATGGGGTGAGCACTGAGCGCGCTTAGAGAATCACTCTGTATATATTATACTAAATATGCTATGTCTCTACGGTTAAAAAAAAATTATAATACTAGAGATAAAAATTAACGGAAAAAAATTGTTTTTTGAAAAACTGGGGAAAATTGAGAAATCTTGATGGAAGTAAAAAATTTCTTTAACTTTGTTTTTTAATGAAAATAATGTTCTTTCAGGAAAATACAGTTTCAGGATTTCTTCTTTTAAAAAAATTGAAAAAAAAATCGTAGAAATTATACTTATTATTTATTTATTTATTTATTTATTTATACTTAGTTAAATAATATTATTATTAAGATAATTTTTTTTTTTTATATGTTTTCGTCATATAGATTAAAACTGGAAAAATGGGTATTCTATCACTTTTCTCGATTTTGGGAAATTTTGTCGCAGTACGTAATTTGGTCGATAAAGCTATCATTGACAATTTAGTATTCAGAGCGCACTACAAAATTACCGCGATGATATTTTTTGCGTTCTCTATGTTAGTAACAGCTAACAGTTATGTTGGTGAGTGTTTATGTATTTTTATATGAGTCTATGTCGGGTGTGTTTTTGTTAAAACTAAAAACTGGGTAGTAACTAGTTACAAAGTTACAAGTTATAAAGTTACTAAAATTAGTAATTTTGCAACCTATATGTTACTTGTAGTTTTCTTGTAACTTGAATTTAATAACCTAACCTGTATGTACCCTAATGGCTTATAGTTTTAAAACTGAATAAATGTTCAGGATTTATCTAAATTAAAATTTTTTAAGGTGAACCTATAATGTGTATGTCTGATGACGAACGTATGGATCAATATGTGACTACGTATTGCTGGGTAACTACTACATTTACATTACCAATTAAAAGTGGTCAACAAGCTATTTACCCTGGCGTAGCTAGTTACTCTGATGAATCCAAACATGACGTAAAATATCATGCATATTATCAATGGGTACCTTACATCTTAGTTTTACAAGGACTGATGTTCTATTCACCACATTGGATTTGGAAAATTTTGGAAGGCAGAAAAATTGGTTTGATCACAGAAGGTATACGTGGCAATATTTTGGGTCGATCAGAAGAAAAAATGTATGTCAAAAACCTATTAGTCAAATACCTCATCTGTAAACTAAATATGCACAATATTTACGCTTTTGGATACTTTTTCTGCGAGGTAAATAATTATTAATATATTAATATCTCTCAAAACGTTTATAGTCAAATTTAATACAAATTATTTCATTTCATTTTAGGTGTTAAATTTTGTCAACGTTATCGGAAATATATTCCTAATAGATTGGTTTTTGGGAGGAGAATTTTTAACGTATGGTCTCAAAGTTCTAGAATTCAGTCAGATGGAACAAGAAAACCGTACTGATCCAATGGTTGCCATATTTCCAAAAATGACTAAATGTACATTCCATAAGTATGGTCCATCTGGAACAATTCAGAGTCGCGATTACCTTTGCTTGTTGGCAGTAAACAATTTGAACGAAAAAATCTACATTGGCTTGTGGTTTTGGCTTCTTATACTAGCAGTCTTTTCCGGTTTGATACTTCTATACAGTATGGCGTTGTGTATGATGCCTAAGTTCCGAAAATTAATTTTGCGTCGTCGTTTTAAGTTTGGTTCAAATAAATTGGTTTCGAAACTTATAGATAGATTTCAGGTAAATTTCATCATTTAATTAAAATAAAACAAATGTATACAAAATATTATTATGCTACCTAATAAAATGGAATAATGTATTATTGTTTACAATAAAATATTTGAAAAATCTTTACAGTTATTAGATTATTCAATTACTTAAATTATTGTACCTATACTTTTTTAAAACGTACCTATTTCTCTAACAATATGTTTAGATGATAAATAGTTTTGTAGTAAATTGAAAAACTATTTTAAAATGTACATGTTTCAGATAGGAGACTTTTTGGTTGTTCATTTTCTTGGACAAAACTTAGACAATATCAATTTCAATGATGTTATGACCGAACTTTGTTGTTCTCTGCATATGATAGATGAACCCTTAAATGAATCACCTTCAAATTCAATACTCTTCGATACAGGCAATGTAAATGAACCAATTAATGTTCAAGCACAAGTGTAAAACTCATAAATTTCCATACAAGTTTTTTTTTCCTAATAACTATTTAAACACATTTTACGTTTACTTATATGTATATATAATATACAATTATTCAGTCATTTAAATGCATTTAGAATCATTTTAACTAAATATTTAATTATAACAATAATTTTTTTTTTAAAACCATTTTATTTTATAATTTTTTCATTTAAACACATTATAAGAATCATTGTTATTACTATGGTTAAATTTAATTTTTAAGTTAATTGCATTATATAATTTCCTATTATGTATGATTGTAATTAATATATTATAATAACCATTTACCAATATACCTACTGTCAAATATAATTTCAACTAATCTATTTTATATGTCACACATAACTCTTTGGTGTGCTTTTGTGTACCTATATGTTTTGTATCTTGTTATGGTATTGTGTGTGTTTGTTGTTATGGTATGTTATATTATGTAAGGTTAGCTTCTATCAGAGATTTATTGATTTTTATTATTATTTTTTTAATTTGCACTACCATAGTATGTGTACATAGGTATTTTTGCCAAACATAAAAATAAAAATGATTAAATAAGTAATTATAACATAGATAGGTGTACTAACAACAAATAGGCAGTGTTGTTAAAGTTCCTTTTAAAAACGTATTCATTCCCGTTCCTTGTTCCTATTGTAAAAAGGAACTTGCTCCCATTCTTCGTTCCTTAAAAAAGGAAGCAGGTCCTGTAAGCGTTTAAACAAATATTTTCCTGATGTGCTGTTAATTCTTTAGCCTTATCACTCAACTTCAACTGGTAAAACCTGGATATTGCATCAAGACACAAAAAATATTTATTGCTAGCAATGCAATCATACTTTGTATCACTGACAACCAAAAAGCCTCTTTTATAGTAATATTATTTAATTTTCTATAATCTAATACCATCCTATATTGAGTAGGACTAGATCGGTCACTTCGGCGATTGAAAATAAGCAATGGCCCCAGTAAATACCTAGAAATGGTAAATATAATTTTGAAGATTTTATTCGTAAACATAATAAGGAGCAACATTTTTGATTAAATATTAAATTAGTTAATCACAATTTTATCTGCAATTATTTTAAAGATACCTACAATTTAGTCCATTCTCCATTTCGAAATAAATAAAGGTATTGCACGAATTACCAGCAAAAAATTTAAAAAAGAGCTGATATTGGGGATGGGAGCTGCCACTATTGTAGATAAGAAGTTGGGAAGGTAGAATACATAAGGTTATTTCATTTATATCTGTAAGCATCGATATACTATTGCTTAACAAAAGACGATTCCGAGCGCAGTTCGGTAATACATAATTTGAATTGTAATTTTTTTTGCGATTTCTATTTAAATTTGATTTCAAAACGCTTAATAAAAAAAAAAAAAAAGTCGTCTGATGATTTTCAAAATTTTACCACGTCTAGGAAAGTCCAATATAGGTATTATCACCAAGTTTCAAGTCTCTACGTGTATTTATAACTGAATTACAGCAAAAAAACTCCCAAAAGTTAAAATTCTTTAAAAGCTTAAAAGTGGCTCAAAAGTTTTGGCAATGATACCGTAAAAATTAAATCAAAAAGCAATAAAAAAGGGATCTTGTGATTTTTCGATTTAATCATTTTATTCCGATAGAAACGTCGTCCTTGTTTTTATAAAACAATGAAATCGTGAAATTGTGTGTTTTCCTATGTTTTTCCCACTTAAGTACTTTAATAATATTTGTTTAATATTGTAACTAATTTCCCGTTTTTCCTACGTTTTTTCCCGGATTATCACATTTACTAAGAAAACTCTAGGAAAAATTGAAAAGTAACTTCCCTAAAGGACCTTTTTAATCAGATTTCCTTTCATAAAAAATGCTTTCATTTTAAATAGGAGCAAAACTGTTGGTAGATAAGTTGTACACAGAAAAAAAAGACCACAATATTTTTTTACTAATACTTACATTTCGTACATTTTCCGTTTTTCCGACATTTTATCCCGGTTTTTCTCAACTATTATGAAAACCTATTGAAAAATCACAAAAATGACATCCTTTAACTATTGAGGTAAAATTTTCTTTCAGAAAGTAAGCTACACTTGAAACATGGAAGCAAGATTTCTGGTAGAAAAGTTTGCATAACAAATCAAGAGGTATTTTGTTTATTAAAATCGTCCAAGCGAGTAATGACTAGGTCTTTAGTTACACTTAAAATGCATTTGTTTTTTCCTTTTTTAAGTAAAAGAGGAAAAATGTGCAAACAATCTCTGTTCGAAACCTGGGTTTGAACCCACGATCCTTAGTTTAGCAATACGTACTCATAACCATTCAACTACAACAAACATATAAAGACTACGCAGAGTTATTTAACATAAACATGAATATCTGCATAATATCTAAATTTCAAAAAGTAATAATTTCGAAACTTAGATACTCCACTCAATTCCGACTTCACCATCCTTCTTAAATCGGCAATAAGCATATGTTCGAAAAAAAAAAATTGAAAGATTAGATTTGTTCCACATAATCTTTTACTCAAACAATTTTCATCAAAATTCTTTTATAAAAACAAATACTACATTAAACTCGATTTTTTTTTTTATTATACAGTTAGACTCTTAATGAACCTCCTGTTAAATTTTCAAGCATTTCTGGTAAGTCTAACAATTTTTCCACAGAGTACCCACCGAATAAAAAGTACGTACAAAACTCGCAAAATTGAAATGTCTACAAATAGTTTAAAAATGGTTTAAATTTTTTTTTAATTTTACCGCGTCTAGAAAAGGCAAATATAAGTTTTCAGTCCTATTTCAAGTCTCTACGAATATTTTTAACTGAATTACAATAAATAACAAAATTGATACAATAATAAAAGCATTAATTTAGTACCTTTCCCCTTTCCTATTTTTATTACGTTTTATCTTGATTTTTCCTAGATACTATGAAAACCCCTTGGAAAATCAAAAAATGACCTCCCAAAAGTACCATCTGGACCATATTTCCTTTCTTAAATGGTGACGCGCGTAAATATCGAAGCAAGATTTCTAGTCGAATTTTTGTACACATTTAAAAAAAAAAATGAACATTACAGTAAAACCAAAATATTCTTCGTTCCATTCAGAATCTAAAATGTATTTCTTGTTGGTTTACATTAAAATTGTGAGTACTCTATGGTTCGACGTTCGACATTATCACCTTATCACTATCTCGTGTAACTATCCTTCAACTACATAAACTTAGTTTTAGTGTATATGGTCGATGTAACGTAACTATCACTCAATCGTTATCACAATCCTGGACTAACACAGACTGGTGTTTTTTTTTTTATTATCTGTGGTTGTGAATTAGTATCTATATCCGTGGTTGTGACCATGGTAGATAAATATTAAATCGTTGTGATGCCGTGCCGGTGTGCCGAACAGCGCGTCGTCGATCGGCAGACATTTGTTAGGTTAGAATACAATATTATTTCATTCCGCTTTCTACGGTTCGTTCGGCAAAGGAATAAACCGTCAATTTGTGTTTGGACTGTTGTACCTGAACGTACAACGAAGCTAATTTGTTTGTTCATTTTTCAAACCAAATTTTTCTCATTTAAATAAAAATTCTAAAACATTAAAAATGGTAAGTATAATTATTTATCAACTAGTTAAATAATGTCCGTAGATTTCACTGTGGACTTTTTGGTGTATACTCTGCCAATGTTTTTGATCCAAAACAGTTTACTGTTAGGTTAGGTTAAGTGTTTAACCGAATGGGATTTCGGAATTAATTCGACAATTTATTAATTACTAAGCACGTCGACCAATAGATTCAAAATTTTAATAGGGTAGCAAACTACAAAATGTAGGTTGACCAAAAACTTTACAATATACGAAATAGGTACTACCCAATAGTTATTTCAATCAAATTTTATGTGTGTTGTTAAATACCCTACAATGATTTGGTATGTGAAGAATAGAGTGACATTCGTTTTTTACTAACTAATCAATGATATTAAATATTAAAATATTAAAGTAATTTAGGGAGGTAGATATTTTTTTTTTGTTTATCTTGAAAATTATTACTAGGTACCTACTTATTATTTTGTTTGCAAATTCTTTCTAATACAATTTTTACTCTAAATAAATTGAATAAGTATAAGTTATTTAGTCATCGCCTATTTTGGTTCAGTAAATTTATTTTATTTTTTTTTTTTGTGTATGTGTACAAACATTCAATTATTGCTTAATATTCTATGAATAATAATAAAGTTCTATAAGTATATTATTTACTATACCTATAGATATATTGAAATGAGAATAAAAATTACTTGTATAAGAAAATAAGTATACAATTTTAAATAATATTTATTTTTATATATACCTACAATTTAGGGTATATTCTTTTATTTAAGTTGCATAACAATATTATATTTAATTATTTTTTCTTAAAATTAAATTACGGTTAATGTATCAAAATTGAAAATATAGTAATTGCTATAATATTAAGTGCACATTTGTGTGTATTTATTTTTAATTAAACTGAATATTATTGATTTTTTTTATCATTATTTATGATTTATTATATGTATTTCTTTAATTATTTTGTTTTCATTTTTATATTTTATAATATTTTTTTTAAACTTTATCCATCCAGCAACCCTGGTTTTAAAATAACATTTACTTTTTGCAACTATATATGAATAAATCTGTTTTAAAGTGGCTGCAATAATAATAAATTTGTATAAATTGAAATTGGGAAAAATGTAGGTTATTATAAATTATACTAAATGTTTATTTCAAGTAATAATTATTATAATATGATATTTTAATAATTCTTTAGTACTTAACCTATTTTATCATCATTGAACTTATATGATATTAATTTTAAATTTCAAGGAACAAAATATTATTACTTGTAAAATTTGTTGAATATAAATCAAATCGTTTAATATCTATTAAGTTATTTCATTTTTGTAAATATTTAAACAATGATTATAGCGTGAATGTATTTCTGTACATATTGGTCAAGCTGGAGTCCAGATTGGTAATGCCTGCTGGGAATTATATTGTTTGGAACATGGTATTGCACCTGATGGTCAAATGCCATCTGACAAGACAATTGGATGTGGAGATGACAGTTTCAACACTTTCTTCAGTGAAACTGGGTCTGGAAAACACGTGCCCAGGGCAGTTTTTGTTGATCTTGAACCAACTGTCGTAGGTAAGTAATTGTATTTTAATTAAAAATCATAAAAACGTTCGGAGTAACATTTTTTATAAATGTTTTTCTTACTTCCGTAATACTCAAGATCTAATAGACCCAAAACAATGATTAATTCACCAAATTAAAGACTATATTAATTACTTTGCTTTCACAGAAAGGTTTTTTGATCTCTATTTCCTAGATAATTTATTTGTACTTAATAAAAAAAAATGTTTAATGTTAAGTACAAATTTCTTTTATCTTAATAGGAAATTTGTTTAATGATTTTATTACAATAATACTAATAATATATTTTTATTTTGCAATAAAAAATAATACATCATAAATATAACATAAAGTTAAGCTGTAAAATCCAACTAAAAAGCAGAGCTTATAAATGATTGGGTTTATTTAGTATCTAACTAACCATGAAAAAGTAAAAATAATATAACCTGTAATAAAATAACACTGAAGTTGTTACATTTTAGTTTTGACCTAGTACTAGTTACCTAGTACCTAGTTAACATACAAGGTTTGCCCGGAAAGTAATGAGCCTAATTATTTTGTGACTTGATCATGCAATGCAGAACGGTGAAACCGATTAGGAAGAGTGAGGGGTGCCTTTAGCTATTCAGAGATGCCACAGTTAGTCACCTCCAAGCTCTTGGAGAGTTGGACTTTTACGTAAACCTCTGTGCAGTGGAAAATTATTTAGAATAATGTTATGCGGTGAAATTTTGTGTCAAGCTCAACAAGATGCCCAAAGGAAACATGAGATATGCTTAATAAAATAGCCTTTGGGGATGCTTCCATGTCCTATTTGCAGACAAAAAAGTAGCACAAGTCGTTCAGGGAAGGTCAGGAATATGTCAACATGTCACGAGGCCCTTTTTAGACGCCCATCAAAATCGTGAATGGACAAACACCTCGCCCATGTGCGCGAATTGTTGAACACAGACCAATAAATGAGTGTTCGTATGATGTTGGGATTATTAAATTTTTAAGGAAGTACTTCAAAGGCTGAATCACAGAGTCACCCGCGTCTCAAAAGAAATCCAAGCGTCATGGAGACTGCATCATGACAATGCGCTGTCTCACATAACCTTTTTCACCTCCTACTTGACTCAGATTGGTGTCGAAACGATTCCCCAGCCACCCTACTGTCTAGACTCAGCCCCAGTGGACTTCTTTTTATTTCCTTGACTAAAAAGGGAGCTTAAAGGACATCATCTTGGCTCCCTGGAGAATGTCCAAGCTACTACATTACTGAACAATATTTCGGCAGAGGAGTTCCAGGGAGCTTATACATCATGGGAATCACGTAGGCAAAAATGTATTGAAGCGAAAGGGTCTTATTTGAAAAATATTAAGTTTTAGTACTTGTATATTCAATAAATTTTGTAATAAAAAATCAGGTTCATTACTTTCCGGACAAACCCTGTATTTATACAAAAACCAAATTGATTGTTATTGAAAAATGTGTGTTTTTTTAAAAATTACAATTTTATTATTTTTGTACTAACACTTGTTACACTTTTGGAAAATTGTTGATAAAGTTAATGTGAGAAAAATTGCTGGAAAATTGCTATCCCCGATGTATAAAGTGGTTTTAATAATAGTTTCTTTGAAAGAAGAATAGTTACCAGTTCTGAGAGAAAAATTAAAAATTATTGATAATGGTATAGATATGGTATTTACGTAACATATGAAAAATATCCCTGTGAAAGTGTATTAAATGATGTCTTCAAATAATTCTTGTTTTTTGTTATTTAAATTTTGAGTATTATGGAAGTATGAAAACCCATTTTCTTTACATATTGTTTGTTTGTTAGATAGATAACAAATGTCCTTCTTAATGATTTAATTTATGTATTCAATATAGACGAGGTAAGAACTGGAACATACCGTCAATTGTTCCACCCTGAACAATTGATAACCGGTAAAGAAGATGCTGCTAACAATTATGCACGTGGACATTATACTATTGGAAAAGAGATTGTTGATATTGTTTTGGACAGAGTGAGGAAATTGGCTGACCAATGTACTGGTCTTCAAGGTTTCTTGATTTTCCACTCCTTTGGAGGTGGTACTGGATCCGGATTCACATCCCTGTTGATGGAAAGACTCAGTGTTGACTATGGAAAAAAGAGTAAATTAGAATTTGCAATCTACCCAGCCCCTCAAGTGTCTACTGCTGTGGTAGAACCCTACAACTCTATTCTGACTACACACACTACTCTTGAACACAGTGATTGTGCCTTTATGGTGGACAATGAAGCTATCTATGACATTTGTCGCCGGAATCTTGACATTGAACGTCCAACTTACACTAACTTGAACCGTCTCATTGGCCAAATCGTCTCATCGATCACAGCTTCACTTCGTTTTGATGGTGCCCTCAATGTTGACTTGACCGAATTCCAGACTAACTTGGTCCCATATCCGCGTATACATTTTCCTTTGGTTACTTATGCACCAGTTATTTCTGCCGAAAAGGCCTACCATGAACAATTGTCAGTATCTGAAATCACCAATGCTTGTTTCGAACCAGCTAACCAGATGGTAAAATGTGACCCACGCCATGGCAAATATATGGCTTGTTGCATGTTGTATCGAGGTGATGTTGTACCAAAGGATGTCAATGCTGCCATTGCTGCCATTAAGAACAAGAGAACCATTCAATTTGTGGACTGGTGCCCAACTGGATTTAAAGTTGGTATCAATTATCAACCACCAACTGCGGTTCCTGGTGGTGACTTGGCTAAAGTACAACGCGCTGTCTGTATGTTGTCTAATACCACTGCCATTGCTGAAGCTTGGGCTAGGTTGGACCACAAGTTTGACTTGATGTATGCCAAACGTGCATTTGTTCATTGGTATGTTGGAGAAGGTATGGAAGAAGGAGAGTTCTCAGAAGCTCGTGAAGACTTGGCTGCTTTGGAAAAGGATTATGAAGAAGTCGGCATGGACTCTGTTGAAGGAGAAGGTGAAGGTGGTGATGAATACTAAACACAGCAATGTTTAAACAAATCTTGTTCAATTTTAAATTTTCAAAATTAAATAGTTAACCTTTTTATTTTTATACTATCATTTATAGACATTTTTATTTTTAAAATAAAGCTACTGCAGATGAAATAGTTATTTTTATTCCTTGTGCAAATATTATGAAAAATCTTTTTCTATTATTTATGATATAATTAATTCCATTATATTGATATATCTAATTCATGTGCTATAATGTATATGTATATATAAAAAAAAAAATAAACATTTTTTAGTAGGTATAATTAAAATAGTGTAAAATCCCAAAATTTTGTGTTAACTGTTTTACAGTAAACAATTATATTATTAATTAATAAACAAAAAAATAGATTTAATTTATTTTTTGAAATTCTCTTGAAATTAATAAATATTCTACCCTTCAAAAAATAATAATTTAGAATTTATATACTAATGCTAAAAAATATATATATTGAGAAATTAATAATTGTAAATGGTTATAAAGAAGTTAATATTTTGAAGACAGTTTTTTATTTTTTCATCAGCTTGAAAGTAAACAATCTATTAAGTACTCTAATTATGTAATAAATCATTACGGTCCTTAAATAATTTCCTATCTGTAATAAAACTATTATATAAAATACAAGCTTATGTTTATCTGCTTTCCTATATTATATCTTCTGGCTCCCCTTTTCTTAATTTTTTATTCCTTATTGCTTCAATTGATTATTTCAAAAATATTACTGGTATGATGAGGATTTAATCTGTATGTTTATCACTTCCTTTTTTTAAATATTATAATATTATTACATGTATATGTATATAGGGTACAGTTATTTTAATAAAGAAATATTAGATGGAACATGATTCTATTGTAGGACTTATAAGCCTTTTTATATTCCTTTTTGAAGATGGCATTTAAATGCAAATAAAGCAGTACAAATTTAAAAGTAAAAACTTTGGATTAATTCATTTATTCATTGAAAAACATCTAAATAAAATAATAACACCCTTTATTAAAAAATCAATCTAAATATTCAATTTTGTCAAAAAGTGAACTTAAAAAATACAAAGTCAATATAAAGTTGATAAAATTCTTAAAATATAGATGATATTGTATTATAATTTATAATAATAAGTTATTTACAATATTAATAATTATATTGAATAAATACTATATCTAACCATATAAATTTGAAGTAAAAATTAAATTATAGAAGGTATTATATATAATTTCACACAGTATTAGTCATAAATTAAAATTTAGTATGTTCATAAAGTTTTTATTTTATAAACATAAGAATGTATAATATTTCAAAACACACAAATACATTATACCATAGTTGTTTATAAAAAAAAAAAAATGTATATAATATAAATATATAATTGTGGATAGTAAATATAATGTAATAAAAACCAAATTATAATAAAATAACCATTGTGGTTACTGAAATACATAAAATAAAGGAGTTACAATATTAGGTTAAGAAGTGAAATAATAATAATTGCAATGAAAAAAGAAGTAAAAACATATAATGGAATAAAGAGTAATAAAATGTATTTTAATAATCAATAAGGGATTAAAAACTTACTTTTCTAGTTTTTTCTAGTATTGAATACACTAATTAATCACAGTTAGTTGTGGGTGTTGTAGACATGGTATCAATCTTTTCAGGTTGAATAGGTGGTGGTCCAGACTGTAAAAGGTCATCATCTAACAAACTAATGGTTGGACCCTGCTGATAAAATTGTGGCTGATGGAAATAATTATTAAAAGATGTCACAGTGGCTGTATTAAGAGCAGCAGATGTTGGTACATTATATTGCTGTTGCACTTGATAATAATTTTCACCATTTGATGATACTGGTTGATGGGTAACATCCATTAATGTGGAGTTTGTTGTTAACTGCACATTTTGCGGTTGATACAATTGTGAAGAATAGTAAAAATTAGCTGGGGTTCCATTCATCTGCTGTTGTTGTTGCTGCTGTTGTTGCTGTTGTTGTTGTTGTTGTTGCTGTTGTTGCTGTTGCTGCTGCTGCTGCTGCTGCTGCTGCTGTTGTTGTGAGTACACTAGGGACTGTTGTTGCTGATATATTTGTTGTTGATAGAATTGTTGTTGTTGTTGTTGTTGATATAATTGGGAATATTGAGTTTGCTGTTGTTGTTTATATAATAATTGAGACTGTTGTTGTTGTTGGTTATACATATGTATTTGTTGTTGTGTTGATGAGTGTTGTACAAAATTAGCCATATTGGAAGTGTCATTCACAGGTGACTGTTGTACAGCCGATAAAAGACCAGTTGCTGACAAAATTGAAGATGAAGAAAATGGCGATGATTCAGAAGCATTACTTACTCCAGCTATTATATGATGCTGTCGCTGTCTTAAAAAAAATCTTGCCCTTCCAACATTAGAAACATTATTAGCTGTTGAAATTTGTTGTTGATACTGGTGCGTATAATACTGTTGCAATTGTGACATTGTAGTAGAGTTGTTCTGGAAACCACCATACCCACCAGCAGCCACATAACCACCAACACCACTATTAATATTATTTGTGTCATTAATACCACCAACGCCTACACCATATGCAGCCACTGTTGCAGGGATGTTTCTAAAAGCATTACTGTCACTACCAACACTACTGCCTGGATTGTTTGTATTATATGAAGGCAAATTTTGGCAGTTTTCAATATTATTTGTCAAACGCAAAGCATTCATCAATGCTGCTGTAGCCACATCATTACTGTGACCAATTGAAGTACCTGAATTATTGTAGGATGATACTGATGGCAGTAAAGAAGTCATAATTGTGTCTGTGGGTAATCTACAGTTATAATAGTTAAACATGGACACCGGAGTTGTGAGCACTGTGGTAGTAGGGTTCACAGGACCTAATCCTGCTGTCGAACCTACGGAATTGGTCGCGAATGTGTATGTAGCCATAGATGCAGTTACCAATGGATGTTGATTGACAGAATTGGTTTGTATATTAGCATTGTAACCACCTTTGATAGAGGATTGACAATCATTACGATAATAGTCATAGTATTCCATATTGCCAACACTGGTAGTATTATAAGATAATGGTGGAAGTGATTGTGTTTGATGTTGGTATTGGTGGTAATGTTGTTCAGACCCCAATGGTGAAAGTCTCTGGAGATGATATTGCTCATCCCAATGTCCAGCCCTCATCAGCATTAATGGGTTATTTGATTCATTGTTGCTGCTAGCAGCTGCAATCAAACCTTCCTGGACGTGACAATCTTTGTCATTAGCTGAGGCAATGGGTATTTGATATTCAGGTTTGACACTGATGATAGATACATTATCTGACTTTTGTGTCCCCACTTCCAATTGCTGATGTTGTTTGATTATTTGATCACGCTGTTCAGTCTGTACCTGGCACGTACCTGAATACAAAAAAAAATGTTAAATACTATAGTATTATACTAGTATAGAATAGCAGTTCAATATTATTTAATATAAAGATTAGGTCCAAAATCCATAGAGTTTAATAAATCAACAAGATATATGTACGTTGAATGTAATTTATAATATAACACACCTATACAAAATGAATAGAAATGTTATAATAATGATTTAGTCATGTCATAGTTTTTTTGTTCTAGGCTGTCAGTTGAACAAATTTTATTTGACCAACACAAACAAGGTACCTAATTTATTTAATATCTGCTTCTTATTTGGATAATTAAATAATATTTACAGCATGTCATTTTTTAAAAATTAATAAGAACTAAAAATAATTATTAATTTTAATCAGAGCTGAGTAGTAACTAAAATAGTTGTATTTGGGATAGGTAACTGAGTTATATTTGTAACTTGTATTTAAATAATTTTTGGAAATCCCTTTAAACTATAGACACAAGACACTTTAATAATTATTTATTTTTTTGAAATTTAAACTTCTAAATTTGTGTGCTCATTGTAATTACATTTGTCCTATATAATTCATTTTTCCATATAAAAATAAATATTTGTCATGTTTTATAGATATTCTATTACAAAAAGTTACTTGTTAAGTACAATACAGATCTGGAGGGCTATTCTGCTAATGAAACTATATTAAGTTATACTTATTGGTATTTAAATGGAGGTAAGTCCCTAGGAACCTATCAGTTAATATCACTTGTGATCACTACAATTTTTTTCAAAAATATTAATTAATTATACTAAATTAATATATTTGTTTTCTTAATATTTATTCCATTATAATCGTAAAAAAATTATTTATTTCAAGTGTACCTCACTATAAAAAGTATAATCATTTCTTTAGGTAACTAAATTGGGAATAAATTAAACATATTTTAAATCACTAAAAAAAAAAAAAATAAGGGTGACGTTAACAGTATTCAATATTGTTATATAAACTCTTTTCAGGAAAACAATATACATTATCAAATCGGTCATTATTTATTACATATTAAAGTTGAATTATTCCATAACCAACATTATTATACACTATTAAAAATACCTTAATTATATATATATAAAGTAAAGAGTTAAAAAAATATTTCAAAATAAAGTATGCACTGCTAAATTCAAACTAAGTTAAAATATCAAGTTGTTAATTGTATATTATTATAAACAAGTGTATTGTATAAGTACCATGGGTTTCTTTTTCTAAAAATTAAAAACTTGAAATTACAACTTTAATAATCTAAAATAAGCATACAGTACATCAAACAAATTTAAAAACCGAATATTTAACCATCTTGAACTTCAAAAATGTTAGGGCATATGCAATTGTCAACAATGTTCAATAAAAATGTTATTTGTTCATTAATCATACCAGTCTTATAGTAACCTCCTATACTCACAATAATTAAAATTAGCCAATCATCTTTCATGAACTATGACTTATCTGCTTAGATCATATACTATGGATGGAGCCACAGCCTATTAAATAAATACAAATATATGTATTTTTATCTAATTATTCATTCATAATTCATTTATTCATTAATAATTATGTGAGGAGTTGTATTGCAATGTGCACATCAAACACCTAATTCAAAGAATCATCGCTAATATTGCTAATAGTGTATAACCTAAGCTTATCTGGATATTATAAAATCAACAGTAATTTGTAATGAGATTAAACACACCTTTGACGCGCTGTAATAGTTTTGACACATTGGTAACCAGTCGCTGGTAAAATTCTAGACCCTTTGAACACCGTTCAGCAAGAACCGCATCTGGGAGTAACCCAGAGTTTGATAACGATGGTTCACAATCAGATGCCATTGACATTCCTCCATTAGCAGTTGCAAAACTTTCATATGCATCCAATAATGATGCAATAACAGTCCGACGTCGTTGAATGGCATTGGAGTATGCTCGGCGTTCAGGTGCAGCACGTGCATATGCTGTCATCACAGCATCCACAATATTCAGTTGTGCAGTCAAATTCCGGTCAATAAAGATAACCTTTTATTAAATATACACAAACATAATTTTATAAATTATAATCTTCTTAAAAAAAAAAAATCAATACTGTTTCTGAATGTACCATTGTTGTAAACAAGTTGGGCAGATAAGATACAATGTCTCATTTTATTTATATACCCAATAATAAATCATTGCTAATGTAAACTATTCTGAATGAAGCTCAGTTAAATAAATTTTGAAATGCTGTGTGTTTAGTAATATTTTCTAAAGATGAATTTTGTAAAAATTATGTTGAACTTATTCTGAAAATGATTCTTTAGATTCTCTACTAAATAGATATTTAATTATTTTATTAGAAATTGTAAACAAATTTTGGCTTTTTGATCTAAAATATCATATTTGACTGTAAAAAAACTGTAACTCTTCCCTTTAAATGACCATTACAGGCAATAGATTAGTGAAAGAATCATTAAGATGGTCATTAAAATATTAATAACTGGCACCTCTCCTTTAATAGATTAACCTTCTTAATAAAAAATATTTAAGTATATTTCTTTTTATTATATTTAAAAAGGTTAGATCACTTGAATATATGAATAAAGGAGTGTGTACTTTTACTTGATGAAATGAAATGAATTAAATACAACAGTAGAAATTAATTACTCATAATCAAGGACTAGAATTTAGTCTAGGTTAATAACAATGTATGGACAAAAAAATTACACCATATGGTACTGTACTAATCCACTGATAAAAGGTTCAGTGATTATATAATATGCTCTCTAGTACTAGGAAATCTCTAACTCCTTACTAAGAAAAGTTAACTTTATTAACACTTATGATTATAAATAGTGGTACTATTAATAATTCTATTAAAATTTTACTTTTTGTTATTTCTAAATGACCGTTAAATAAAATTATGTACTGTATATAATATGATTTACCAGGTTAGCATATCGTTCATCCAACTTCTTTTTCATAGCTACTGTAATATCAACTTCAGTTCCTTGTAATTCTCCTAATACATCTGTATCATCTTGTCCAATTGCAAAGGCTTCTGCATCTTCTTGGTCCATCTCACCTCGAAGTTGGGCTAGCAGGGTTTGCCGTTGATTTTTAACTTCTTGCAGTTTATTAACCACCATGTTAAGTCGATCCAGACGTTTTAAAGAATCTCGCTGGCGAAACCGTCCACTGTTACTATCATCAGATTCAGTGTCATTTTGATCCGATGATTCTGCTGAGCATGCTAAACATACAATTGACACACATAAACAATATTAGAAGATGGAATTGATTGATGTAATTTATGATTCTGCCTTAATTCTTACAAATTATGTGCACAATAATCAACAAGCCCAAAGGTGGCCAATAATTTAACACAAAATGTAAAAGTTATATTTATATACTATACAAATATATGTATACAGTTTGTCCCACTATGAAGTTGACAAATTTTTCTAGTGCTATTAATATTAAATATTTTTCAATTTTTATTTTCTCAATCGGTTTGTCTTCGATGGGGACATCGATTTGGAAAAAAATTAAATTTTTATTTCCATCCCTTAAATACAAAAACTTTATTTATTTATTTAACAAAATTATACAAACCATATCAGATGAATAGTTTCTTAGTAATAGCCATTTTAATTTCTAGAAAATTTGTGTGAAAACAATTAATATTGCAGAATAATCATTATCACTACACTTATTCTATATCGCAATAATAGTTTAACAGTTGGTGAGATACACTGTATATTATTCTATATGTAAAATTATTAGGTCAGTAGATCGCCTTAATAAACTGAATATACAATATCACGGCATACATAATAACAATTAAAACAACAAAATGCTCACTGGTGATATCCATGGGTGTTGACAAATCTACAACACCAGAAGCAGCTACTTCAGCTGAAATCGCTGATCGTGTAGGCTGTGCTGGTGGTAACCGAGCTGCAAGTTCGGTTGGTGGTAATGCTAGCAGCTCCAAATCCCTACGGCGGCGCTCACGAACAGCACGACTAAGTGTAACCCAACTGTCTCGAGCACGACCAACATGTGTCTCCCTGTACCTGGAAGCCTCTCTGCGTAGTTCTCGCATTCGGCCAGCTGAATAATCATATGGCCGACCCATTGTACGTCGATACTCAGAATCACCAAGTTCTTCAGTCTTTTGTTTACAAAAATATTAAAGTCTGTATTATAAATTTATTGCAAGCAAACTTTTATATATGAATCCTAAAAAAAAGACCAAGACAGACGAAGAAAAAAGAACAAAAATTGAAAACCTTTCAATTAGTAATTTACAATTATGATTATCAATCATGGGAGATACTGTACATTATTAAATAATTGTATGATAAAACTCAAAACTCAAAAAACAACAACAGTAAAATTTACCACTACTATTCATGACTTACTGAAGTTATAGATATACATTTGAACTTTCCCAAGTTATATGTTATTTTTAAGTTTAATCCTGATTTATAGTTGAAATGCATAGAAATTCTATGTTTCTATGTATCGAAACTAGAAATCCAAACATGACCTAATAAAAGACAGTGATTTATTCCACATAATTTATTATTATAGATTATTCTTATTATTGTATTAGTTATCCATTTGACCATCCAATAATTTGTTACCCAAATATAACATTACATGTATTTAAATAATAAATAAATATAAAAGCAAATACATATATATATATAAAAAAAATGAGTCTATTAATGTCAGAGTTATACTTTATACATGAAAATAAGATGCAATTTTCTTATCACAATCACAACTAAACCCTAGCTCACATCAGTTCCACAACAATTTATTTATCTTACAATAAATTAATAATGTTCAGTTTCACCAATAATTAATAATTCATTGTTCCATTGATTTACATTAATCTATTTGTCCTTGGTCATTTTTCCTATTACTATTAAATTAAAGAGTTTTGGGCCGGCTGACGCCTACTGCCAGCCGTCCACGTTTTAGCGCTGGGTGCTACTTGTGGGCAGTCGCGGTGCTGGAGGGATGATGGCAAGCCGCCACCGGTCCCGGGTCTTCAGAGGGAACACTGGCCCTGGGCTTTTTTGGGCCCATACCTTTCTCGCGACCGGAATGGGTTCCCCTTCGCCCACTAGGTGCGGTGGATTAGCTTTACTATATCGCGCCAGTTCCACAGCTACCACCTTTCAGCCAAGTTATTCTCCTTAACCTTGGGGGCAATAAGTCCGGAGTGGTCAGGTCATTCCGGCGTGAAGTAGGGCTCCCCGCCCGTGGTATCAAATATTAAATATTACTTTCTGGGTTTTATAGAAATACTTTCAAAAATAATCTAAATGCTGTTTAATCTCTAAAATATGCATACTTGTCTTGAATAAATAATACCTTCAATAGTCTATCAATCTCATCCAGCATGCCATCTACTGCTTGTATTGCAGCTGATAACCGAGCCATATCAGCGTCTAAATGGTCTTCATCATCATCACTATATGGTGTATCTCCTCTTTCTTGTTGCTTTTGTAGTAATAGTGCTTGATAAGAGGCACAACAGTTGACCAATTGCTTTTTAAATAAAGTACATTTAACAATATTAAACAGAACAAGAATAAATATGTTAAATGCAAACACTTACTTGTGGAAGTTCCAGCACATTGTTTACATCTTCTTTGTACATTTCCAAGCATTCAAGATTTAATGTATCCATGAACACAGACAATCGTTCATCTGCGCTGTCGCACAAAGATTGCAATTCTGTTAACATGGCTCGTTTTTCAGTTCTATTGCAACAGTAAAAAGAGTATGTATATTATAACATATTATCAAATTAAAATAACTACTATGGATATTAAATATTATGTTATAAGTTTAAATATGAAATTTTAAATTGCTTCTTTTTGAAGAAAAACTTTTTTACAGAGGGTACGAAAAATAAAGATTATCGCGCATCACAGTCAATGGTCGTCCTCGGCCATTAGTTAGGTCACCGGGCACGCGTCATGATCACGTCATCAGTTGTTAACACCCTCACACACACTATAGTCTATTCACTGTAAGTTGACTCACTTCCGCGCATGTATATTGGGCCGTCGTGGTCTGTGATTGGTCGGCGGTGTTAGGCGATCGTCGTTGTTCGTCGTAGTAAGCAGTAGACTGCCGCCGCGACCTTTCGTACAAGGGAGGGGGGTGAGTTTTTTTTTTTTTTTCGGGATTTTCGCAAGAGGATTTCGTCAAGTAATGGGTCAACTTACGGTGAATAGAGTATAGTGACACTGTGAGTGAATACAATCAGAAAACCATTATAAAAAACTTTTAATATATAGTGTAGATGAACCCCTATTTCAAAATACACCAATTTTATATCTATGAACGCAATCCTCGATCAATTCTGTTAATTTAAAACTTTAAAATCACGCGTCATGATCACGTCATCAGTTGTTAACACCCTCACACACACTATAGTCTATCCACTGCAAGTTGACTCACTTCCGCGCATGTATTGGGCCGTCGTGGTCTGTGATTGGTCGGCGGTGTTAGGCGATCGTCGTTGTTCGTCGTTGTTCGTCGTAGTAAGCAGTAGACTGCCGCCGCGACCTTTCGTACAGGGTGGGGGGTGAGTTTTTTTTTTCGGGATTTTTGTGAGAGGTTTTCGTCAAGTAATGGGTCAACTTACGGTGAATAGAGTATAGTGATACTGTGAGTAAATCAGAAAACTATTCTGAAAAACTTTTAGTATATAGTGCAAGGAACCCCTCTTTCAGTATATACAATCTCTTATATCTATGAATGCAATCCTCGATCTACTCTGATCATTAAAATTTTGACTTTTGATATGTTATTAAGGTCACTCTCCTGATTACAAAAATATTTACAATACTTATGTGAATGCAGCTAATAAAGTATCCTGAACAAATTAAGTTTTTCAGGATTAAAATCACGTCATCAGTTATTAACACACTCACACACACTAGTAACATTGCGAGTGTGTGCAATCAGAGTAAAATCCAAGTATTCGAATTTTCGAACAATTCGAAATATGGATTTTTCTCACCACTAACACATACACACAGGGCTGTAGTGGAAGGTTACCTTTACTTCTGATCATTATTTATAAACACCTTACCTATACTATATACTTTTTAGTTATGGTCATATACTCTGTTATATTGAAATCACAAAATATATACAGAGTGTATCAGAAAAAACTGGCCAACTCTACGGATTGTGACTCTATATGTGGCTATAAGAATTGTTTTTTTGGAATTTTTGTTTTCTTATTAAAACTCTGGTTTTACCCGTTTTATTTGTAAAATACCCATACAAAATAAAAATAAACCATTCCAGAGAATTTAACCCAAAATTCTCTTACGAAATAAGGGGTCACTCGATTTTTTCCAAAAATAATCATTATCACCGCCATTTTTGGCTTATGTGCTATATGTCCAAAATCGTAATTTTTGTGTGACACGTAAATTTGTATGTAAATTTGTCAGGTATTTCAATGGAATAAATTATTTTTTATTTAAGCGTCAATTTAACGATCCTATACGTAAAATACGACTCATTTGACTGTAAAAAATATTAAAAAAATGCATAAATTCAGTTGTTTTTATTGAATTGTTTTTTAATTAATTATTATGAATACTTTATATTGAGTAACAATATAAAGTGTTCCAATTGTAGCCCCGAATTTAAGTTTGGCAGCATTTATTCATTTATTGGTTGTTATGGTTTTATTATTTCGGTGATTTGTAATTATTCCAATGTCTTGTAAATTAATGTTTTTTTTTTTTTTTTTTTTGTAAGCCGTTGTTTGATTTTAATTATTTTCATTATAAAACAGATGAATACCAAAGAATATTGTATTTGTTAACATAAAATTTCTTCTTTTTTTTAATTCTACTTTGTGGGAAATTGACAAAACTACAACCCCCCCCCATTTTAAATAGTTTTGCTATTATATTCTTCGAGATGTCAATCATGGAGGTGATATAGATCCGAAAAATACAATGAGTACTGGATTTTATGTTAAGAGATACAATATTTTTTGGTAGCCATCTGCTCTATAATAAAAATAATTAAAATCAAACGTCTTGTGAAAAAAAAATTCACAAGAAATTGGAATAATTACAGATTACCAAAATGATAAATCCATGAAAACTAACAAATGAACAAATATTGCCAAACTTAAATTCAGAGCTACAGCCCAATCACCTTATATTGTTACTTCAAATCAGTCTCCATCAATTAATAAAAAAAAAAAGGAAATAGTATAAGTCATGCCAAAACACTAGCATAAAAAAATTAAGTGTCCTTATAACATTTTAGTATCAGTTAATGTACCACAATGGAATACATTATGTATATGAACACAACAACCAAAAGATGTATGCTAGCATAAATGTTACTAGGCAAAATATAAATAAAATGGGTTAGCAGATATATTGGTTTTACTATGATGTGAACTTATATTTTTATGAGTATACAAGAATTGGTTTGCAATAGTTAAAAAAATTGAAACTTTTCTTTATTAAATTATAAAAATTGATATGTATAGATACATATCAATTTTAATATTTTAATTATTATATTTTAAATAATATTTTAATTTCACTATTAATGAAACTTCAAATATTGATGAGATAAGCATAATCTATTTGAGTAAACCTAACATGACCCTACTAACCATAATAGTTGTGATTATACAAAAAAAATATTTAGTAAAATATTTAGGAATTTTTATTGATGCACATTTGAAATGGAACTATCATTTAGATTACATTTCCTTACTTATTAGATGTTAATTTTTTAAATTTAAATCATTGAAATATATTTAAAATATTAACAATCTTAAAATGGTATTGAATTAAATGGATTATCATCAGCCTTTGAAGTAAAATTGAGCAAGGGGATGCCTTATCCCCAACCCTATTCAATTTAGATCTCGAAAAGGTGATTCGAGAAATAAATCATAGTCANTACGGTAGTATAAATAGGGAAGAGTTATGGAACACATTGACCTACTTCGGTATACCGAAAAAATATGTTAGTAAAGCTGTGCAATAAGAAAACAGCATGCAAAGTGAAATTTCTGGGAGAATCGTCATCAGCCTTTGAAGTAAATTCGGGCCTACGGCAAGGAGATGCCTTATCCCCAACCCTATTCAATTTAGGTCTCGAAAAAGCGATTCGATAAATAAATCATAGTTATCAAGTTGAGGTGGTAAATAAAGAAATAATATTGGCGTATGCAGATGATATTGTCATTTTAGGAAACTTAAGACAAGATATCACCCAGACCATGTCTAACCTTGTGACGGCCAGTAAAAGAATGGGACTTCGTATTAATGAAGAAAAACAAAATTTATAGTACTTTCCAAGAGAAGAGAAGATCAGCCTAATCTACAAGTAGATAATCTCACATTTGAAAGTGTAGAAAGTTTTAAGTATCTNTTTAGGAAACTCATGACAAGATATCACCCAGACAATGTCTAACCTTGTGACGACCAGTAAAACAAATGGGACTTTGTATTAACGAAGAAAAAACAAAATTTATGGTACTTTCCGGGAGAAGAGAATATCAGCCTAATCTACAAGTAGATAATCTCACATTTGAAAGTGTAGAAAGTTTTAAGTATCTAGGTGTAAACATAAACAATAAAACTGACATGCATCAGGAAATAGTTGAACGATTAGCATGTGAAAACCAATGCTACCAAAGCATCCAAAAGTTATTGAAATCTAAATTGTTGTCGAGAAAGTCGAAAACACTGCTCAATGTCAGTTATCTGAGACCAATAGTGACTTACACGTATGAGACTTGATCTATTTTTGGCTCGGTGTACAATCTGGACCTAGGAACATTCGAAAGGCGGAAAAACGAAAATTTGTACCAATTGTATGGAAAACCAACGATATTAACGTATATAAGAACTAAGAGAATGGAGTGGTTTTTTTACATATTTGGAGAGCTGAAGATGATATACTAAAAAAGGTCACAACCGCAATGATACAGAAGAACCGTGAACCGTGGGTAGACCATGAACAAGATGGAAAGATGCTGTGAAGAGGGACATTCAATTGTTGGATGTGAATGCGTCTGTTGAATTAGCACTCAACAGAGAAAGGTGGAGAGACTTACTTGTGACAGCTCAGGTCCTTCAAGGACCGTTAAGCTGAAGAAAGAAGAAGAAAATGGTATACTTTGCATCAGCACAATCCATTATTTCACATGAAATTGTTGTATGGGCGTGGAACTAACAAAACTAATTTTCATAAATTAGAAATTGTAGTTAACACTTTAATTAAATGTATACTTAATAAAGATCCACTTTATTTAACTGTCCAATTATATGATTTTGATGTTCTAAAATTTAATGGACTTTATTTTAAAAATATTAATGAAAATGGACATCAGCAGCTTTACTATAAAACATGTACACAATACCAGATCTAAAAAATTTTGGAATCTAATTTCAGTTAAGTTTAAAACTGTCAAAATAGTATCTTCTATGTTGGAACTGCTATATACAAGAAATATAATACCATATTTAGTTAAATTAAATGCTTGAATAAAAAACAAATAATTAATTACATACTATCCTTAGATCTTAATAAAATGTCCATCTGATAATTTTTAATATTATTTTTTTGTTTTCTTTCTTTTTTTGTTTACTTTTATTTGTGTAGTTTACTAAACAATAGTTAATATAGTTATTTATTTATAATTTTTTATGTATATTTTGTTAGTTTTAAATTTAATTTATATATATATTAGTATAGATTTGAACTCACTATCCCCTATCACAAGCTATGCTTATTGGAGAAGTGTCAATGTATTTATTTTCTTGTAAAAAATAATGTACATACTGTTGTAATTGACAAATAAAGATTATTATTTTATTGAAAAATAATAAAATAATAAAGTAAAAACAAAATTATTAAAATAGTTAATACTCGTGAAATAAATATATTAATTAACAATTTATGTATAAAAATAAATAAATGAATGAATGAATATATAGTCTGGAGTATTATGATAAATGTATTATATTATAGACCAGTTTCGAATTCAAAATTCATCATCAGGTAAATTACAGTCAAAATGTAAAATGCGACTGAGTATAAAAAATTAAATGAAGGAATACACGGAATAAAAATTATACAAATCGGTCATTTTACATAAAATATAGAAATAATTTAATTTAATAAGAGAGATTATTTAAAATTAATTATTATTATTAGACATAGATATGTTATGAAATATAAATTATTTGGTTATTATATATTAGCTGAAAAGTATTGATATAAGATATTATTTTTAAAATCGGTTTGAACATTTAAAATTATTTTTTTATATTATAATTCTTCTAAATTTGAATAATTAAAATTACACTTAAAGTACACTGTTTGTACATTTAAAAATATTATTAAAATTATTTTTCTTTAATTCATTGTGTATGTGTAATTCTTCTATAATTGAATTAATGTAAATGTTATTCTGGGTTTATACATTTCTAAGTCTGTATTAATATTAAAACTTATATTATGGCTATTTATGGCTAATTTGAATTAGAGGCAGTCATTTTTAATTTTTTTTCAGAAATGGGTTCTTTATATCTTATTTTAAAATTTCTATTTGTCTTACATACAATTTATTACAGTTACATTTAAGTTTATTTTTAACAGCATTTTTAAAAGGAGAATTTTTTTTGTGAAGTTTTTAGTTCTATTCTTTATATGAAAATTAAATTATTATTAGTCTTAAAAACAATTTTTACATTATTTGCATAATTGTTCAGAATTTTAGCTAATTTGTTAGAAATATTATTTTGATATTTCATACTACAAAAGTTAACAACATTATCTGGTGAGTTGTGTTTTATTTTTTCTTTAACATGTTTATGCATTTTTTCAATAGTATTGAAATTGAAATTATTTCTATGAACTATATTATGGATAATATTAAGCTCATGTTGATAATTATGTTTATTTAATAGATTACGTTCAGCCTATGGAATATTGAATTAACAATTTTTTTTTTTTTTAAGACCCTAAATTCTAAAATCAAATGTATTGTTTACTATGGAAACTGTAAGATCTAAGAAATTAAATGTATTATTGATTTGTATTTTGATTGTAAATTGAAAGTTTTTATTTATTTGGTTTAAGTAATTAACTAAATTTTCTGCATGTCTATTTGAACCTCTAAATAAAATGCATGTGTCATCAACATATCTATAATATTCTTTTATATATGCACTGTATATTTTTTTGTTAATAATATTATTGGTTTCATAATTTTACATGGAAATTTCAAATAAAAGAGCACTTAAAGGACCCATAGCTTATATATTTTACAGTTTCCATAATAAACAATACATTTGTTGAGAAAACTCTTGGGATCATCAAATTAACTGAAATAAAATTGCTAGTAGAAAAGTTGTTCACAGAAAAAAAAAACATTGTAGTATACAAATATATGTGATACATTTTCCTGATTTTTGGGAGTTTTTCACATTTGATGAGAAAACTCTTGATAAAATCGAAAAAATGACCTCTTTAAAGTATCTCTCCACATAAATATCCTTTAAGAAAAGGTGCTACACATAAAAATCAGAGCAATTCCTTTATTAGAAAATTTTAATTTTTTTAAAACCATAAGCTTCTTTGCTCCACTCAGAATCTTAGAGACCCCCCAATTCAAATTTCGCTAAATTTAAAAAATAACCATAATATAAGTTTAGATATTAATACAGACTTAGAAATATTAAATACCCAAAAAAACATTTACATTAATTCAGTTTTAGAAGAATTACACACACACAATGAATTAAAGAAAAATAATTTTAATATTTTAAATGTTCAAACCCTTTTTAAAAATAATCTTGTATCAATACATTTTAGAGAATAAATAATAATCAATTAATTTACATTTTTTCAACAAATTTATGTTTAATAATAACTAATTTTAAATAATCTCTCCTATTAAAATAAATTATTTCTATATTCTATGTAAAAACAATCAGTTTGTATTTCTACCCTACCCTACCCGAACCTAATCAATGTTTTTCTTTCTATATATTCCTTCATTTAATACTTTACATTTTGACTATGATATACCTGATGATGAATTTTTAATTTTAAACTGGTTTTATAATAAATTTATCATAATACTCCAGTCTATGCTTTCATTAATTAATTTATTTTATTTTAATATATTAATTTTTTATTTATATATTTATTTACTATATATATTGAAAAACATGATTTTTAATTGTAAATGTTAAGAATTTTTTATAAGCATTTTATTGTAAAGATATTGTAAATAACCATGAACAGGATTCTTAATATAAAAAAATATACTTTAATGCAAAGTAAACATGTTTATGAACTCATGTCTTTAAATGTGTAAAATTAAACTACTTTTAAAATTCCATGGTGAGTACAGAGGCTTTAAACAAATTTTTTGAACCAGATACTAGCAGACATGAATAAAATATACATAAACATAATCACACACTAGTATTTTTAAAATAGTTAAGATAATTAATTAATAATAATTGATACAAACTGGTATATTTCAGCTCGGTGACGAGTGGCTGCAGGCACTAGGTCTTTGAATAATGTAGTAGTAGTTGACTCACATGGTGAATCCTTGTTAGTCACAACAACTAATAACTCAGTATCATCTATGCCAAATCCAATAGGCTTTACCAGAGAGGCACCCTTAACCATTTCTAATTGGGGATGATTAGTACTACTTGTTGATGCCAAGTTACTTCTTATACATTCAGTATCATCATCGTCTGAAGACACAGGGACTACAGGTTCATGATAAATAAGCTCATTCTCTGATTTAGCTGCTCGCCATTTAGCCCCAGCCACATCCATGGCAAATGAAAGAGTATCTCTGCGCATCTCCAATTCCTTTAAAATCAATAAAAATTTATCACAGTAACACAAACACAATACTAATAAAATAAGTGTTTATTTATTAATTTTATTTACCACATGAATACTGGGTCTCACTGAGGAGAACTTGTGTGGAGGCCCAGAAGAAAAAATATATAATAGAAAAAGATATATGTATATATGTATATATGTATATATATTTATATATATGAGACTGACATCGCTGGATGGGTGGGCCAATGATGTAGGTGAGAAGTTGGGAGGTAAAATTAAATTTATTTTCGTATGCAATGATTTATTATTGCTAAAAGCAGCCATGGTCCAGTCAGCCTGTCAGTAATGCTTGTGTAAGCTGCCGAAAAAATATGAAAACTCTTTCTTCCATCTTGCTGTGGGGGACTGTGCAGACATATCGGAAGGTATGTGTATTCTGAGCTATGGCCATCCAGTCGAATTAAGTTAAGTTTTATTTTACAGTTCACAAGCTAATATAATTAATATAATACTGCGGTACATATGTTATTTCGTGTGGTTTTGTCATTCTTTTTTTTTTAATGTGTAGAGAAAAAGAATCTCAGTGTATTAAAAATTGTATTAATAAATACCAAAGCGAACATTGTTTGAAGAAAATAGTATCTAATATCAGCAAGCGTGATAGTAGCCATGTCTATCAAAACTTGTGACTGAAATGATGCTAGACAGATTCACATCTGGAGTACTGCATTAGTCCAGCCTGTAGATCTTTGGCGGCCTACTCAGGCATAACTGACAGGTCAACTGGACCATATGTGGCTGTCTTAAGGATTCTGAGTGGAGTTTGGTTATTTATGTTTCAAAGGTCAATATTATGATATTTAAGATTTTTATCAATATTTGATATTAAAATTCTTACAAAAAAAAAAAAAATACTAACAACTTTTTTTTATTGACCACTGAGTACAACCTATAATGAAACTTATGTTAAATTTTCAAGCATTTCTGTTTAGTCCAACAATTTTATCCATAGAAAAATACTCTTAAAATTAAAATGTCTATAAATAGCTTAAAAATGACTCAAATGTTTGAAATTTCATTATGTCTATGTAAAGTTTCTGTCAAATTTTAAGTTTCTACAACCAGTTTTAAATAAATTACAACAAAAAAACAACTGTATAAACAACAATAAAAATAACAGCCAAATTTATAAACCAGCTTTCTATACATATAATAATATAATTAAATGTCTAAATAATAAAATCAATAAACATCAAAATATTCTAATAAATAAATATGATAATCCAGGAATGTATAAATTAAATTTTGAATGCAATAAAATATACATAAGTTAATGGGAAACAAATTATAACACTTTTAGAAATTAGATTAAAACGAAAATATCCTAAATTAAATCTTGCTAAATATATCTTGAAAAGAAAACACAAAATTGCAAATAATATAGAAAAAAAATCTATCAATGTACACAAAAGAACAAATATTTTAATTCTATATTGTAGCTTTCCAATACACATCCAATCAATACACATCCAATCACATACACAATGAAATAAATACAATAATCTTGATAATATATTACATATACAAACTGATTGTAAAAAGAGCTGATACTGGAAATGAGTGCTGCTACTGTGTTAGGTGGGTAGTGGGAAGGTGGGATACATAAGGTTATTTCATTTATATCTGTAAGCAATGATAAACCATTGATTATGAAAGAAGATTCAGAGCGCAATTCGGAAATACATAATTTGAAGTACCATAATTATTTTTAACCTAACCTTCTTACATTTTTTGCCGATTATTATAAAAATTAATTTGAAAATCAAAATATGGCCTGTATCATTAAAATCAAAATTAATAATTCAATATAACAGGTCTCTTGTTGTTTTTCAATTGGAGCCATATTTGTGCTAGTAAACATGGTAGGGACCTACTTAAAATAACGAAATCGTGAAAAATCGTATATTTTTTTTCCGGTTAATCATTTTTATTTTAAATACCATTTTGAAAATCAAAAAATAACTTATGTATTTAACAAATAGATAAAATTGACTTTAAGAAAAGGGTGCTACATTTATACATCTGAGTAAGTTTTCTAGGATGAAAGTAGTCTATAGTATAAAAAAAAAGTACAATTTTGGAAATTTTTATCATGTCTAGGTTAGTCCAATATAAGTCTCTATGTGTATTTATAACTGATATATAGCAAAAACTCCCAAAAATTAAAATCGCGCAAAAACCTCAAAAATGTTTCAAAAGTTTTGGCAATGATACTGTAAGAAAGTAAATTAAAAAGGTATCTAATGTTTTTTTGATGAAATTGTGAAATTGAACATTTCCTACAGTTTTTTCACACTTACATGCTTTTATTTTTAAAATGGCTGCTTAGGAAATCTAAAAAATACCACCCTATAGAATCTAAAAACTAATCAGTATTAAAAATCATAATTACAATCTAATTTGCACTAATTTGAACATTTTCAAATCCACATCAAAATTTGGTGGAATAGTTAACTATAGACTAATAAAAGAGTGGCTGACTATTTATGTAAACATTTAGATGTATTAACAGAGATTGATATAACTACATTTATTTTTAATTATTTTGATATTGATTTATGATTTATAAAACAATCATGTTATTTATGTTAATTCAATCATCGTTATTGTTATACATAAGACACAAATTGACTTCAATTATTGCAAAATGTTTACATGTAAAAAGTGATATTTTATGTAATCCCATCAAAATTAGGATAAAAATACAGAAGAACTTACTTTTAAAATTTCAACTGATAATTAAAAAACAAAAATAATAATATAATCAGAAAGTTTAAAATTATATTGAGTTATTAGTTTTTAAAATTACATTAATGTGGTTATTAACTCAAATTATACAAAATAATATAAATAATAAAAAGTATATATGTATATATGAAAAATATACTTAAAATAAAATCAAAATCTTACTAAAAATAAGGTGAAAATAAATTATTTTAAAGTGGATGTGCCTGTATGATGACTGTAAAGCTAAACACTGATAAACTATATGCATGATGCATGTTTCATTTAGTTTTTAAAACCTCATGAATAATCTTTTGTTATTATTAGTAAGTTTAATTTTAATGGAGGAGCTGTATTGAACTTGATTGAAAAAATTTTTATTCTTACTTTGGCAATTGCATATTGACTTTTATTCTGGCTATCTTTTGATTGCAAGTAGTAATAGTATTCATCATCTTCTACGTCTTCATCTTTTGGTGCCAAAGCCATTAATGTATTGGCACCTTGCTCAGACACCATACATGCGCGATTAAGCAAATTTAAAGATCGTCGATAAAATGACACTCGAGTGCCCATCTGCTGGAGTTGATCCTGGACATGTTGGCCCTGGAACAGAGCTGTTACAGATCCATAATAACGGCACTTGAACTCAGAGTATGATTTCCACTTCTGTAACAGTCAAAGATTGTCATTCCTTAAGATGTAATATTTGAAAATCAAAATTGAATTCACCTCAAACCTATAGTTGCTCACACAATTAGGCTCATGTTCCATTCTGCGTACTGCATCTACTGCTGAAGCGAAATACTCGCATATCATTGCTGACACTTTGGCTATATTAATAATATAAACACACAAATCAATAATGATACTCTTGATGATGAGGAATATAAAATATTAAAAATACAGTTGGAGTAATAGTAGTATTTATATGTAAATTACTACTTTAATAAATTACCAAGCAACAATTATTAACTGAAACAGATTAGGAAATGAGGAGTCATGAAGACACATTTTTATTTGTTCAATACTTAGTGCACAAAGTCAGGACAACTAGTAATTAATATAATACAATTATATAATATTTTTAATATGATAAATAAATATTATTAGTAGTACCTATTATGAGAGGTTTTCGGCCATCCATCATACTTTTCTCTAAGATGCACTCTTGTGCTTGTGCTAGCATAACATTAAATGAAAACTCGAGAACAGTGTAACTTGTAACTGATGGCTTTTGTCGTTCAAACTTTTCATTGTTGTTTCCTCTACTGCCAAGCAATTGCTGTAAAAAATTAACAATGGGTTAACATTCCATAAAATTTAGTTTTATTTTTGAGTTGTATTTTAAATAATCATTCATATTATTATACTAAAAATTTAATTAAATAAACAGAATATCTTAAGTGCATAATAAATACATAGATAAATAATATTTATTCAGTTTTATTGAGTATTTCAATTCAACACTGTAAAGTTATAAAAAACCCCCTTATAAAAAATAACACATTTATAATAAATGTAGTAAAACTGGAAAATGATCTATATCATCATAAAAAATTCAAATTCAAGTTTTTTTATCCAATATTTTTCATGGTATTTATATTGCACACCTCTCCCGAATTTGGCAGACTTAAAGGCTTGTGGACATAATACAATGACACATATAGATTAATTGGTTGGTAAATCAATACCTGAAATGCCCATGCAGCACATTGCAAATGTGTGCAAGCTACCTTGAGAGCCTTAGTTGATGAAGACTCTGTTCCTTCTATCAGTTCACTAGAAGATTCTAGTGGAGGTGACCGGTCTTGGGCAGCAGCCAGTCGACTATGTGCTGCACCCACATTATACAGCACACATCGCATTTCATACTCAATGTTGCCATAGTCAACCACAGACCCCTCAACATCCTTATTTGCTTTGCCACAAAGATTTCGATACCTATACATATATTAGAATAAGAAATGTTTCTATGTTATTAGAAACACTAAAATTGTTGAGTATGATACTTATACATTATGAAGTACACAACTATATAATACTATATATATATATATATATATATAGGCAGTATAATTATGTTTGTTCTGGAACAGCTAGATATTTTTCACTTTAAAAACTAATTTCTGATCTCTGTTCACATTATTTTCTTGTTCTTTGTTCACAAACATAAATTGAAAAATTATATTTAAAAAAATTAAATGTTTTAAAAAGTCCAAAAGGTTATATCAAAACAAGAGAAATATGAATTTATTATTTTTAAAGTTGAATAATATTTAAAAACTATTTTCATATTAACATTGTGGTAGGAACAGTTCTCTTTTAAAATAATAAATAATAAAATATATTACACATTGCGTGTGTAATAGATAAATNTATTAAAATATTATATATCTACCAATATATATAACATTACGATTTGTATTGTTAATAAATTTATTTCTATCTTTTAGAATTTTAGCAAATTTCTATATGTTAACAAAGATTATATTTGAAAGGTTTATATAAAATTTAAAGTCAATCGATCCAGTAGAATCCAAAATCTCTTACTAATCATTTTAGACAAAATTTGATAACATATTTTAAAAGATCGTTTAAGGTTTAGTAGGAGTAGATGAAAACAGAATTGAGCTACGATGATTTCTCGCTAAGATATTTAAACTCAACAATTCTCAAAATTGGACTACCCAAAAATCGATTTTTAGTATTCAGTGTAAATAAGTTCAGAAATAACAATGTTTTACATGTTTCTGCATATTTCGATATCATGAAAGCTGGTAAAAAATTAAAAATGTTCAAGGATGTTTAATGAGAGATGAATTATCTATAGAAACTTTAACGAATCAATGTGGAATATTAATATTTTAAATAATTCTGATCAAGAAGGATCACATTGAGTTGCATGGATAAAACATGAAAATCTTAAAATTTATTTTGATTCTTATGGTAATGCTAATCCACCAAAAGAATTAGTAAAGTATTTAGGAGAAAATTATCTTAAAATAACATCTAGAAGATTTCAACACTAAAATGATCCGCCTATTTGTGTATATTTGTGTTTGGATTTTATTAAAAATTATAAAAAATATACCTAAATTGTATATCTTTTTTTTTATTATTTATTAATATAATTGTGTCAATACACCAAGTATTTTTACAATGTTACACATTTTTTTTTTTTTTAATTATAATAGTAATATTATATTATTATATAATTAATTATGTAATGTATAATAGGTTTAATAGATTTGATAAGCTATGAGTCTGGGTCTGAGGTTGGGGTGTCTTCATTGGGATCTAGTAGGATGTCCTGAGGTAGCCGAGGTTTGAGTCTTAGATTTGTGGATCTCTTGCCCATATTGTAGTGACAGGCTCTGCCAACTTAGTGGAGTTTCCCGAGGAAATTTTTAAATTGTTGTGTTATCCAGGTAGATAGGTGTGGTAGGCCTGTATTGTTGTGTAGTTGTTTGTTTCTCATAAACCAAGGGGCCTTTAGGGCTATTCTTAGGAATTTATTTTGGAGGGTTTGTAATTTTTTAATTTTTGTTTTTGAGACTGGGCATGCATAGGTTACTAATGGTCTTATTACTGCTGTGTAAAGGAGTAGAGAGCATTTCATTTGTATGGTAGAGCTATGATTTAATAGAGGGTACAGTATTCGTAGCCTAGTGTATCCTTGGTTTAATTTTTTGTTGATGTGTATTTTCCAGCTTAGTTTTTTGTCAAGGTGCAGGCCCAAATATTTTACTGAGTCATCTTTGTTATTCCAGTTGATTTCTTTATTGTTTATTTGAAGTAGGGTCGGGTTTATGTAATTTCTGAGTGTAAATATTTTTGCTTCGCTTTTGGTTGGGTTTAGTGTTAGTTTTCATTTTGAGAACCAGAGGGATAGTTCATCTATGGAGCTTTGTAGGTCTCTTTTTGAAGATTCAAGAGTTTGGTTTTGCGTTATTATTGCAATGTCATCTGCGAACATTGCTAGATGGCAGTGTTGCGGTGTTGGTATATCGTGACAGTAGATATTGAATAGAGATGGTCCTAGCACAGATCCCTGTGGAACTCCAGCCTTTACATTATGTATTTGTGATATATCTGTTCCTATTCTGACATGAAATTTGAGATTTACTATAAATGACAAGAGTGTATTGTTAAGGTATAAAGGTAGGTTTAGGGATTTTATTTTTAAAATAAGTCCATGGTGCCAAACCTTATCGAAGGCCTGTGATATGTCTAAAAAGGCTGTTGTAGTAAATTTTTATTTTCATAACTGTTTACTATGATTTCAGAGATCCATTGTAGCTGATGGGTTGTCGAATAAAATGGTTTGAAACCGAATTGATGTAGTGGTATAATTTTTAGGAACAGTTTAATTCTGTGCAGCAAAATTCTTTCAAGGAGTTTTGAGAAAATTGGGAGTAGGGTTAATGGGTCTGTAACTTTTGGGTGAACTATTTTGTTTTCCTGGTTTATGTATAGGGATAATGATTGCAATTTTCCATGTGTCAGGAAAATAGCCTAGTCTTATGGAGGAGTTCATGAGGTCTAGCTATGTATGATAGAGATTTTTGAGTATTTTATTTGTTATCAGATCATGACCCGGGCTTTATTTATTAGCTAGTTTATTTATTATTATCTGTATTTCTTTAGGGGTATATGGGCTCATGGAATTGACTATTGGTTGATCTTCTATGTTTCTTTGTTCAAGGTTTACTACTTCATTTTGGTTTGTATGGTTTTCATCAGTTGTGAAACAGCTTTCAAAATGTTGGGCAAATCCGCAAAGGATCAGATGCATTTTTCTAATTCTACTTTTGAAATTTTAGGTGATTATATTTATGAAAAGATTCAGTATTTACCAGAAATATATCAAAAGTTTTATTCATTAAAAATAGCAAATATTAATGCACATTTAACTGTTCTAGATAAACAAGTTAATGAAATCTTTGCAGAATAGACTATTGATACTTCTGAACAAGATTTAAAAATTGTCATAACTTAAGAATACATTTTTTTAATCAGGTTTCTGATATTTAGACAAAATATTTAGATATATAATTTAGGCAGTTTCATCTAGTTTGTTTATTGGTTTCGTAGATTTTGTAAATGGTCCGGGATAGTTATAACCAGACCAGTGAATTTCAGGCATAAATTTACTATTCAAGAAATTATTAACAAGTCTAGATCCAATGATCACTTATTTTGGTAAACTTGCAATAAAAGAAATGAGATATTCTATACCATGGGTTGTATCAACTAATTTTTTCCATTTCTTTACTTACAAAATTTATAATACTTAACTTTTCATTATGGAATTTATTATTATTACCAGCTTCTTCTTAGGCAGCAATAAAATATAATCTTTTTAACAATTTGTTTAAATTATCGATGTATTTATATTGAATTGGGTTTTCTGTACAAGTTATTGAACCAGATCCTTCATGCACTTTGTAATTTTTTATTTTCATTAATTTTATTCCAAATAGGACAGATCAGATTCATGTATTTATCCCCTTTACTTGATTTTACTTTTTTTGTATTTTTATTATTATTATGATATAATGATTCTGTTTCTATTAATATCTTTTCATAATTCTTAATATCATCATCAGAATATGATGTTTTATCTATATTTTTATTATATGTTAATAATCTTCATAATCCTTGTGTTCCTTTATAAGTTTTTTCGTTTAAAATAATATCGTTATCTTTACTATGAAAAATCCCAAATTTATCATCTAATAATTTGGCTAAATAATGAGCTGCAATAACTCCTATTTTGTTATTAATAATTGAATTTTTGATTTCTGTTTCTAAGTCTTTATCTCGTATCATTTTTTGTTTGGTAATAAAATCTGATGTTTGTGTTAACTGTTTCACAGGAACTAAAAATGATTTAATATCATCATCGGTTTTTCTAACAGCTTCTTTAGTATTTTTTAATCTCTTGGTTCAAATGCTTTTTGTTTTTTTATTTCATCATTTAGTTTTTTCTCTGCTTCATTTCTACACATTTTCGCTATTTTTTTCAAGATTAATTGTTTCATTAATCTCTACTTCTGTTGGTTTTTTTTCTCTTCAAATGTACTGTTTTTCGTATTTTATTAGATTTTTTTAAGTTTAATACACTTTTAATTTTTTTCTAAAGATTGTTTTGAATTTGTTCAAGTGTTCTCATTTATTATAGAAAAATACATTTTTTCAATAAATTTTCATTAACTGATGTTTGTTATTCAATGATTAATGATTATCATTCGTTTTGTAATGTTTACATAAAAATGTATCTAATTTATTATAGAGATGATTATTTGTTATATCTATTGATAAGAATCCAAATGGTTTTTTCCAACATTTTTTACAAAGTAAATTAAATAAACTTAATTTATTATCACATATAAAGTATTCCCATATTTTTTTAATATAATGATCAGACTGTTTAAAAATAATTAGAAAATTTAAATTGTTTCTTATAATTGTTAAATCCACGGTAGTATAACTCTTGTGTTCAATAAATACAAGAAATATTTTTATATCGACCTCTTATAAATTATTGTTTAATTTTTAATTGTTTTTCTAGAACACAATCATCGAAAATAACTAAACTATTCGGTTTGCATTCATCAACAGAAACTATAACTTCATTAGAAATAACTTTTTCGATTTCATCTATATCATTAAATACTTCTTCTAATTTCTCATAAATCAGTTGATCAATTATTTATGTAAAAATATTAAGATTTTCAAAAGGAATCCAAAAATTTGTTATAATATTCCACAATAAATTTATTCAATAATAAGCAGAAACATGTAAAACATTGTTATTTCTGAACTTATTTACACTGAATACTAAAAATCGATTTTTGGGTAGTCCAATTTTGAGAATTGTTGAGTTTAAATATCTTAGCGAGAAATCATCGTAGCTCAATTCTGTTTTCATCTACTCCTACTAAACCTTAAACGATCTTTTAAAATATGTTATCAAATTTTGTCTAAAATGATTAGTAAGAGATTTTGGATTCTACTGGATCGATTGACTTTAAATTTTATATAAACCTTTCAAATATAATCTTTGTTAACATATAGAAATTTGCTAAAATTCTAAAAGATAGAAATAAATTTATTAACAATACAAATCGTAATGTTATATATATTGGTAGATATATAATATTTTAATAACACAAAAATATTATTAGGTATATATAATTTGACCTAATTAATCATTATCGATTTGTATGCAAAATTTATCTATTACACACGCAATGTGTAATATATTTTATTATTTATTATTTTAAAAGAGAACTGTTCCTACCACAATGTTAATATGAAAATAGTTTTTAAATATTATTCAACTTTAAAAATAATAAATTCATATTTCTCTTGTTTTGATATAACCTTTTGGACTTTTTAAAACATTTAATTTTTTTAAATATAATTTTTCAATTTATGTTTGTGAACAAAGAACAAGAAAATAATGTGAACAGAGATCAGAAATTAGTTTTTAAAGTGAAAAATATCTAGCTGTTCCAGAACAAACATAATTATACTGCTTGTATATATATAATTGCTGTTAGTCAATCATTTCTCATTACTCACCAAGTAAATTTCAGAGGTTTTGTTGTTTTTTCTACTGCTTCCTTATCAATATCATCATGTGATTGCTGTAGTAATCCAGGAAACTTTTCTGTTAATCGAATCAGTTGTACATAGTAACGTTTTAATACTGTACAATCATCCACTGTACTAGCAGCTGACATCACTGCACCTATAGCAGATTGTCTAAGACCTTGCAGCATATCCACATCAGTAGAGTACAAATTAGGATCACGTTCATAGGACTGACGAATATACTAAATAAAAATATAATAAATAAATGTAAAAAGCCATAAATTGCATGCACTATGTACTCAGCAATTTATAAAATACTAAAACTTTGGTGAATTAACCATGTTAAATACATTATTATTACACTAAACATTTGTTAATAATATTAATTTGCTTGCTTAAATGTTTTTTTAAAGTCGTCATCAGTTGTAATTATGATGTTAATAACATTAATATGTTAAGAATTTCATTCATAAATAGTTGTATAAACTGTAATTTTAAAATAAATTCTAAGGAGGCATTAGATAACCATTAGAAAAACAACAAATTTTGTTAGGCCAAAAATGGTTAAATTGTAAATCTCTTTCCTTTATGTTTTATTATATATATTTTAAACCATAAGTGGCTAATACTTACATAATTTATGGCTGATGCGAAATCTGGTTTTCTGTCAGTTACACACTGTTTGGCAGGTAAGCCAATCATGTATAACCGTGGTACACCTTCCATATTGATTTCAGTCAAATTGATTTGTTAGAACTGTCACTAAATAAATAAATGTAATCTATAGGTAAGAGAAGAAAATAATATAAATAGTTACTACTATATTATATTATTTACTTATATTATATTATTTACTTATATTATATTATTTAAATAGTTACTACTATATTATATTATTTGATTGTTTTAAATAGTAGGCTGAAACCAAAACTGGTGTATCCAAAATTTACAGAAAGTAAAAGTAAATGGGGGGAATTACTATAATTATGCATTTTTAATAGAAATCAATTCTTGAGTCCTCCCTTCAGCTGTTCTTGTGTACCTGATAAGAGATTCTGATTGGTTGTTAAAAATCCACAGATGATAGATCCATCTATTTTATTATCCATGAAACAAACTCATAAATAGTGTTGCCAACTTATTTTATCCTTTTGGAAAAAGGAAAAAAGCGTTCACTAAATTAACTATCTAGAATTGGCTAGATACATCACTGCTAGCAAATTTTTCATAAAGATTTTTTACATTTCAGATAATGACACAAAACAATACAATTTATCACATGACTATTAAAAAAATATAATTAAAGAACCCAGTTACCATATATTAATAAATCAATATTAAAAAATTGTTTGAAAAAACACGACTTAGAATGCACTTTTAAGTTATATTAATATAACTACTTAATTTCAGTATATTACCATCATCAGGTTACTTATAACATTTGTTTTGGTTAATAACACATTAATAACAAAAGGCAAACACATAAGTTTAAATTTAAAATAAAACAAATGTATATAAAATATGATATTATTGTAAACAACATACTCTCAGAGATATACTTACAAAACTATGAAAACAAACACATTATAAAAAATTCCAACATTGAACAATACTATAGATATATATATGATACTTTTATAATATTTAAAGGCACGAAATATGGTAAATAAATTACAACAAAATTAACAAACACATACAATTTACAATTGAATTGCGAACTGATAATCAAATAAATATTTTAGATCTGAATATTAAAATAATTAATAATAAATTTGAATTTAATATTTTTAGAAAACCTTCACAAACTCATGCTAAAATGCCTGATTCTAACTATCCATATTCATAAAAATTAGCATATTTTAGATCAATGCTACATAGATTAAAAATATCCCTTCAAACAATAATAAGTACTTGCAAGAATTAAAAAAAAAATAAAAAAAAATAGCTTTAATTAATGATTTTAACTTAAAGACCCTTTACAAATTACATTTTAATGTTAAACACCAAAATAAAAATAATATCATTAATAATAAAAACAATATCAATTACATTAGTTACGAAAACAACATTTTCTTAACTAGAATAATAGAATAATCAAATTTATATACCAGCATTTAAAACTTATACTAATATAATTAAGACCCTAAATAATAAAATTGTTAAACATCAAAACCACCAATTAAAAAATATGATAACCCAGTTAAATATAAATTATATTAACTGATAGAAATTTCAAAACTAGGCTAAAAGAACATACTGCAGAAATTAGATTAAATAAAGTAAATACAAAATTAAATTTTGCAAAAAACATTTATTAGATCGTTAACACAAAACCACAAACAATATATAAAAAGACCTAACATTCATTTGTACACAAAAAAAAAAATACTTCAATTCAATATTAAAAAGCATACACAATGAAATAAAAAATAACTTTAATAATATATTAAATATACAAAATGTATTATGTTCACCTTTCTTAATCAACTTAAAGATAATAATAATGGCAATAGTAACAATCCTTAATCAATACTTTAATTTAATTTTGCTAAACAAACTTCAATGTGTAATATAGAAATCTATGTATTTCTATAATATTTGCTAATAATATCACATTTGTACATAAATTTGTGTTTATAACATTTTTATTTTATTTTAAATTTAAATTTATGTTTACCTCTTATTAATATGTAATTAATAAAAAAACAATGTTATAAGTAACTTTGGTAGGTAATGATGGTAATATACCAAACTAAGTAGTTACATAAATATAACTTAAAAGTATATCTGTATGCAATGATAAATGATTGCTAACGAAAAATAGAATCAGAGTGCAGTTCAGTTATGTTTTGAAAGGCCATAAAATTAACAAATTTCATCAACATTTGATATTAAAAATTATAAAAAAAAGGATTTCTTTTCATAAATACAACTTAGTTATTTATTTGTTAACATATAATTTATGTTGGACCACGTGTTAAATTTTTAAACATTCCTGTTTGGTCTAACAATTTTATCCACAAAGTACATACCGAATAAAAATTACGTCAAAAACTTGCAAAAATTAAAATGTCTATAAGTAGCTAAAAAAAAAATGGCTAAAATATTTTAAGAAGACAAATATAAGTTTTATATCCAAATTTCAAGTCTCGGCATATATTTTAACTCAATCGAAACAAAAACCTAAATTTAAATAATTAATTTAATAAATTTTCCTTATTGTATCTCAGTTTTCTCAATTATGATGAAAAGTGCTTGGAAAATCAAAAAAAGACCTTGCTAAAGTACTATCTAGATAAAATTTCCTTTCTGAAAAGGTACTACACTTGATACATCAGACAAAATGTTTACAGATAAAAAAAAAATAAAAATAAACCAATACATTCCTTGCTTTGCTCAGAATATAAAAAGGTTAGAATTTACATTATCAATTTTTTTTTTTTTATACTTGCCCAACAATAAAATTTGTTCAGTAATTAGTTCTATCATAAAGATAGATTTGATGTATTTAATCACTTACCTCTCCCATTGGGTTTTTTATGTATTTGCACTTATCATAATAAATGTACAAATACATCAAAAGTAAGTGTGATAAGTAAATTTGATTTAACCAATGGATTAAATAATAACATCCATATTTTAAAGATTTTAAATAATAACCATTTACATTAAAAAAAATACGGAAAAATAAAACTTTTTTTTTGAACATGCAAAAATATATTTTGAAAAAAATTGAATAATTCTAGTGTAGCGACCTTGCAATTTTTTTTTTCAGATAGTTTTGCACAACAAATTGAGATATCGATAAATTGAAAAAAAGTTTAAAATGTAAATGTTCAGCATTTTTCTAACATATTTTGTATTAATTTTGAAAATACTACTTCTCAAGATCTATGACGTGTAATAATTTAAAAAGTATGTATTAAAAGGAAGTTTAGATTTTACCAATCGAATAAGAACTAAAAACCTCATACCTATTTTAAAAATATTTAATTTAACGTATTCCTTTTGAAAATATGTATAATGGAATATCCAAACTTCTTTTCACCAGTAATTCCCAAACAAAGTGCATCCAAATTTTTTTATTTGTACATTGTCATTGTACACACGATTGAACAAAAAATCGCTAGGTGTTTAAACTAAAATTATTGTATTTTATATCTAATAATTACTAAACAAGGTATCTTACCACTATAATAGTAGTAGTTGTATTCTCAACATCAGTAGTAGAAGTTCTGCTCACCGCGATAATGGAAAAAATCCATTGGAATCAATTGACACAGCAGTTGACAATTTTTTGCAGTTATCCAGTAATTAAAAAACTTTTAAGTTATAGTTCTACAACAACAACTAAAACAATAACATTAATAATTATAATAACATAAGCTATTAGTATCGAGAAAGTAATTATTATACAAACAATTTACTTATACCTACATAATTTAATAATCTATCACCGTTGAACACGATCATGCCAACCTCTTCAGCTATCAGAGTGTCAGCTTACTTCTAATCTACATTACAAAATATGTTTATGATTTATGATTATATTATAATAACTACGTAGAATAAAGTAACATAATTTATAACTATATTAACTTGTAATATTAGCGAATTGTAACTATATAGCACAAATTAAGATAAAAGTATACGTATACATATACATACGATATATGTACCTAGGTTACTTACCAATATTGTGTATCGCCCCTGCTTCACCTAAAATCTTTAATTCACGTTTAAGAAACTAATTGTACATATTCACACGGACTGTTATGTAAAGTGAAATAGTAAAATTATAAAGTAGCTCAGTTAATCAGACCACCGCCCGACGATAAAACGAATAAAAGATTAATCTTAGTTATCTAGTACTCACGACAACAAAATCCGATTATAGTCGAACTGCACAATGTATTATTTTCATTGGAACTCGTTTGGGCTGTTCGTCCGCGGCCATTACATCATCAATAGCTGATTACACTATCAGCTATCATTAAAATATTAAAAAATATGACCGCCGATAAGATAACCTAATCTACACGTATGTTCCAATATAAGATTTAACACTATTATATAGAATTATTATTGAAATATGTAATAAAAAAGCCCAGCGATTACTAAAATTGTATACAATGTTGCCTATTGAACTCCTAAAATAGTACTGCTAATAATTTAATAATTTACCGACCTAGCACCTAGCAAAAATTAGTTTTTTAACACATTCTCGACATATCATTGCTAATATTCAATTCCTGTACCTATGTTGTCTATCCAGCTCCTAAAATTGTATTGATTTTTTTTTTCAATTTTTCTGTTTATTGATTATCTAAATTTCGAAATTCTTATGCTATTGTTCAAAAAAATATATCTATACCAAATTCATTTAACAAACATAAAGTTATCCTTCAATTCTCAGTTTTCACACAGTTTTGAATACTTAATTATATTTCCCATTCATTCAGAGTTATAATAATTATTTTATCATAATTTGAAATAGGTACCTTCATAATATTTAGGTATCAGATATCTAATGTGAATCTAGGTCAATTTATTGGTCCCGTGAAAAAAAAGTTGTATGTAGACAACGGTCCCCGGCATAATTTTATACACGGACAATAGGTTCCGAGGAAATTTTCTTCCTGTGACATTTTTGTGTAATGTTGTTACATTCGATAAAAGAATAATATAAATATAATTTGAATAAAAATACAGGAAAAAATATGTAATGTTTAGTATTGAAACTTAGACAACACAAATAATTTAAAAGTTCATCGTTTGAAAAATCAATTGAAAAAATTTTTATTTTTCACTCATAGGTTTCATAAAATTATTTTATAATACATTTTCATTGTTTTAATAAAATATATCATAGTTATTGAAGTAATTATTTCAATAAAAATATATATATATATATATTTATATACATGGATGTTTAATCTGGACAATATGTTGCAATTTATTGTCGAATGGTTCCGATATGTTGCTAGTTATCCTAATCAAAGATGTGAACACAAAATTTCCCCGGGACCAATAATTTTCCGTATATAAAATTATGACGGGGCCGATTGTCCGCATACGTTTTTTGCGGGGACCAATTTATCCGGGGACCAATTGACCGTTTCCCATTTAATGTTTAGTACCTGACCTAAGTATCTATAATAAGGCAAAGATGTATATAGGGAGAGATTAAGGAAGTCATTATTTAGCCCCGGGCACCACATTTTGAGTAGACGTCAGACTCCTACACATCGTAAAATAGTTATTCTATATCATTAATCACGTCCTTGAACACTCTAGTTGGTGTTCTTTAGTGTTCATAATCACATCAAATTGTATAGTATTATCATGACCAAAGAAAACAAATTTTTAACAGATAATCAGCTATGTGTATCAAAGTTGATAGTAATGACTTTTGGACTTAGATACCATTAAAGTGCCTTGATAGGCATTCTATCAATCTATCAATTTATCTCTATCTATCAAGGCACTCTAGGTAAGGCACCAGTAAGCGAATAATTATAGAATATAAATTACAATTATCTCTCCCATCCATCCAAGCCATTTCTTCTCTCACAGGCCCGTGGTCCCACGGGCCACAACCATCGTTTTTTTGTTTTTCGCGAAACCTTTACAATTATTTGTATTTTTTACGTAAACGATTGTTTATTTTATTGTGGAATGTTAAAATTGGTTTTATTATGATATGTGATTTTTTTATTTTCATGTTTGTAAGCAATTTTTCTGCCAGTAATATTGCTCCAATTAAAAAGTTACAAAAGATCGATTTTATAATACAATTTTGTTTTAAAATGTATAAGATTACATTTTTCTACCAGAAATCTTTACCCAAATTTCAAAAATAGTAAACTTTTTCTGAAAGAAAATATTGTCTAGTGAGTAAGAAAATCATTTGATTTTCTGTATAGTTTTCATAATAATTTCTAAAAAGCGGGGAAACCGTAGAAAACACGGCAAAATATATTGCATTTGGGTTTTTTGTTTTTCGGTTAAAAATTATTGTAAAGACCTACTTATACTGTCCTTTTGTATAATACTTAACCATAATACCTTTCATTTAAAAACTTATGTCTATTATTTATTGTTGTTATTTATTAATTTAGCTGTTTATAATAGGTATATAACATATGTTTTATAATATTATATAACATTATATAATATTAAATAAATTATTACCTATCCTTGTATCTATATTCTAAGTACTTATTTATAAAAAATAAAAATTCCAAGTGGGAATGATTAACCACAAATTTAAAATTAATACAGCGGAGGTAAATTAGCTACAACAAATAGTTATTTTGAATTGTTAAATTAATTGTAATTGGTGGTTGAATAATGAATTGAACTATAACATTTTAATTACAACTATAATATTTAGATTATGTTGTAGTAAAATTAACCTAACAAATTAGTTGTAAATGATTTTTTACTAGTTAAAACCAATTCCACACTAATTGTTGGAAAACAATAATTCAAGTTAAATCAACAATAACATAGTATCATTTTCAAGAACATTCAATCTTTTTTACGCTATTTATACGTACATATTTGATATTTTTATATTTTTATAGGTATGAATATTTATTTGGTAGGTATCTGTTATTAAAATTTTGACTTAAGAGAAATGCTTGAAAATTTAACGCAAGGTACATACCTACATTATAAATTGTACTTAGTGGTCTAAAAATCAAACATGAGTTTAATGCATTCGTTTTTTTTTTCGTAAAATTCAAGATAAAATTTTAACAAAAATCTTATAAATTACGGCATTTCAAAATATGTATGTATTACCAAATTTCGCTCTTAACCGTTTTTCGTTAACAACGGTAATATAAATTAAATAAGTAACTTCATGTATTCTATCTTTCCGATATTACTGAATTGTAAACCTCAATGTTATGCTCAATTCAGAAATTAGAAATAATTTTGATTATACATTTTAAATTTAGAATGCATTTCGCATAACCAAATAGGTACCTTCTACTTTCCGATTCAAACGAATACCCTATTTTTAGCCTAGCATAAATTTTCGAAAATTCACCATAATAAGTTGTATTTAATATTCTGATATTATATACATGATATTTATGTGAACAAAATACACGTTAAAAACATTTATAAATTCAATATTTTTAAATCAAATTCTTGTCAAATATTTTTAACTTGAGATTTGAGAAGTAAAAATGTTATTAAAATGACCCAAAGAAACGTATTTTGTAATTAATTTATTGACACATATATATTAACGGTAATATATATAAACGGTAACTTTACATTAATATTTTATGTTGACTTGTTGTGCATAATACGATTTTTCATGGGGTATGTACCTAATGAGAATGACTAATAAAATTCGAAGTAACTTTGTTAACTTTTTGTGATAATTATATCGAATATTTTTGGCATTAAAGACAACTGTGGTATAGGTTTATTTTTATGCAACTTTTAAGTAACAGTATATTTTTGTCATCTATGATGTGGATTCACAAGTCCACTCAGTCATGTAGCCCATTTATTTTACATATGTATAATGTACAAATTAAGGAATTTTATTAAATAATTAATACAATATATTAAAACATAAAAAATAGCAATTTTTTATTATGATAATGCATTTTGAATACATTATTTATATTTCATGATATACTAAGAAACATTTTTTTTTTTTTATTGAAACACAAAATTTAAGTTGTAATGTGCACAGCAAGGCGGTTTTTAGCTATAAAAATAAAAACATTTTTTTCTTAAATTTGATAAGGAGTACCTTAAATTTTGTTTAATACATTTAAACAAATAATTATGATAAAGCTTGAATGTAATAGGTAAACCTCTTCTCGTGTCTCAAAGGCGTTGAAGTTTTATTAATGCGGGATGAATTTTACGCTTTGCTTATACTGTCTTAAATATAATGTTACGAAAAAAACATACAGACTATTATTGTAGTACTATATAAATATATGTTATATATTTTCCTTTGAATTTATTGTGAAAAGTATGGTTTTCCACAAATTTAAAAAAAATCTAGTCAAAATTAGTGTTTTAGAAAATTGAATTAGTTTTTAGTTTTAGTTTACTAAATACAATTCACAACAAATTCATATGAAACTTTTATTTAGTAAATATACAGGTTGATCAATCTATCGTAAGTCACTCGTTATCTCGGAAAGTATTCACTTAATCCAGAATTTATTTACTAGAATATTTAAGAAACAAGCTGCTCTACAATTTAATATTTATGTTATTTTTGGTAGTTAAACCGCTTCCTAATTTTGATTTTTAAATAGCAACCTATATTAAAAGTTCCATAAATAAATGGAATATTATTTAAAATAAATTTTCGTGTTGAAATTTTTGATTTCCGTTTGTTTTCAATCAGATTTTCAAGCTGCAAAACAGTAATAACAAAAAGTTGATATAATCTATGAATAAAATGAATTTTTTTTTTCCATGATACTTTATTAAACTGCAAAGTTCTCTCAGTCATTACCAGGATGTCCAAAATAAATTACACCATTAAAATAATATAAAATATTAATTATAAAATGTATTGTACAACAACCTTTTAACTTTTGAAAAATATATAAATCTGATAAATCTTTAAGTCATTCAAATAAGAATTATTACTACTAGATGATATTTAAACATACATTAAACTCAATAATATTAACAAATAAACCTCCTTAAAAATTAAATATAAAACATTAGAAACATGGCCTTAAAAAGTTTCTGTATAGGGTTACATAATTGTAATTGTAAATTGTATTATTAGAGCTAATGCTTTTTAGCACTTAGTAAAGTAAAATGCATTGTGTTATTTCTTAAATATATGTATAAAAAAAATAAAAGCTAAAAAGAAGTAATGGATGAAAAATATATAAAATATATAATTTATTACTTTAAGTCCTGAACACAAATTATGTATAAATATGATATAAAGATTGAATATATTATATAATATAAAATTTTAGAGAAAATAATGTTAGTTTTATAAACTTATTTTTTTTTTACTGAAACAACAATGAAATAACATACAAAATCTGACCATTTAGCTAGTTCTAATCTAATCTAACCAATAAATTATGCATTCATTTAGAACTTTTTCATTATGATGCCATTCATGGTGATGGACTCCTGGCACAGTGTACTCGATCAGTCGACCTGTCATATCTAGCTGCCGTAATCCGATAGGATCATTATTGCTGAATACATCATCTTGTTGTCGGTTCCGTAATTGTATTAATCCACCAGTGCTATCTAATACAGCAAATTGACTGTACATAATATAAAATTACATGAGTAATTAATTTATAATAATGGAGGGCAGATATTTGTAAGCATGTACCTGGATTGCCATGGTGATATAACCCCATCATCAGGCCCACCAATTAGTACCATTCTCTGCAATCGAGCCAAGCCTATTTTTCTTGTGTTTGATTTAGCATTAGGATAATCATCTTCTAGGTAGGAAAGGTTAACATTATTGACCAATGTATCAGTCATAATAGAATCAATAGTAGCGGCTGAAGTAAATCTTTCTTGGGTACTGTTATCATCATCATGTCCTTCGGCTACTTTAATTGTAGCTGTGGTGACTGCAGCTATGGCTACAGAAACATGTGTTTCTATTATTTTGGTTTCATCCTCATTAGATTGAACAATTATAGTGTCATCAGATGATGTATAAAACAAATTTGTTGTATTCAAAATTGAATCATTAATTTTATTTTTATCACCATCTTTAATTTTGAGAAGATGACCAATGTTTGACTCTTCAGGTTTTAAATTATCAATAACTGCTAGGTAAACGCTGTATTTAAGATAAAGATCTCGATGCCGAGGATCATACCAATAGTTAGCAACAGACAAAGCACGTTGGCCTAAACGTGAATAGAATAATTCATAAGCAGTACGTGTTGTTAATGCAGGAAACATTTTTGTAAAACACTCAGCTATAAAACAAAATTTAAAAATATTATATACACCTAGTAATAGGAAAACTTCATCACAATGGTACCCATAATAATGAAATGAATATAAATAAAGTCTACATATTTTATTGGTATTGGTTTGTTATGTGTGTGAAAACTTTCTATCCCCATCACTCAGATTTGTTATCTCTCTGTCATCCATAATAATAAATACATAATATAAATACAAAATAATCTAATAATTTGAAAGAAAAACTGTATCATTACTATTAGGTTACATCATATAATATGGATTATTTAAAAACTAATAATCAAACCAAAATAGTTACAGATCAAACATCACAGTACATTTTTGTTTATTGTTATTCGAGAATTATTCATTATTATTTAATATATTACTTTTAAAATAGATTTCAAAGATTTATTAACAAATGTTTGATATAAATGCCCCAAATGAGGTTAAATAAATGCAGAAGAACCAATAGAAATTTTTTTGACTTATACATGGCAGAATTTATATGGCAACCAAAATTAAGTAATAGTACAATTTTAAAAAATATTGCACAATTTTGGGAATCATGGAAAGCCCAAACATTTCTATACATTTTTAACATAAAAATATCATTATATAAACTTATTATTTTTATTATTATCACTTATATACTATTTAAAAAAAGCCTTAACATTTTTAATTAATTTTATATCAGTGAATAAACTCATATTCTGGATATGTCTTGTTGCAATAACATAAAAACCAGACATCTTCATTTGTACAATATCTCTGTATTTAATGATCAAATTTGTTTGGTTGTTAATAATAAAAATTGAAAAACTGATATTCATCAAAATATGAATGTCTGGTTGTAAGACCATAAGTCTATTTTACAATAGTAGGAATATTTGCTAAAAAAACTCTATTAGTCCATTAGTTTTTAGAAATTTTCAAAATGTATGAGAAATACCTCTGTAAATATAAGTAGAATAAGTAAAATAAAAACACATACCACCATACTGGCCTCCCTGTGGGGAGCTAAGCGACACAAATGTCTTAACATTGTGTTCATTGCCACACATTTCCAACATGCCTCTGACTATAAGTCCACCTTGCGAATATCCTATTAATGCAATCAAAATTAAAATATATGAACCATGGTACATAAATATATTAAACCTGTAAATACCTATTTATATGTACATACTATATTATATCTACCTATAACATGTACACCTTCTGGGTGTAATGAACATATATATAATAAGTCATCAGCTAACAACTTTGTTTGCCGCCACAGTGGCTCCAAGCTGGCCAAACCACAAAACCTGTTAATAACATATGTTTTTGTACCTGGATGTATCTGTAAATCATTGAAGTATGGTAAATTACTGAGAAGAATATAATTTAATAATTACTATAAATTTATTTTTGATAGGTCTAAACATTTTGTTTTAATACTTGTATTCGTTATTTAAGTAAGTTCCTAATTATTATAAGCACACACAAACTTTGCATTTCTTTAAATTATGAAAAAACATTTTTACTGACAAAGATTAATTAAATTTTATAATATTTTACCAGATCAGATTTGTGATTGTAGTATAATAAAATATAATTCCTAACTAAAATATTTTAGTAGTTCATATTCATTTAAATTGTTAAATAGATATAGATAACTAAACTTTATATATTATTTAAAATCTCAAAAACCCATAATAACAACTCCAAATTATTTATTAATAATCATCTTAGTTAAATATGAACCTATGAGAACAAGGATACTATGTATATACTTAGGTATACTTCATACGAAGTCAAGAAAATAATTATAAATTAATAAGGCAATACTCACCTTGGTTATATTAGTAGCTAGATGTTGCATGGTGCTCACGTCACCTGTCATCAAACCGTGTACAATGACAACTGGCCTGTAGGGTAGTGACGTATTATTACAGACACAAGATTTGTTCGACATTGTTGGTGTTACTTATAATTGTTTTATGTAGACCTTTAATACTAACTAATAACTTCCACAATGTAGTATTCCAATATTTTAATAATCGATGTCACTACTACTTAAAAATTATTAACAATCAGTTTATTATTCTTATAGACTAAAAAAAGTGACCTCATTAGGTACACAATAACATTATCATAAAAGTAGGTATTTCCTTAAATAGTAGGTACCTACATATAATAAGTAAGCCTTTGATCGATTTTGCGATAGTTAAAACCGAACATTAATTATTTAATTATTACTCATTTTTAATACCTATTTGTTAAAAGTTTAAAATAAGTACTTAAATGTGTTTAAAACAAAAACGTTTAGCACTCAGAAATCTGATTATACCTAAACAGATACACTACTATCAATTATGAATATTATTATGATATGAAAACTGGAAAGTGATAAGATAAAGCTTGTGAGGTCCTCATAGTTCGTATAAGGGACAAGGTTTATGAAGGGCCTGTATAAAAATCAGTTTTATAAGTAATTTTCAAGATTCATACCATCTAGAACCGAATATAATATTAAGGAATAACTTTGATGACTGAATGATTGTTATGGGAATATCCACTATCCATTATATGAATGATGATGAATTGATGACTAGGCTAAGTTGTTTTTGAATTGATTTTTATTGTGAATAATATAATAATATTTAGACAAATTTGGCCTAGGATAAATATTAAATTTTTTACATAAGTATTGTGAAGCATCCGTACTTTCTGGGACAGATTTGATCAAAGATTAATTATGGTCAAGGACGCATTTATGGGAAGGGCTAAGGGAATCATATACCATTGTTATTAATTTGTTGATAACATCTTATTCTAAAGTTCTGTCCTAATTCATATGATACAGAGTAATAGTATTCTGTTAACTAATCATTAATAAAAGTTTTTACTAAAAGTAAGTTCTATGCAAAACTATTCAATAGTATATATTATTACTCTATAAAAATAATTATGAAAAAAAATATTTTCATTAAATAAGAGCTTAATGTTCATGAAAAATATTCTCATATTTATTTTCTTGTTATTTATGATTGTCCACTTGAGATAATGAAATTCTTTCAAATCATAATAGGATAACAATTATTTATTGTTTAAAATTAGTTTGTCTTATTGGTGCATGTCATGATATCCAGAGATAATAGATAATGCAATTTACAAAAATCATAAATTATATTAGTTCTGGTTGTTACATTATTTTGATTCTGTAAACCCCTAGTGTCCTCCACAGGGGAAAAAAACTAATAATTTATTACTAACCAAAAAATTGTTGTCTTATTAAACAACCCATAACTTAATATTCATGAAGGAAACAAATCTAACTAAAAAGAATGACTTCCAAGTCTAAAATGGTTAAATCTTCGTAGGTATAAATTTGAAACAATTCACTCATTCTAATGTGTCTCATTCTCATTCTGCCAATAATTCACAATAATACCTACTAATACCTAATAATAACTCCTCTGTAACCTAGGCACCTGCTATTTTTTTCAAATATAATTATAATTTTGTGTATATATAAGAAAAAACAAAATATAAATAACACTTGATCAACTGATGAGTTTTTGTTTTCCTCTGATTTGAAGTCTGAACTTCTGCTGAAAGAAGGAACTGAGCACCAACCTGAAATATTCCTATATTACAATAAACTTTTAAACCTAAAATAAATATCATTATATTATACATATATTTTAAATTTATTAAATATTTTATTTATTCATATTTAATATGGGTACCTACTTTGTTATTTTATTAATATGTTTTGGTAAAATAGTTTACAAACAAGTTCAATATACTTAAATACTAAAGTGGTAATATGTGGTTAGCAAATTAAGTTGGAAAAGCTTTTATAATGCCTATAATACAGTGGAACTCTGATAAGTCGTAATACATGCTGTTCATTGGGAAAACCCAGATTACTTGAAAGAAAAACTATAAACAACTCCAAACATTCTGTGTTTTGAATATAGATGAACAAAGCCCGATAATTTTTATAATTTGTATAATCAGCTTGTGCATTCCATAATTTAACCAAATAATCTTTTAGTTATACAACTTTAAAATAATAATAATAATAACAAAATACACTGTAATTATATGTGCATATATGTATACTATACAATAATTAAAAACTATAATACATATATACATTTTAAAAACTTAAATTTTTTTTCCTAAAACCCTGAAGACTCAAAAACCTTAGGAAGTCAAAAAAAATGGCATTTTCCTTTAATTCCAACTTATTGAGGTTCAACTGTATTTCAAAAAAGAAAAACTGTTTTCAATAATCACTGAACATAGGAAAAATAATTAATGGTTCAAATGGAAATTAACCAAACATTAGCATTAATAAATAATACAAAATTCAGTATTGGCATTTGAGTATTTATTTTATTATTAAATAGGTAATATATAGGTAACTGAAATAATATTAATATAGATATAGAACATAAACTTAACAAAATTTAACATGTTGACTGTATATTAACATCAAAATGATGTAAATAGTTTAGTATTCTTCCTGGGCATGTCTGAATGATATTTGAATATTAATTGGCTTTTGTTTAAAAGAAACCAGATCATTACATACATAACTTTCTATTTATACATTATTATTTTTTATTATTATATTATTTTATATTTAATCTGATTTATTTTAATATAAGGATTAGAAAGTTATGTATTATGTAATGTAGTGAAAACTGCAAAAAAACATACACAATCAACATGTTAAAAATTACTCTAATAAGTGAACGACTAGGTAGAATAAACTGAAACAATATTCAAACTACAAATTAAAAAAAATCATAATAACAGATAAATAAAATTAAAGAAAAATAATAGCAATGAACAATATTAATTAAATTTAAAATTACACTAATATAAGCTTTTATATATGCTTTTTTTTACTACCTCCACTAATATATTAAATATTTGTTTTAAGTCTAATTAACTTTTGATCAGTTGATCATTATTTGACTAATAGTATAAACAATATAAACTCAATAATATTACAAATTAAAAATATATAAAAACAAATGTAGTATCTAGGACTAACAATTAATAATTAATGGTCAACTAATAACTTCTTTACATTTTAAATATCTAATTATATTTGTTAAATCTGTTTGACATAATAATAATACAAATTAACATTATTTTATTCTATTAAAATCTAAAATAAGACTATTAAAACATTAAATTAAATTTAAGGCACACGCAATTGAGGTAAAATTTTAAATGTAATATAAATAGAAACCTTATATAATATGTTATAATAACTAAAGGAAAGTTAAATTAAAACAAATTTGTTTGATTTATTTACATTAATTTAATAAATTACTAGCTCATGATAAAAATGATCTCCCTACATACTTTTATTTACTACAGATAAATAGTTAAATTTAAAAATTATATTTTGTTGGATTAAGCACCAATTTTAAATAATTTACTTTTAAAAAGATAAATCAATTTTATTTTTTAAGTTTTGGTTTGAGTAAATTTTTAAATGGTAATAATTACCTTAGTTTATATTAATATAATAATAACTAATTTTTTCTAGTATTAATAAATAATTTGAATAGTAATAAGAAGAATAATAGTATCCTTATACTAGATATTTAAAGTAAATATAAAGTTTAAAAATGGAATAAATAATTATTTTATATATGTATGTATGTATGTATGTATGTATGTATGGGCTAAGTATACAACATGAAGATTTGTTAAAAAATGTCCAAATTCTATACTTTTTCCATAACATAATATACAATATGTCCTGATGGGCATCATGAAAATATATATATACCTAAAATTATGGGAAAACCCAAAAAGGGAGGGTCTCAATATAATACTTTGAGAAGTATGTTTTATGTTAAATTGATCACTTATATTTAACAGTTTTTGATATACATACAAAATGTGAACTTAATCAAGATGTTATAATATAATATATTCTCAAAATGTACTTAAATACTTTTTAAATAAATTATTAGCATTTAAGTTTTATATATCATAATAAAGTGTATTATTTATTCACTTATAAAATATGTAATTGAATACATGTATAGGAATATCATATAATTATTTACTTTTTTTAAAAATTGACAAATTATAGTAAACAATTTAATATGTTTATTTTAGTATTAAGAATATTATTATTATGTAATAAAATAGCGAAAAGCCATTTTGAGCGAACTTGGATAAGTGGCAAAACCATTTTGCATTTGACCTAAGACACCACTTCACCATTAAATAAAAAGTACCAGATTTATACAGAACAGTGAATTCAATCTGGGGGCGACCCCATTTTGGTAAATCTACAAAAGGGACATAGAATAAAATAGGTTGTAAATGATGACTATTTATAATGCATAGTGATATCTCAATAATAAGTATCAAATTAGTATTTATTATTAAAGAATTGTAATGCTTTTAATAAATAAAAATTATGTGAGGAACCTTTTTTTTTTTTACATATATTGATATAATATTTAATTATTGTATTTATGCATAAGCAGAATTGCCACAAATATTTTCTACTTAAAATAATAGATAAAGTAACTACAATGTATAAAGTGACCAAAAAGTAACTTAAATACTTAAATAAGAGTTTCATAAGATTCAGTTTAATTTATAAATATGTTATTATAATTTTACATGAGGTGCATTGTATAATTTGTATTGGACATAACCATGAAATTGTAGTAAGATGAATGTATACCCATTTTTAAATATAGGTCGAATAAATAGATACTTATATAATTATTAATTATAAGTAAGTTCAATGTACCAATTCAAAGAATTTATTATGTTTCATTTTGAAAAAATTGAAAAAAATGGATTTCACAAACAAGAACAAATTTCTATGAAAACTTTTTATTAATTCTTGGTAACATTATGTATTAACAAAATATATTTATTATATAAATACCTACAAAAGGTTACAGATTACATGCGGTTGACCAATCAGCATTTATAACAATGTTGAGATTAAGATTAAATTAATTTATTAACTTAGATAACTAAAATATAAGTTCAGTCTTTATGCAAAACATAAAATACTTTTATTATTAGTATTTATATATATATATGTATTGACTTTTTGTATAACAATAAATCTCAACATATTATAAACAGCTTAAAAAGTGCCCAACAAATTTAACATGAAAAAAAATGACATTTGGTGACTAAAGATAAAAAGTAGACTTTTAGTGGCTTGTAAAGAAAGTGACAGAGTGGCAACCCTGCAAAAGCTAAAATACATACTCGCATTAAAATTAAATAATCAAACAAATCACATCAAATGATTAATTTTCAATTGTTACCCCCACCCCAATGTACAAGTACAACATATTATATCTTTATAAAAAAAATATAAAGAGTTGTATATTTGTGATACCTACTTGGATTTGGATTATTTTTTATTTAACAGTGAAGAGTTTTAAATCAAAATGGACTTTACAGAGGAACAGCAATGGCAAAGAGACTTGTTCTACATCAATTTTGATTAAATATATAGAATTGAAGATGTATAAAATATAATACTACCTAGGTAATTCACATCACCAATATCACCAATTTTTAAGCTCTTTTGTTGTTAATGCAATGTTGTTTTGAGCCATTAATTGATGTATTTCATGTTATTCTGATAATTTGTTACAGTTACTTATGAGGTTTGTAATAGTGTCACGCAGTTTATTGTTTTCAACTTTGAGTTTTCGATTTTCTTCAGAAAGCATCTCCCATTTCTGTTTTCTTTTCATTCTGCATCGTTTGGCTGCTGTTCTGTATTTAATTAGTAAATGTTATTGTTAATATAGATAAGTGGTAATATCAGTTAATAAATATCAGTTATCAGTTATTTTTAAAAAACTGAATAATAATGGTGTATGTCCTATATTATTTTTAGAATACTATATTTTTGCTACTGATTGAATAAAAAAGTTTTAAAAAGTAAAGGGCAAGATGTATTTAATAATTATAATAATTTTGTATGTTTAAAAAACAGTTTTAGTCTTAAAATTGTTATTGTTATTAATTATTATTAATGAGCAATAAAATAATTTTCTTCAAATATATTTGGTGTATTATGGTATTATTTTTATAAATTGAATTTCTACAAATTGCATTTTTTTTAAAAATGACATATGTCTAAGGACTTAAAATAGTTGTATGACAAGTAATTTTATAAATAATAAAGTAAAAACAAAATTATTGAAATACTGGTAAATAAATATAGTAAATAAATACATAAATAAAACATTTATAGATCCACATAAAAAATGAATAAATGCACCTGGAATATTATGATAAGTGTATTATACAACCAGTTTTGAATTAAAAAATTATTATCAGGTATATCACAGTGTAAAAGCGACTAAATATAAAAAAATTAATGAACAAATACATAGGGGAAAAAATGTTATGATATGTTAAGGAATATAAATAATTTGATTATTATTTATAATCTAAAATGTATTAATACAAGATATTATTTTTAAAATTGGTTTGTACATTTAAAATATTATTAAAATTATTTTTCTTTATTTCATTGTATAGATGTAATTCTTCTAAAACTGAATTAATGTAAATGTTATTTTGGGTATTAAATATCTCTAAGTCTGTATTAATAACAAAACTAATATTATAGTTATTTTCTAAAACATGTGTAGCGAAATTTGAATTAGTGCAGTCTTTATTAATTTTATTTCAGAAATGTGATTTTTATATCTTATTTTAAAATTTCTATTTGTCTTACCTATATAAAATTTATTACAGTTACATTCAAGTTTCTATAAACCAGCATTTTCAAAGGAAGGAGGATTTTAGTGAAGTTTTTAGTTTATTTATATATATATATATTTATCCACTATATTTAATTTTATACAATTTCATAAAATCTTTTCAGAATCTTACATATCATTATAATTCTATATAATGTGAATTTTTTTTTTTCAATGTTTTCTAGAGAAATTAAGTTTTTTGTCTCTACTAAACAATTATAAAAAGTGGACATGTACACTTCTTTCATTTAATGATTTATTTATTTATTATTGTATATTATTATTATTATGTTTAGTATGTAGTACCTACTAACATAATGTTTAGATTAATAATTTGACAGCTAAAGAATAATAAATAATTCAAATAGTTATAACACCTGTTTCTCTCAAGCAGTTCTTGTTTATGTTTCTTCTTTAACTGCTGTTTTTTACTGTCATCATCATCTTGATCGCTACTGTTATACATTGTATTGTCTTGTATTGGTTCAGTCGTGATAAATCCATCATTACCATTTCTCTGCTGTTGTAATTGTTCAGAAACCACTGGTGAACTTTGTTGTCCTTGTATTAATTGTTTCACCAATAAGTTTTGTTTTAATGCCTTTGCTTGCGCATGAAATACAGAAACAGATATACACAACATTATTTATATTGATATAAAACTAGAGTAGTAACGGGTATAAAAAGCAAAAAATTCAGTATCTAGTACCTGCTTAATTGTAGTTATTTCAGTTAAACCTTCAATAGCCATTTCTTCAATATTACCATTATCACTGGCATCTTCATCATTATAACACATTGGATCTGTCATAGTCATTATTGTAGTTCCAATAGCATTAGTTGTGGCTGTAGTTGCTGGTACAATAAATCTTTGCTGTGGATGATGCTGTTCAATGATGTGCTGGTGTTGTTGCTGCTCCACCATCATGACCAACACATTTCCAGTTCCCGCCTTGAGTTGAGTAAAAATGATATAGGTAATAATAGTTATAATTATGATATATTAAAAAATGTATTGATGTAAAATTTGGTTATCTAACTATATCAATCCCCTCAGGGGGTACTAAGTAATTAGTTTGGCAAACCCAAGGCACCGAGCCCCACACTGACTTAATTAGTTGGTGTGGACTGGTCCTCCAGGTTGAGGGTTGTGCGTAGGGCCAATAACCCTACCACATAAAAAAGTAAATGTTAAGAAACAACTACATTATTCAAAGCCTTCGATGAAAGAGATAACGGATTTACTAATTGGAACTTAGAACGTGCGATCTTTGTTTAAGGCTGGAACTTTGACGACATCTCTATCATGTCTTGAGCGATATGAGATGGATATTACTGCTATTCAAGAAGTGAGATGGACAAGTTCAGGGAGTTTGAAGTCTCAAGGAATGATTCACTTCTACAGTGGGGACAAACACGAATGATGTGTAGGGTTTATAGTAAAAGGAAATTTACTACCACAAATTACAAATTTCAAACCTATAAATGATCATTTATGTTACATAGAACTTAAATGTAAGTGGCACAATATGATTCTAATTAACTGTTATGCACCCACTGAAGACAAAAATGAGGAGATAAAAAATGAGTTCTATGATAGTATAGACATGCTATACGATTCTTTACCAACTGATAAACCGAAAATAGTAATCGGAGATTTTAATGCAAAAATTGGAAAGGAAATGATGTATAAACCAATAATTGGATCTGAAAGCTTACATGAAGAATCTAATGGTAATGGAAAAAAGTTGATCTTATTTTCAGCTGCTAGGAATATGATTATAAGTACCACATGTTTCCCCGCACAAGAATATTCATAAATAAACATGGATTTTGCCATGTAGATGTGTAAGAAACCTAATAGACCACATAATAGTTGATTCACAAATTAAATCCTGTGTAAGGGATGTAAGAAACATGAGAGGGAGTAGAGTTATGTCGGATCATTTCCACATAAGAGCAAAAATAAATATCAGAATATCAATAGGGTGACAAAAGAAACAGAAATATAAAGAGAAAATAGATAGTGATGTGCTGAACAGCTAAAGTATATCAAGAAAAGTTAATGTTGAAATTACAGAATATACAAGAAAGACCAAATATAAGTGAAACATGGAAAGAAATAGAACAAACAGTAAAAACTATAGCTGAAGAAGTACTTGGGTACATACAAGGAAAAACAAGGAAAATGTAGTTCAATGAAGAATATAAAAGAGCCTGCATGAAAGTGCTACATGAACCCAATAAAGATAACAAAAGATTGTTAGCACTTAAACAAAGAGGTAAAAAAGGTGATTAGAGTGAATAAGAGACTGTGGGAAAAAGAACGCAAACTATAGAAAATAATAGAAATAGCCAATCGAAAATATTTTTTGGAAAAGCAAATGAAGTAAGACATGGCTACAAATCCAGACCAACAGTTATGAGAAAAAGTGATGGAACCTTTCTAACAGGCAATAAAGAAATCGCAGGCGAATTCAAAGATATATTTACAAAGCTTTTGAACCAGCCAATAATTAATATCACTGTAAAAGAGCTAACAACAGTAGAACAGCTACTCGAAAACCCATCAATAAGTGAAGTAAAAATGGGATTAAATATGTTTATGGTAATGGTAAAGCACCAAGTGACGATGAAATAGCAACAGAATGTTTAAAAAAGGGTGGTTCATTCATGCTTACTGAAACAGCTTCATAAATTAATAAACATAATCTGGGAACAAGAGGAAATACCCGAATCTGTATCTGAATATGTATGGCGAGTATCTGTCCTATGTCCTGTTTTTAAAAGGGAAATATCATGGAGTGTGAAAATTATAGAGAAATCTCCCTCTACTCAACACAACTTATAAGATTCTGTCTAATATTCTTCTGATCAGAATCAATTCATATATTAAAGAAATAATAGGAGAATATCAAGCTGGGTTCATGTTAGGGTGATCAACAGTTGATTAAATTCATATCATTAAACAATTAGCTGAGAAGAGTCACAAATTCAATAAAGATATACACCTTATGTTCATAGATTACAAAGCAGCATAAGGATTCGATTAATAGAGAAAAACTATGGAATGTCATGAGCCAAATGGGAATACCAGCAAAACTAGTCAGAATAATAAGAGCATGTACATATGAGTCCAAAGGTAAAGTAAGTTTTGGAGGAGAGGTATCAGATGAATTCCCAATAACAACTGGACTCAGACAGGGAGATGCCCTATCATCAGCTTTGTTTCATATCAAGAATCAGTTAGAATCAGTTATACGGAAGGTACTAATCCAAGCCAAAGGAATAAAAATGAACAACAATAACGATTTAACTGTAGTAGCTTATGCTGCCGATATAGTCCTTATAGTTCTTATAGCCAAAACAGAAAACGAACTGAGAAATACAACTAGCATCCTACTAAGTGAAGGTAAAGAGATTGGTCTGAGGATAAATAAGTCAAAAACAAAGTATATGATACTTTCGAGACGAAATCACAATATTAATTATTTAAAAGTTGATGATTACAAATTTGAAAGGGTACAGAGCTTCAAGTACCTAGGCGAGTTCAATAAAGACACCTTATGTTCATAGATTACAAAGCAGCATATGGAAGTCAGAGGGATTGGATCAATAGCTAAATGAAAACCCGACACTAATAGGCCTCGAGGATGCTCCAGAAAAAGATGGATTGATAGAGTACGGGAAGACTTAGGACTTCTAATTGTAAAAAAACGCGGAAGAATGTGCAAATGATAGAGGGATGGAAATAATATATTGTTGCAGCGATAGACCTTAAAGGCCTGTAAAAGCTCAGAAGAAGAACTATACCAATAGCCCCACAGCCATTTCTATTTAAGTTTTTAACATAATTATATAGTAAATATTATGAGTATTTGAGTAAAAATTGTATCTAATATATTAGATAAAGTTTGATTTACAAGTCATAGATTTTTACATTGAATTACACTATGTATAATATAAAATTAACTAAATATTTTTGAATAAAATTAAGATACCTCTGTCGATGATGTTGTAATAAACATATTTTGATGTTGGGGTTCAGGCATAGTTGTCATATTTGTCATCATAGATTCAATTGATAGAGGAGTGTCTATTACAGTTTTAGTCATCATATCTATTGGTGTAGTCATTGACAAAGCTGTAATAATAAGTGCATAAATTAAAAACATATAAATACTACAATGTAGTATCATTATAATATAAACACAAAATAACCATATTATTTAGTAAAATGCATTAGAAATAAAATTAAGCAGTCATAGTTTTATTTGAACTAGTTTCAAAAAAAAAATAACTAACAAACCAATATTCTTTTATTTCTCACTGAGTCAAATTTATATGAATATAAATTTAAATTTGTATTTTATTCTAGTAGTCCAAAAAATAGCAACATTGGATAAAAATTTGAACATTAGTCAAAGATTAATTTCATAAAGTGAATGTCTACTATTTAAAAAGAAATTTGATTTTATCATATATTATATGTTTTCAATTACTGAACACTTACTACTGTTGTCATTGGACGTATCTACAATAGTTGTAGTTGTTATGAATGGAGTGTTTAAATCTCCATCATTGCTGCTGGTGCTGAAATGATTTTCTGGCAAATTTATATCACTTTTTTGTTGCTGCAACACTGCTTGTTTGAAAGTCTCATCAAATGGATTGGCCATCATCATTGTCGTCACAATTGCAGTAGTCGATGAACTACATAAATTTGATGTTGTAGGTTGTCCCGTTGATGTTGTAGGTTGTCCCGTTGATGTTGTAGGTTGTCCCGTTGATGTTGATGTAGTAACTATAGTGGCAGCTGTAGAAACAGGAACTGTGGAAGTAGCAGTATCAGCTGGTTGACATGAAGACATAACTACAATGTTTTGTAGATCGTGGAAAAGGCCTATGTCTTCGCAAAGCCTAATGAAAGTATTAGGTGTATGTAATTGGGTCTGATTGTGTTCTGTAGAAACAGCAGTGGTTTTATCTGGAGCAGATGTGACTGGTGGCATTATTGGCGTGAGCAGTGGTAGAGCTAATTGTGGTTGCTGTGTTGGTGGTATCACTAATAGAGGTGTCAGTTCTGATGACGTTGTTACTGGGGAAAGTGGATCGGACAGTGCTATAAAATGTAAAAAAAAAACAATATCAATATACAGAATTATTCACTGAGATTTTAGTTATAAATGGTAAAATAATCTAAATGCTGTACGGAAACTACTGAAATAAACTGAATATTAATAATAGAATTAGTGTAGATATTGGCTACATCAAGTATCTATGTATCAAATAAAATTAATGATATCTAAAATGTGTACAAATTTATAAAGAATCTTTTTTTTTTTTTTTAATTAAAGCCATATTAATACACCTATTTGATTTTTATTTAATACCTACATGATTACGTTTGACTTTTATAAGGACTAAAAATATGCTACAATAGTTATTAATGCATTTTAAAAGTAGTAGATAGCTCCATTTTACATTTTTACATATCAAAGTTATTAAATTGATAAGACATTGTTAACTTATATGTCAGCGTTAATATTTATAATAGGTAAGTATAGTCTTACTTTGTTGTTGTTGCTGGTAATAATAAAAGTACGCCATTTTTTCCCCGTTGTGTTTCGCAACAATTACTGCAAACCGTTAGGTAGGTACAACGGAGAAGACGATCAATAATAATTAACGAGCACTTAGAAAAACCTTCTGAAATGTAACAGGTATATCAAACGGGTGCGTATCGACAACTGTACGATAGAAACAGCACAACAAACAGTTTAGCAGTTTTGTGCGTGAGCCAGACGGCGTACATCATGACAATAAATAGTGCCGCGGCAGCTTCCAAAGTTCCAACCTACAGTACACACCAACAAAATATACACATATAGTACATTTACTTTGAAACAAATTGTCCGCCATGCGCGTTATCATCGCTATTATCCCTCGTAACTCAAAAGTCTTGTCATACTGTAAGGCAGTGGTTCTCAACTATTTCGGCTATTTCGATAGTTTAGTGGGATTGGGCCTTAGGCATAGATAGAGGAGCCGTTTCGTTTCCGTATATTACATGTATATTTTGTTAAGCAAAGAGTAACAAATTTTGACTGTATGACCTCTACAAAAAAAAAAAAATTGTACATATTATAATTTTAATTTTTGTCATCTTGTTACCATTACTACTTATATTATCATGCATGATTGTTAAATAATGATATCATAACAAAATAGTACATAAATAGTATTATTGTTTTTCTTATTTGTATTTGGTTTTAATATTACAATTTACAAATTAGTATTTTGTAATTAATAATTAATTTTGAAATCTACATTCAGTATATTCTAAATTCTCATTAATTCTCTGGTTTCTAAGTCTCTGAAATTATAATAATGCCTAGTTGTTTTATATGTGGGAGAACTAGAAATGTTAAATCTAAATCCGAAAACATCACTTCACATTTGCCTAAGGTTAAAAATGAATAAACCTAAAATAAAAAATTATTATTTTTTATTTCAATCACAATGTACTACTGGCTTACACAATTAGATAATATTTTATCTTATCAATATTGATTTAAAACTGGCTATTAAATTAGGTAGATTCTGTTATTCTTATAAACTAATTGTAATATATATACAAGATTATTATTGTTCCAGTTTTCTTATAAAAAGTTGTATTTTTCTAAAATGGAATGAATTTATTATTAGAAATAACCGAACTCTGGAAGATATCAATAAGTTATATGTTATATGTTCTTGTAATTTTATACCAGTCTTTTATATCTTGTACATAATCAATACAGAATATTACAAAAACATGCTGTACTAAGTATAATAATATATAAGGTGAAATGTGTAAGTATTTAGGTTATATATTTTATTGAAAATAGTTTAAATATATGGTTTTTTATAAATTTATTTTCTATATTATAGGCAAAAATTATATTTTCTGAACTTAAAGAAGAGGTTCCAAACCAACTCATATATTACTGTAGTTCAAATCTTCAAATAAAAAGGATCCTACTTAAAGTAATTACATTTATTTTTTTTTAAATTTATCTAGCACCTATTACTAATAATTTACTTTTTAGCTAACTGATAATAGTGAACCTGAGAAGGGTATTCTACCATTAGCTGATCTTGATTTGGATCAATCTATAGAAAGTGTTTCATCAGATACCTTTAATTTGTTGATTCTTATTGTTGCGGTAAGCAATTTATAGTTATACCTAATAATTTATTTTATTTAATATTCATCAATAATTTGTTCTTTAGAAAAAAGTTAATTCATCCAATTATACTGCCTCTACTGCTTCTGCTGAGGATACACCAAGACACTATTTTCTTAAATATGGAATTTGTCAGTTGTCTAATGAAATTCAAATCAAAAACAGTAAATTAAGAAAATTACAACAAACTATTCAACATCAAAACAAAAAAATTTCTTTATGTCAGTTATCATTAAAAGTTTAAAATCTAAAAAATCTTTTAAATGAAAAGATTCTAATATTCTAAAGTTCTGAACAATATTTTACACCATCGAGAAATATTTAATCTTTAGAATTTCATAGTGCTGAAAGTAATAGCTCTTTCTTAGATTCTTATCTTACATTATTAATTAAATCAATGTCTTATACAAATGTAAAGTTAAAAATTAATTGTAGCAAAATAAAAACCCATCTTTTAAGACCTGTTATAATAAGTTAATACTTTTTAGAAGCCAATGAAAAAAAATTGATTTATATTATAATTTTTATTTTGTATTTTTTTTTTCTGCTTTCTTGTAATTTATATTTTATAAGACTACAATAGTTGTAATATATACCTATTAAATGTATTATTTAATTTTACAATTTGTATAATTTATTAATTATTAAGGCGGAAGGTCAGGGACACAATATTACATTTTGATGAACCTTATTTCATCAGATTATTTTTAAATACAATTTTTTTGAAATTAACATATATTACACATCATCTGCTATGCTTCTTAGACAATAGATTTATAAAATATGGTTTAATAATAATTTGTATTATTTACTTTAATTATTTATATAATTTTACTAAAATAAATAATTAAATATTTAAAAAACAGTAAGATCCAATTTTCTTATCCTGTGATCCAATGTACAAAAAGTGTGAACGAGATATTTATTAATTATAAAACCATTTCAAAAAAATTGATCCATAATTTAAACCATAATTAGACTTAGGTCAGAACCATTTGTCATATTAAAATTGAAAATTGTGGAATTTATTGTCTGCGACTTCCACCTAAATGTATAACCTAGATAACTTTTTTTCATGTACGATAATGAATCTATTTTATATTACCAAAAAGGCTACACTTCAAAAATTTGTCATTATGAATCACGATTTAAATCGTGTTGTGCATCAACAATAACTCAGAAAGTCAGAACGGTTTCTCTTAGTATCTTACTCTATGACCATAGGTACCTAGCATGGTTGTCAACCGAAGATAACCGTAGTACTTAAGATAATATATTAAGGTATTTATTATTTAAAAGGTAATTAAAATTACTATTAAAAGGTCACTGGGGTGTCATGTCGACTGTTTGATTACTGAGTAAATATTAATTATTATTACGTTACATTAGCATTCATTATCCCGACTACAACTTTGAGTTAATTTCCCTCGTCCTAATTTTTCACATTAACTGACATCCGTTATCAGTTTATCACCAAATATCGCAACTATGCTCCGCAGTCCGATCGACGTTCGTCATTTTAAAACATTCAACTATTCAACATTTCAACAGACAACAGTTTTCTGCAATCCGATTTTTGTGTTAATTCGTTTATACGCGTTAAGTTTTTGACAATTCCTTACCATTATGCGTCTCATTATAAAGCGGCCGATAAGGGACGACCAGCGACACGAAGAACTTGACACGGACGCCGTACAAAGTCGAAAGCCGATACACTTATTGCCGTGCAAGATACAAAAGCGTAAACTGATGACCGACGACAACAACCAAACGTTATCAGCCGCTGTCGATCGATACTTTCGTCCTTTCGTCCTTACATCAGCAGCAGCTACTGCTGTACCTGAGAGCAAAGCTGACACCAAGGATTCCACCGACCAAGCCAATTCTTTGGATACCACAGCCAATCTTGTGGATGTAACCGCTAAATCTGATCCCGCGGACACTACCAAGCTGTGGCACTCAACGTTTCGAGGCAAGCCGCTGACAGGCGTTGAACTCGGAATGCCTGATGGATACGTTGGTGTTTTGTGTAGCAATAGCGAAGTTAATCAGGATCAGAATTCTGTGTCAGATGTAAACTTAACAGCTGACTGTGAGATAACACGAGAACTTATGTACTGGAATTGGGACCGTGTACCGACACGTGAAGATCCTTTGCTTGCTGCATTCGACTGGGTACGCGTGTCCGAAGCAATGATGGCCAACACTATGTGACGTTTTATTTTTATAATGTATTTTTCCTGGCCATTGCTGTTCCTATGTTATATTTGATACCAGCTCTTATGTGCATATTTATATTCTAATTGTTCATATTCTACTATAACATTTAAACATTAATGCGATCAAATAAAGATAAATAATACAATTTTTTTAATATTGGTGTAAATGCACATGCTGTTTAAAATTGCATTAGCTATCTAGATCATGATCTTTATGGAATCAATATCTTTCTTAAAATGTTAAATTCATAAATACAACGGATTTAACAACCATCTTTTAAAATGATTATTTAGAAAAATGAGTTGCAGAAAAAAAAAGTAATATATGTGTATTGTGTAACGGTATCTATAATAATATAAGTGTGTACAAAGTAGTGTGTAAACTACAATGTCTATATAAAGTCTAGTGGTGTGAGCTTGTCTGAATGTGTCTTGTCATAAAGCAATTTCAATTACCTTGGCGTGTAATGTGAATACAATTTTTACATTTAAAATACTGCATACTTACTTACATTTAAATGCGTTTTTATTCCATAATTTAATAAAAAAAAAATTAACTGTAATTATTACTCGGTTTAGGTGTGTTTATTATTCATGCGTGGTAATTACTGTTGACACTACCTTGGTATTTTTAATGACTGTGACCAAAAAAAATATACAATTAATACCTATAATATATACTCGGGTATGTACATTTTTTCTAGGCAATTTGTAGAACTTAAGTCTTAAATGTTTTAATTATTTTCATGATACCTACATCATTAGCTAACAAAATAGAAATATTTTTGTTTTAATTTACCTTTGTATACCTGTATGTTTATATACCTATATAATATCACACGGTTGTCTGCAAATTTAACTGTGTTGACTGTGGATCACATCTTTTCCTGCTGCAGTTTGAATCTCTATAATCTAATCAATATCAAAATGGTAGGTATTGACTATAGAGCTTGAGTAGGAGAAGATAAATAAAAAATAATAACAGATTTTGCCTGTTCTCTATTTTATTCTATTTATTAACAAAAATGATCGTACAGGTAGATATATATTTTTTTTTTTTATTACTTTCTGTTATGGTAGGTATAATATTTCAAATTTGATTAATAATTTACTAACCTATCTATATCTTTCCACAAATATAAGTAATTATAAACTTATAAATTTGTATTATCTAATATAATTTTTTTTACAATTACTCTTTGATACAAACATACAAAGCAAAGAAACAACAAATAGGTGTCATCTCACTGTTGTTCCTGAGGTATGTAACTTACCTATATTACTAAATTTAAGACTGTTTGGACTGTTATTTACGTTTTAATTTCTAGAGAATAAGTATGAATACAATTAATATTCGATAAACCACTGTTGCGATTAGAAATTACCGTGCGGCGACTGAGATTATTATTAAATATTAATTGCTTTCATACTTTTTTTCTAGAAATTAAAATGGCTATTACAAAGAAACTATTCATCGGATATGAATATATGATAGATTTTACAAAATTTGTATTTTTAAAAATGTTTGAAGGGAATAAATAGTTATTTTTTTTTTTTTTGTATTTAGGGGAAGAAAATAAAAATTTAATTACTTTTCCAAATCGATGACCTACTCCAAGACAAACCGATTGAAAAAAAAAATTATAAATACTGAGACCAGTCCGTGTACAAGGCTCTGACTCTTATATCGCGGTAATCAGAATCGTTATTATTATTTTTTATTTTTATTTAAATCGAAAAATGACTTCTTTAAAGTACCTTCCAAGTGAAATTTCTTTTTAGAAACATTCCTATCATTAAAAGTTGGATCAAAATTGTTGGTAGAAAAGCTGTAAACAAAAAAAAAAAGAAAGCCGTAATATATTTTAACTAATGCTTCTACATTTCTTATATTTGCCCGTTTTTTTCGGTTTTTCAATTTTAATGAGAAAATCGAAAAGGACTTTCTTAAAGTACCTTTTCACACCGATTTCTTTTCATAAAAAGTGCTACTTTATGCAATTCGAGCAATTCTTCTGGTAGAAAAGTTGTTATCAGATAAAAAAAAATAAACATCTTTGTAAAATCATAAGCTTCTTCGCTCTACTCAGAACCTAAAAAATTAATTAAAAATAATTTAGTGCTTTTTCAACTGTTCCATTACTTGTTTCACCGCCAATCCGTACATTTTACAAAAACTTATTTTAGCGCCTTCAATTGCGTTCATTTGCACCAGATTTCAATCGACTAAAAATGATTAAAAAAAAAAGTTATTTGTACTTATTTATCGGAGTTTTTATACAGAGGTATAACCTAGAATGTATATTTACCGATTTACCAGTCGGTAATATCTTCTTGTAGAAAAGCCGGTAGAGGTGGTGACACCGGTTTCGCAGGTTTTAGTTGATTTTATGATGGTGAGTAATGGTGAACTCATCAATTCATTTCAGTCATCCAATTTCCAATTATTGAAAAATAATTTATGTTCTTTATCGAATTTTCTAGATACAATCAGAGGATGCCTGGGATTAAAGTATAAAATAATAATTTAAAACAGTAAATTTAATTGAATAATAAATACTTAACAATATCTATCGATAAATTCAAATACATACATAATTTAAATATATTCATAACCGGTGCGATTGGAAAACAATAACGATATCAGCCGATATCCTAAATAAAAAGTTGTGAAGCCATAAGAAGAATATTATATTTAAAATTCAAATCGCTGCATTTGTAATAAGTATTAGTAATTTTTGTTAGGATTTTCTGTCTAAACTATATAATATTTTGAATAACTGGTAAATTATTATGATATTTAACCGAACGTTTCAGCATTCTTAAATAAAAACTAAAATGAAAGCCCGAAAAATATTAGCGTCGGCAACTATCCTATCTAAATCGCGTTTCTCTTTCGAGTAACATACTTTTTTTCACCATCATAGGATAATTTAACCTATATTCAAATATTTATATAGAAAGAATCGAAATTGTGTGCATATTTTAATTATACCATTTCCAAACCGGTTGATACACAATGTCAGCTTGTATAGGTGTATAATAGGCTCTAATTTAGGCAAGTTACATGAAAGGAAAGGTAAATTAAGACTGAGGAATCACAGTGGAATTTTTATCATATAGGTATATCCAAGCATTAAATTATGGTAATTGAGTATTTGAATACATAAGATGTAATCATATTTTGGTTTTCCTAAATCGAATGCATCATGATGGATGTACACTGCGTTAAAATTGTTATATTAACTTCAACGTTAATCGAAATAAACAATTCGTTCGGACGTCATTAAAAAAAACTCTGGCGTCCTCATTTACAAGGTTTGCATGCACACATACAGACATGCAGTTATTATTCATTAGTACACATTAGCCCAAGGGCGCGTCAATTAAACTTTTTGAAAGTTTTGTTGGCTGCGTGCAAATTTAGAAAGATAACAGTGAGCCCGTTTGTCCGTGTTGTTGGAATTGCCCCGGGTCGGTCGCACACGGAAAATACCCCGGTCGCGAAATCCGGTACTCGCACCAAGTTTAAGTCAACTGCACTGTTTAACCAGGCATGGATCTAGGGTAATTATTAGGAGGGGTTGACATTTATATTATAAACATAATATAATAAGCATATGCGATTATATAGAACAAGTGTGTATTGCGATGCAATTTCTGTTAAGAAAATTAAAAAAATGACCTTTAATGGCCATAAAATGAATTAAAAATATAATTGAAAATCAAAGCAAGAAGTAGAAAAGTTATTCACAGAAAAAAAATAAAGGCCGTTATATATGGTTACTAATACATACGTTTCGTACATTTTCTCGTTTTTCCTCCGTTTTTTTCCCATAAATAAACATTATCTCTTTCCACTCAGAATCTAAAACATACACATCATAATAAAACTAATAGATTCCTCGCTATACTTCGAATCTATATTAATATATTAGTGCGTATATTGTACATTTATACCAAAACTTATAATGCAAAATCAGTTTGTCTTTTTGTTTTTGGAAACCTATCAATGACTTCATTTAATTACATATACAAAATAAATTCTGTTGTAAAAATTAAAAAATTAATATTTACGTAGTATTAATTTCGTACCATTTTAGATTCTGAGCGTTTTATATTGGTATTATAATTTTTTTTATATAGGTGTATTGTATTCAAAATTTCTCCTAAAAAAGTTACTCTGATAGTCTGATGTATCAAATGTAACATTTTTGCTGAAAGGAAAATTGTATGTATATCTTACTTTCCTAACTTCTCACCTAATACAGTGGTATACCCTTTCCCAGTATCACCTTTTTCAAAATCTTCTTGGGGAGTACGAAAGTTGATTTTGATTTTCCGTGAAGTTTTCTTAATAATTAACAAAACCGGAAAAAACGTAAAAGAACGGGAAAGTTCCAGAATCCTTTTTTGTTGCTTTTATAATATTTTTGGTGGGTAAGTTAGTATTTTATTGATTTTTATGCGGTTTTCAGGATAATTGGGAAAAATTGGAAAATTAAGTAAAACAAAAACTAACAAATCTATGTTTTAAAAATATTTGAACGATTTTTGGAGTATTTATAGGCATTTTAACTGTACTAGGTTTTACGTACTTTTTAATTGGTAGTTACTACGTGAATTTCATTGTTTAGCTTAGTATAAATGCTTGGAAATTGATTAGGAGGTTTAGTATAAGTTGTACTTAGTGGTAAAAAAAAGTAGTGTAGTGTAAACATATTTTTATATAGATATTTTTGTACCTCTGAAGGGATTTTTGGGTGTTTCAACCCCACCCCGACCATTATTCTTGTTATATTATATTCTAGGATAACTTTTAAATTTACAATCCCCTCCCCTGAAATGATTTCCTAGTTACGGCCTTGTTTAATTTAATAATATTATAACAAAATTCAATATATCCATCCCATTGATAAAATCCTAAATGCACCACCGGTTTACTGATTGTAGACACAATATTTACGTCATCATGTATATTCAATGCACAAAAATACAAAATAATAATATATATTAATATTATGATTATTATTTATTAAAATGTTGTACTTCACGTTGTTGCTCTTAAAAATTTTACAAGTCAAATTAGCTATTACCTATTTCCGTTCTCCTAGTCGACGAATACGGCATTAAGTTTGTTGAAATTGGTCCAAACCAGATAATACTCCAAGAAAATAACTGCTATAAGCGTAAACCTAAAACCTACCGATGAAAAACTCGAACAAATCGGTCTATGATCGACAGATTTGAACAAGACCTCATTAGTGATGGCTTCACAGAGATGCGTTATTATGTTAATATTTCGGGCCACCATAAGAACGCATTTGAATATCTACATTGGCAAAATACGTATCCGGGTATTGAAATCGTAACACAATTAATTAATTAATGTACTTAATATTGTATACCTACGTATAATGAAAGTCATTTTCGGTATTATATGCAGTTATTATATAGTTCGTATATTTCAGCTACCTATGTGGTATCGGTGGCAATGTACAAGGCGTTACAAATTATTAAATACTCGATCGATGAATGCGGTATCGATTCCGTTCCATTATAGGTATATATATATATGTATATTGTACAGAGTGATTCTTTTATCATGACCCATAATTACTATTTTAATAATAATATTATGTTCAATATATTTTGTTAATATGGTACTTTTACCTAATACACATTCTGGTCTTAAAAATTCAAAATTTTTTCGGTTCTCATCGGTGAAATATTCTTTTTTTAAATTTGTTTCGATTGGAAGTGGGGTTGATATTTGAAAATCAAAAGTCAATATTAATTTAAGAAACCTACCTATTTAAAAAAGCTCCTATACCTATTCCGTATTAAAATAATCGTGAAACACGCATCAAATTTACGAAAAATCTTCTAAGCAAATTTATATGACACAATAATCGCCCTGTATACCTATCACTGTGCCCGTTCCATCCGGGACACCGTGTGTTCGTTACACTTACATATTTTCGTTTTCTCGCGGCGGTCAAGCATCGGTCATTAAAATATTATAGGTTACAATAATGAAGTATAATATCGGGTATCTAAGTCCTGGTCAGTGGACCACCATCATCGGAATATTAATATAAATATACGTAGTATGACTCAGCGTTAGATTTACTTATAAAAGCATAACACGCAGGTGATTGGTGTGACAAAATTTAAGAGACTTAAAATTTGCCATTTGTAAAAAGAAGACAGAAAAATTAAATGACTTTTTATTTTTTTTACCACAAACAGTATTCTTCAAATTGCTTTTACCGATACCTTATATCGATGAATTTAGACATATTTTTTTGTTGAAAATTGAGGTAAAATACAAACAATTAACCAAAGAAAACGTACTCATCAATCTCTGAAAGAACAAAGACAATGTTGTACCCAGTGGCATAGTAAGGGGGAGGTGTTGTAAATGTTGCAAAATTCCCCCCCCCTCTTTTTACCATGATAATTTATTAAAGGTAGGTATTTAATAGTGATGAGCACTGTCGAATAGTACTAATAGTACTAATTAATAGTAAATATAGTAAATATTACTAATCAAGTAGTACTATTTCAAATATTTGAATAGTTCTAAAATATTTGATAGTACTGAATATTTCGAATTTATTCGATAGTTCCGAATTAATTAATTAACTCAAAATATATTATGATTAACAATTATATCAACAATAAACCAAATCATTGACGATATTTTAAATTTTAAATTAAATTTACAATTTTCTATTCTCTAAATTCAAATTTGTATTCAAATCTCAAACGTAAGGTATTAAGACCAAGTATTCTTGGATCTCTCTAATACGGATTATTATAAACTATAGACATAATAAACACAGTAGCGATTCGGCACCATGGTGATATCGATACCATACATTATACATATCATATGTTATCAATAGGAACATGTTTAAGCTTTTAGCTTAAATTACCATTCAACGATAAAGAAAAAAAAATCATAATACAAAGACACAGTATGATAATCAAGCGAGGAATAAATTATTATTTTGAACGAGTATTAATTTGTCGGGACGACCTTTATATTATATCATCCCTCTAAAAAAATAAAATAAAATATATGAATATAATATTTAATAGGTCCAAGATCTAAATGTTTTGCTGGGAGAATGTAAGATAATACACGGAACCCAGCAGGTAAAACATATACCTTGATTATTGATGCCAGGAACTATGAAAGTGCCACAGTGTTTGATTACACGTCATGTTTTAAATTTATGTAATATATGTATTTACGATTTTTGTCAAAATTAGATTTTAAAACTTATAAAAAAAAATCTACATTACACTTACGTATAGTTTTTATTTTTTTTTTTTACTACAAAATACGACTTATAATGATTTTTTGGTTTAATTTGCGATCATTTATGTATAGTCAAACAATTTTATTATAGGGAACGTAAAGAAACTCGCAAAATTTAAATGTCTGTAAATAACTCGAAAACGGCTAATGTGCAAAATGTTTTGAAAATTTTACTACATTTACAAAAGAAAAATATGTGTTCTGTCCAAATTTCAAGTCTATATGAATATTTTTAAGTGAATCACAGTAAAAAAACATAACTGAAAATAATAAATTTCGTAACCTAAACTTATTCCTACGTTTTTACAGTTTATTAAGAAAACCACTTTTAAAAACCACAAAATCAAAAAAATTACCACTTAAATAAAATTTCCTTACAGAAAAGCATAATTATAAATTGGTGCAAAATTTCTGGTAGAATAGTTGTTCACAAAAAAAAAAAAAAAAAATTAAAAAATTAACATCGTTGTACGAGTAGAACTAGTAAACATTTTTCGTTCCGCTCAGATCTAAAATGAATAGACACATTTAGAACAATTATCACCCTATTCTTCTGTCATATTATTTATTTATATTTGAATTGCATATTATCCGTATTTCCATACATTACTCTATTTTTCAATCATTATATATTCAAATGTATAATACACAATTCAAAAAGCTGTCCTAGGATAATAGAGACGGATGTAGCCACTGTTATAGATAATTGTATGTATATCTGTAAGCAAAAATTTAACCATTGTTAACGAAAAAGCGATTCTGAAGGGAGCACGGTAGATAGTGTTGCTTTGTCAAAAATATTTTTGTAAAATAATGGTAAAACAATTACACGAGTATGCATTATATATTTTTTTCAATAATATTTGTTTAATTATTTATCTATTTTTCCGTTTTTTCTACGTTTTTCTGGTTTTTCCAATCTATTGGGAAAAACAAAACAAAAACACCTCCCTAAAGTATCTTTCCAGTCAGATTTCCTTTCAGAAAAAGTACTACACTTGTAATTTGGAGTAAGATTTCTGGTAGAAAACTTTTTCACAGATAAAAAAAAAAAAAAAAACTCATTGTAAAACTAATAAATTCCACGCTCCAGTGTCGTATTTTTGGGGAGAGGGGGTGTCCGGGTTTAGACCCTTCCTAGAAGAAAAAATACGGTTCAAAAGACTTGCTACCCTACGAAGGTATAGAGAAAAGTATTGATTTATACAGGGTGATTTGGTTATTACGAATCAAATCTCGGAATTCATAATATTATAAAATCACTTTTTTTTTAGAAAAGTTTTAGCCCCTCCTCCCCACAAACAATTTGAAAATACGCCACTGCCTCGCTCCACTCAGAATCTAAAACGTACTTCAAATTAATTTCAATATTGATTATTTATTTATTTTATATTAAACTAAAATATACACAAATTACCTACTTAATAAGTTTATTTTGAGAATAAATAATATATATAATTATGTATAGTACCAATAATAAACATAATAAGATAAAACAAAATCATAAATAGGTAGTGGTTGTTACTATTTGATGACCAGTTGTTCACCGGAAAAAAAAGGCTATAATATTTTTTACTAATACCTACATTTCGTACATTTTTCCGTTTTTTCTTCGTGTGTTTTCTCGGTTTTTATATTTATCGGGAAAACTTGCGAGAAAATCAAAAAATGACCTCTCTCAAGTACCATTAATCATAATTCCTTTTATAAAAATTCCTATCATTGTAAATCGGAGTAAAATTGTTGGTAGAAAAGCTGTTCAGGAAAAAAAAAATAAACATCATTTTAAAACCAATATATTCCTCGCTTTGCACATATTCTAAAACAACAGTATTATAAAATGCATAAATATATAAGTATATATTTTATAGTACATTAAATGAAAATTATTTATAACGTTTGTTTGTGTCTTCTGATACAGTTAAAATTATAAGTGATAACAAAACATTTTTGTAAAAATACAAAATGAGGGTTTTAGAATATAAATTATATGAAATTAACTACATCTACACATTTTATGAGTTAAAAAAAGTACGGGCAACTTCGCACGTGGGTGTAGCCACTGTTGTTGGTGGGAAGTTTAGAAGGTAGGATACAGAAGGGAATTCAATGTGTATCATCTGTAAGCAACGATAAACCATTGTTAACAAAAAAAAAACGATTCTGAACCGAATTCAGTTGATAGGGAGGCATTTGTCAACAATATATATGTCATATTAAAGTATAATGTGCGTTTTCATAACAACAATGATTGTTCAAAAAAAATTTAAAAATAATAAAAATTTAATATAACAAAAAATAAACAAAATCCGCAACCTTATTTTAGATTCTGAGTGGAGCGAAGAAGCTTATGGTTTTACAAGGATGTTTATTTTAATTTATTTTTTTTAAGCAGTTTTTTTGGAAGAAAATCAGCACGGAGAGGTACTTTGGAGAGGTAATTTTTCGATTTTCTCAGGAGTTATCTCATCACATTTGAAAAACCAAAAAAACCAAAAAAAAAATTTTAAAAATGAGAAAATGAAGAAATATAGGTATTAGTCATAATATAATACGTTTTTTTTTTTCTGTAAAAAACTTTTCTATCAGCAATTATTGCCCAGACTTATAATGATAGCAATTTTTCTAAAAAAAATTTCACCGGGGAGGTTCTTTAGAGAGGTAATTTTTCAATTTTCTTAGTTTTCCCAGCAAATGTGAAAAACCGGAAAATTAGGAAAACCGGGAAAATCGGTACAACGTTAAACAAATATTATTAAAGAAAGTATATAAAGCCTATTTAATTATTTTACTATTATGTCGCATATATATTGTTGACAAAGCATCACTATCAACTGAACTCCGCTCAAAAACGTTTTATCGTCAGTAATTTTCATACACTAAATTACCTATAACAGTTGCTGCACCCATCTCCATTATCCTAGGACGTTTTTTTAATCATTCTATCTTTTTTAACCTAAAGAACAAGGTTTTCCTCATTATCTCAAATATTGATGATAATTTCAAAAAATGACCTCTCTAATGTACCACCCAGAGAACATTTTCTTCCAGAAAAGGTGCTATACTTAATAATCGGAGTATACTTTCTGGTAGAAAAATGTTCACATAAAAAAAAAAAATAAACATCATTGTAAGAATCTAAACAAAAAATCCATGGGATGCATTTGCTGCATACCACTGCATTCCGCATATGACGTCTCCACTGCATCTGGCTTTTATAAATTCGTATTGTTTGTAGAGGTTCATGACCATTGTCGTATAATAATACGAAAAACAGAAATCGTTGACGAGCGCTGCTGCAGGTGTGTGTTTTTTTATCGGTGGCTCGTCGCCGCCGTTCGTATAAACACGTATAAACGCCACACGCTGCGGTATGACGGATGACGATGACGATGATTAAACGGTAACGATGATGACGACGATACCAACGACAAAGAATGGCGTCGGAAACTACACGGATACCCGGTTAACCGGTCAGCCCCTTCCATATCGTATCGTTCCCTAAATAAAATAATATTTCAGGTAGTCGTCTAGCCGCGGATACTCTCACCGGCGACGACGTACCCCTTCACTTCGCATCGCCTATTAGAGACTTCCACCGTTGCCGCGGTAATTTCAACGACGCAATCTCGCCGCGGTCGTCCTCGGAGAGTATTTTTGTTTTTTTTACTATACATGTATATAGATACCTACCTAACTACATGTATAACAATAATACTCGAATGTGTATACAAGTATAATTATAGGCGGGGACGCGGGGAAGGGGCTGAAAAAGAACGGCCGAACGCGTACGCACGCACACCGACCGACCGAACAGTCTTGTCGTTGTACTGGTTGGCGTTCGACTAGAACGACGTACGCGTATACCGCGGTAATCGCGACTACCGCATACCAATAATACCAATACTATTATTGTTATTATTATTATTATTATTACTATGTTCGTTTGCCGCGCAGTACGGTTTATGCTTAGCGTTACGACCGCATCATAGACGAACGAGTGTCGTTTTTGTTGGAAGATCACTGGCGGCGGCGTGAGAGACACTATACACGGTAGATAATGGCGGCCAACAGTGCAGTGATGAGGGCTCAGAATCGAGCAATCGCAAAGGTCAGCATAATACCTATAAATTATATTATAGTACTGGGTATGCTCTATAAACTAAATATTTAACAACTAAAAACTATACAGCTACAGGTATAGGTACAGCTAGATAGGTGTTCAGTGTTCACCTATAGAGATTTGGGTCGATTTGTAATATGTACAAAAAAAAAAACAACAAATTTAAACGGTATTGTAATGTTTGACATCATTTGTCTATACATTTGAAGTATACGGGGGAAAAAAGAGTATAGCAGTCCCTTATTTTTCGTTTTGAGATAATCATTCGATTGTGCTTTGAGACTATTATTATCGAATGTTAAGTTCCGTTCGGTGAAAAAAAGTTTCAGTTAGATAATATTGAAGGCATAATATTGCTGTAGATAAGTCTGCTGCACAATGTTCCAAATTGAAATAGGTACCTATTATTTTTTCCTTGTTTCATTCATTTGAAAACTGAATAGTATACTCGTACATAGGTGAGTGTATATTAAAACACTAGATTCGTCAAAAGTCATTTGTTCTAATTTAAAATTATTTTTTTGGACCTATATTACGAGAGTGGGTATAATAACAGGTTTTTTTTTCGATAATTGACAATCGGATTATTGACGATCTCCCAGTCAACCCCAAAAACCTGTGTGGTAATCCTCGATGAAACATTCATTATTTTGGAAAGTATTAACATTTTTCGGAATTTTTTATTTTTTGAAAATTTAAGAAATTAAAATGTTGCACTTCCGTTTTTTTGTCACCTTTATTTTGGGGGTAAAACCATCCCCACTCCGCTGCCCACTTTTGATTTTTAAAATAGTAGTGGAGCATTATCAGTAGTACCCACTTTACTTTTCTTCTCTTACACAATAAGAAGGATACGTCTTCGTCATAGCTTCACCGTGCACAGTATCAGCTATCATCATGCATATACCTAATATTGATATCCGGTCACATTTTAATCGTATTCTACAGTATTGGACTGTTACAATATCTTTGGTTACAAAGAAGAAGAGCTAAAGTTAATTTTTTAAAAGTGTTATGTAATTTTATTACCATTTATTTATAGTCTAAATCGCTTAAATGTATGTTATATATTCTAATACATGTCATACTGAAAATTAAAATATCTGAAGTCACAATGATGTACTGGGAGAAAAGCATAGTCATATAATTAAATGACTAGAGCCATTTAGAACGTCTATATTTAGGTCAGTCCATTTAGTAATTTAGCCATTTCGTAATTATGTCATTGTGTTATTTAGCATTTTTTTTAAGTATAATTAGCTTGCACTGAAAATAATTCACAATTGACATGGGCCTTTCTTCCCTGGGATTAAAGATATAATAGTACCTACTTAGCTTAAATTTATTATTATATTATAGACAGGGGTGCATCTAAAAGTTCTTGAGGGAGAAAAGATGATTACCTAATCGAAAATAATAAAATGGATTTTTTACCGTGATTATTGAAAAAAGCTAGTATTTTTTTTAAATTTAAAGAGAGCCTCCGTGATTACTTCAATCATCTTACTCCCTCGGATCTACACCATTATTTCGTTGTAAATCATGAGAAGTATGTATTCTCCCATGACCTGCAGTTTCCCTCTAATGTTAATGTCACTATGTCACTACGTAGTATTGCATTATATTACCTATAAATTTATATAAAATAATAAAGGTAGAATATTTAGAGATATCCATTGATAAATCATTGGAAAACGATCATGGGCGATGTTCGGTTAATCGTGTTTTGAAATTTCGTTATTTTTATAATTTTCATTAAAATTTGAAATTAAAATGCTTGTAAAAAAATAAACTACTTCATTACGCACAATTTATATTCCACTATACAAGTATAACTTATGATTGACTCCGTGTTAAATTGTTAAGCATTTCTGTTCGGCCCAAAACAATTTTAGACTAAAAAATTAGCTATAAAATAAGCTCAAAAATGGATAGAATATTTTTTAAATTAGAGTCGGTCTAGAAAGGGCTAATATAGGTATCTATTTTGTGAAAATGTCAGGTTTATACGATTATTTTAAATTGAATTACAATAAAAAAATAAAATCGAAAATAATCGAAACCGTTGTTGTGTATATTTTCTCAGTTTTCTTACGTTTTAGATTCTGAGTGGAGCGAAGAAGCTAATGGTTTTACAAAGATGTTTATTTTTATTTTTTATTTGTCCAGTGGACAACTTTTCTACCAGAGATTTTGCTCCCATTTGTATGTATAGCACCTTTTTATTTCTGAAAGAAATCGATATGGTGAAGTACTTTAAGGAGGACATTTTTCGATTTTTTCAAGAGTTATCTCATCAAATACAAAAAACCGAAAAAAAACAACCGAGGAAAAACGGGAAAATGTAAGAAATTTAGGTATTAACTAAAAATATTATGGCCTTATTTTTTCCTGGGGAAAATTTTTCTATCAGTAATTTTGGTCCAACTTATAATGATAACAATTTTTCTAAAAGGAAATTTTACTGGAGAGGTACATTAGAGATTATTTTTCGATTTTCTTAAGGTTTCTCAAAAATTATGAACCAAAAAAAACGTGAGAAAAACGGGATCCATTTTAATTTTGGAATTTTACCATAATATGACATATATATTGTTGACAAAGCAGCACTATCAACTGAACTTCGCTCAGAATCGTTTTTTCGTTAGCAATGGTTTATCGTTGCTTACAGGTGTATATTAAATGATTTATAACAGTGGCTGCACCCGACCCCATTATCCTAGGACGACTTTTTCCCTAATATAATTAAGAAAAGTACATGGGAAATCAAAAATGACATCCTAATACACCAAGTGAGCACAATTTTCTTTGCGAGAAGATATTACGTTTAAAACGAACACATTTTGTAGTAGACAATTTGTTTACCGACGGGAAATAAAAAAAACAGTAAAACCAATAATATTCCTTCCTATACTCACTCAGAATCACATAAATAATGTAACTATTATTATTATAAACAACAACAATAAAAAAAAGAAAAACAAAAAAATCAGCCTCGGTACAAAATCATTACCGCCACCGCGGTCGTTCATAAATTTCATAATATGTAAATAATTTCTCCAAGTCACGTTTGAGTAGAAACCCTTTTTCTCCATTAATATTTAACCAAATTCGATAAATAATATAAAGGTGGGTAATACCTATACTTATCTACCATTTAAAAGATTAAGTTCCCCGTTTCTGACCATTTGTTAATTCATAATATTGCCACATTGTATTTTTGGACCGGATTTTTGCGCGTCCGCGGCAATAAGAATGCAACGGAAATCTGTTGCTGTAGGTATGGTAATATGCAACTCCGTTAGTTTTGATACGTTTACTGTCTAGTTTGGTTTTTAAATGCCAAGTATATTCGTACCGGTACACTTGTGTATATATATATATATATATATGATTGTGTATTTCAATATTTGTTCGTATAGATGTATACCATAAAATGCAATGTACTCTTCTCCCCGTCCCCGCCTCAGTCGGATTCCCCCGTGCTCTGAAGTCGTGTGTAACTGCGCGCATAACGGTCTGCCCGAAAATTATTATACCTACCGCTGCCGTTACCACTTCTATAAGGAATATAGCATAATAACGCAATAAAAACTACTAGAAAATCTGTACACACCAAACTCGGTCGCGAATGTAAGCGCGCGACCGCTGTACAAGTTGTAGTACAAAACCTCTTTATTATTATACCTATTAAAATTGGCGTTTTTATTTTGTACAGACACATACGAGTATAAAGATGTATAAGAGCGGGTATACTATATAAATATAACAAATAATGATATCACGTACGAGGTGTGGAGTAGTACCGGGACCGTTCGAATAATTTCGCGCCATCGGAGTGTCGGAGGATTGATATCACTGCAGGCTTCTGTGATTATATTTTCCTGAGCACATCTGTTTCGTGTTAGATACCATATTATAATCTTGTTAGTTTTAGTATGGGTAATAACCGTTGTTTTTGTAAAGTATGTTTTTCGGGTGTCCAAAATAAGAGCATTTATTTTTTTTTTCGTGGGTGGGCGGAGGGAAGAAGGTTTGGAGAAGATTTTTCAATCCGCTATATGATGATAGAATGTCCAGTGCCGCAATAGCTATAATTGGGTGCACCGGAACACGAACCCTTAACCCGATTATTCTTGTTTTATTGGTCATTTTGGTGTATTTTATTTCGCTTTAAAAAACAATAAGTAATATACAAATTATCTATATGCCTTCTGAAATTTATTTCTGGCTATGATACTGCGTACATACATAATATTATAACAACTGTACAGACGTTAAATCTGAACTCATCCGATACATCAATAAATATTATTCAAATAATATTTTTGATGTATCTCAAATACTCACCTATTTAATATATACTTATTTTAATGCGTAAATTAAAAGTCAAACCTGTAAAACTTGCGATATCGCAGTAAATAAACAATAATACATATAATTAATATAATCGTATTTATAATGTAATTTATATTAATATAATTAATATAAATTGATAAATATTATCTAGTTTGGAGACTTATAGGTATTATTATATTAAAAAAAAAAAAAGCGGACCTATACTTCGCACCATAGATGGTCTCTGTTTTTGGTGAAACGTTTTGATTGTAGAATACAAATAATCATAGAATTGTCTAATTTTATACCTGTGCGTAACGATAAATCATTGGTAATGAAATTTAATTTTGAGAAAAGTATAGTTATACACTTATACGTATTTGTTTTGAAATAATATGTTATTTACGATTTTTGACAACATTTTAACTCAAAATGCTTATAAAAAAAAAACCACTAAATTATACGATCATTTTTTTTTTTTAACGATTTAAAATGAACTATAATATGTTAAATTTTTAAACATTTCTATTTGGCCATTACAACAATTTCATCCACATAAAATCAAGTATAAAAAAGAAACGTCGAAAATGTTAAATGCTTATAAATAATTCAAAAATCGCCAGAATATTTAGGGATTTTTAACACGTTTAGAAAAAGCTAATAATAAAACTTGTATGTCTGTAAATTTGCCATTTTTTTCCATGTTTTCTGCTTTTCCAATTGTAACCTATAAAAACTACAAGAAAAATAAAAAAAAATTCCAAAATGCTACAAAAAAGCTTTTATGTAGTTAAAAAAATGCACTTATTATATTGAAACAATTACATTTGGTCGCTGCGCTCATAACTCTAAAAAAAAATATGTCATAATATAATCGTGGATTCAGCAAAATATGTATGTTTGTCATTTTATCCCCCCCTCCCGTTTCTGTGACTATTACTACATCATTTGCCGTCGACCGGTTTGCATCAAACTCTATAATATATAAGTTACTTAATACCTATATATATATGTATGTATAAAGTATTCAATTACGTGTAATTTGATATAATAATGGCAATATGTGTCGATAATTTATTTTCACAGGGAACCGATCCGAAAGCGGCCACATGTCGGGCAAAGTTACAGCGGGCCCGGTCCGCTCTGAACCGACAAATGGACCGCGAGTTGCGGTTACGGGAGGGCGCGGAGAACTTATTGCGGTGTGTATTTTATTTGTTTCTATTAAACAAAATTTTATTATAACTAAATGCGTATAACAAAAGACGTGTATTGGCAATGCTGCAGTTTTCGGTGTACGGTTTGCCGTTGTTTGCTAGGTACTTATTACTTGGTTACAATATCGCTAAAAACGCTTTATTTACTATACAATATTTTACCAATAGACAACCATTAACCAGTTATCGAAGATGGTAAGCGTTGTTTTTAATTGTTTGCTGATTCCGGTTATATGGTTGTCGAAAACTGCATTTAGTTTTCAAACGATATTTCAACACGCAATTATTATATAATTATCGCCAAAACAGTATGTTTGTTAAACTGTAGTGCCTAGAACCAAGCCGATCAAATCTTTATCGTCGAAAACACGTCCAAAATTATAATATTATAGTAATTTAATATTGTCGTCTATTATTATACAGGGCTACCACCAAGGACGGCGGTGGTGGTGATAGCGGCGGCGTCGGCGGCGTCGGTCGACACAAAAACAAAAATCGAAAGCTCATAAGGCAAACGGTGGCATTGGAGCTCAGTTTCCTCGAGTCCAACGTTCGATTGCTAGCCGACGAGTTGGCCGAGCTCAACGGTTCGGTGGACGTGTATCAGCACCGGGACGACGATGACGACGACCACGACGACGACGACGACGATGACGCCGACGCGGATATAAAAAACTACAGCGGCAACGTCGTCTCAGCCAGAACGGACGGAGTGACGGCCAGCAGTCGGGGACAACGACGCCGCCGGCAGCAAATGCCCATGATAGCCGTGCCGCTGAAAGACACGAGGCCCATAGATTTCGGTCCGCCGCTCGAGGTAAGCCGGTCGCGCTGGTAACTGAAATATTACAACTACAATAGTAACGTTATAATAATTATGCGTGATTTCGAGTGTAGCGGTTTATTGGACAACACTATGGAGTGGACTTGTCGGCAACACCGGGAGAGTCGGTCGATGGCGAAGGTGCCTTTAGCGACGGTGAAAGCGACGGAAACTGTGGTATACGTCGGCGACGTTCGTTGTCTTTACGCGAAGCTGTTGACGAACTGACGCAGCTTCGGCTGGTAAGTTTAAGACATCATGTATCATAATATTGCGTATTATATGCGAGGGGGCTAGGCGAGTATAAGCTTCCTCCTCAAACAAAACATTTTCCCTCAAATGGATGTTGAAATAATAACCAAAAATTTCCCATGTCAGATACGGTGTGATCTGTCACATGGGCTTTTGGTTTATAATGTTAAACTTCCTACAATAGGTAGTCCTCTTTTTTTTTATATATATATATATAGGTATTACTTCATACATTATTGTTTTTTATTATCCGTTCAGTTGTTTTAAAGGGTTTAAAACTTTAACATTTAAAGTGTATTATACAATTGGGTATGCAACAAAATTCCCACCAAAAACCATGATTTTTATTTCTGCCAAAATGTAAAAAGGTTTGATTTTAGTTTCCACCAAATCTATTTCGATGCATATTATTATTGTTTCAGAACTCCTTAATAGTTATAATTATGGTAAATTTTAATATTTTAGATTATAAAAAATAAAACTGTTTACCGCATACGTTTTTAAAAAATACGTTCTAGAATGATGGAGACAGGTGCAGCCACTGTTATAGATAATTTAATGTATACCCATAGGAAACGATAAACCAATGTTTACGAAAAAACGATTCAGAGCGGAGTTCAGTTGATAGTGATGCTTTGTCAATAAAATATATGTCATATTAGAGTAAAATAATTAAATAGGCTTTCTATATTTTTTTTAATATTTTTTTATATTGTACCGATTTTCCCAGTTTTCATACGTTTTTCCCGGTTTTCCTATGTTTTATCCCGTTTTTTTCATATTTGCCTGAAAAACTCTTGGGAAAATTGACCTCTATAAAGTAACTCTCTAATGAAATTTCTTTTAAGAAACATTGCTATCATTATAAGTTTGAGCAAAATTGCTAATTGAAAAGTTGTGTACAGAAAAAAAAAAATCGCAATTTAGTAATATATTTCGTATATTATCCCGTTTTTTTTGGTTTTTCAAATTTGATGAGAAAACTCTTGAGAAAATTTAAAAATTACTTTTCTAAAGTATCTCCTCAGTCAGATTTACTTTTAGAAACATTGCTATCATTTTAAATTGAAGTCAAATTTCTGATAGAAAAGTTGTTCATAGGAAAAAAATATCGTAATATATTTTAACAATAATACTTACATTTCTTACATTTTCCCATTTTTCTTCCGTTTTTTTTCGGTTTTTCAAATTTGATGAGAAAACTTCTAAGAAAATTGAAAATTGACTTCTCTATAATATCTCTCCACGCTTTCAGAAAAGCTGCTAAAAAAATAAATAACCATCTTTGTAAAACTATAAGCATCTTCGCTCTACTCAGAATCTGAAAGGACGTAACAATTATTATTATTATTTTTTTTTATTTTTGGTGCATAAGAAACAAAATATTATATTTTTAACGTAAGTTTAGTATTTATAAAGGAATCTACCACTATTTAAATTAACAAATAGTAATAATAATACTTCAAACCAACAACTAATTTTGAATGCGTGTATGTAATAATAGTTGATTAACTAGAATAACTAGGAATCCCTATAAAATTAATTCAATTTATTTGATCGTGTATACAGAACTCAAAATGAACAGTAATGTTCAATGATCACGTATCAAAAAATTCAATGTTAAAACTGTATTAATACAGGTAGACGCGTTGTCTCTAATGTTTTTGTACAATGCATTAGAATCAGTGGTTGGATGACTGCTTAGCACCTATGTAGGAATTATACTACTAAATAAAAATATCAATTTAATAACATGCACAGATGATATTACATTCATTGGCAAACATAAGAGGAGAATAAGACATTAGCAAAATTACTTATACGGAAAAGTAGACCAATGCGGCTAATGGTAAATAAAGGCAAAATAAAAAGCACATAATATTATCCCAGTATTTCCAAATTATATGAAAATAACATGGACAATAAAAAATTGACGTTCCTAACGACCCACTCAGATAAAATTCCCTTTCAGGAAAAGTGTTACATTTGAAAATCGGAGCAAAATTTCTGGTAGAAAAGTTGTTCACAGAAAATAAAAAAAAAAAAAAAACAACTTCATTGTAAAACGTATACACGCCTCGCTCCGCTCAGAATCTAAAACAATTTTTGGGAGTCAGTGAGAATCGCCTTAATTGATGGTTCTTGGGTAACTATTTAGTTCTCAAATTATATTTAGGTAGAAAGAAATACATTTGGCGGAAAACAATGACTTAAAAAAAATATACATAAATATTACAGATTAAATTCTGTGTGTAATTATTCATGCTGTATGCTAATTAGTACTTACGCGTATTCACAGGACACCCAAACGCCCAGCCGAGACGCTGACGGCGTCCGACTTCTGCTCCGGTACTACCGACAGTTGTATTACGTGGACCGTAGGTTTTTCCCGCCGTCTTCAACCGCGACATTGATGACGACAGCATCACGGCATTATCATCACAATCGCCAGAATCAGCAACAGGACTATCATTATCGTCACAATAATAAGCAGCACCAGCACGCAGCTGTCACTGATACGGCGGCGTCGTCGTCGTTTTCGTCTCCGCCACCGGCCATCTATTTCGAATGGTACCTAATTTAAACTTGCATAAAATACAATAGTTATACACAGGACCATATTAAAGAGGTTTTTCGGGGGCGGGGGGCAATAGCCCTTCCCTGGTATATGTTAGGGGGCGTTAAATTTTCACGGAGAATAAAAAAAGTTTCAAGAGATTAATGTAACATAAGACACTCATTATTTCGGAAAGTATTAACTTTATTTGCAATTTGTTTTCTAGAAAATTTAAAAAAAGCTGCTCTACAATTGTTTATTTATGTTATTTTTCGTTACCCTTATTTTTGGGGGGTAAAACACTATATACTTTTAATTTTTTAATTGCAACATATATTAAAAATTACATAAATAGATGGAGTATTAATTGAAATAAATTTTGGTGTTTAAGTTTTCGATTTCCGTCAATCCGTTGACGAGATGTTCCACTTTTAAGTTTGGTTAGGAGGAGAGTAGTGGAATATCATTTATGTGGCGGTATGGCGCGCGGCGTGTTAATTATGGTTAATAATGGGTGCCAAAATCTTAAATACAGTCCTGATTATACATATTTACATAATATTACTCTGAAATAAATCATATAATTGCTGCAGTTATCGTGATATCGCAGTCATAGTTTATACGGAAAAGAATCATCGTTAATCGATGAGATTCATATTAATTAATTTTGGATATATTTCTTGGTTGTTAACAAATTATTATATTAGATGGTTAATGGCAGAAGAAATTGCTTACGAAAAAACGATTCAGAGCGGAGTTCAGTTGATAGTGATGCTTTGTCAACAATATATATATATATGACATATTATAGTAAAATAATGTAATAGGCATATTATATATTTTCTTTAATAATATCTGTTTAATATATTGACCCGATTTTTTCATTTTTCTTCGGGTTTGCTGGTAAAACTCTTGGGAAAATCGAAAAATGACCTCCTTTAAGTGCCTTTCCTTTCAAAAAAAAAGGCTATCATTGTAAATCGGAGCAAAATTGCTGGTAGAAAAGTTGTCTATAGATAAAAAAAAATTCTAAAAGAATAAATATCGTATTTTCAATACGACTTAGTCCCGTTTTTGTTGAAAAGGTACGATTCGTTTGGCGGCCCCGTTCCATCTTGCGGCCAACGTACTGTTCGTTTTGAGCAAGCATGCGTTCTGTTCAATGTGGCCGCCGTGCACACGCAGATGGGCGCCAAACATGACCGCCGATGTATCGGTGGCATCAGGGACTATGATCAAGAGACTGCCGGTGGTGCCAGAAGATCGACCGGTTCTCTGTACACATCCACGGAATCGGAGACGACAGACGGGGCCACGGTCGCTGCCCAGTGCTTCCTGCGGGCGGCCGGAGCCTATCGGCACATTGGCGACACGTTTGCCAATGCGCCAGCCCGTGCCGCTGACTTGCGAGCTACCGGTGTCCTGTACGCTGTCATGATGGTAAATATTTGTATAGTGATAAATATATAAATATGATAATACAAAAAAAAAAAAATTACAGATATTTAGTTAGAATAATAATAATAATAGTGAAAAAAATATTAAATTAATAAATAAAAACTCCAGTTGAAAAATAATTTATGGATTTTAAAAGCGGGATCCTCATTAACAGGACGCTTAAGACCGTAGAGTGGGGAGTTTAGTGTATAATTAGAAGTGGAAAATGGATTAACAAAGAAACAAGTAAATCTAGTATTACGAGATGGAACTTAAAAATTGATTTGGGAAAGAAGTGCAGGACAGTCGATTAAATTAGATAAAAGTTTAGATAGAAATTATAAGTTCGCAGATCTCTTACGATCAGCAAGGTTGGGTAAATTTAAAGCTTTGCGAATGGGTTCATAATTATGTGGAAGACAAGGAACCTTTAAAAAGTAAGCAGAAAATGACTGGAATTTTCGTTTAATCCTTTTAATCGCTATGGTATATATAGATGAATGTGGGTGCCAAAGGATGGATTCATATTCCAGGATAGGTCGGACTAAAGAGCAATAAAGGATTTTTAACGCACAATCAAATTTGAACTCGGATTAAATCCATCGGATGAATCCAAGGATTTTACAACAAATCTCCTGAATATGCAATTTGGGGGAAAGGTTTGAAGAAAAATAAAAACCTAGGTCTCGAATAAAGTTAGAAGAGGTAATTGGAATATCATGAATGGTGTAATCGACAATAATTAGATTGCCGATACGAAAGTAAGACATCTAAATACATTTAGAGATATTAAGTGTCAACCCTAGAGATTCATCCCAGTATACCAATCGGTCAAGGTTAGATTTATAATTTTTACAAAAATCGTATACATTACGTTAGCAATGATTTATCATTGGTTACAGGTATACATTTAAATAACTTTATTGTACCCATCCCGATTTCCCACCTGCAACAATGGTGAACCCGTCCCCAACATCAGCTCTCTTTTTTATGGTTGAATTCTGTCGTAATAATTATTATAATTTAACGCGGGGACTGTGTTCGTTCAAAGGCTCAAGCGTACGAGTGCATTTTCGAGAAATTGCAATGGCGCCTCTCGGCTACCATCCGACACCGTTGCCGTCTTTATCATAGCGGCGACGAAACCGAAGAAGGAGGTCGTCGACCGCAAATTTCGATCGATTCCACCGTCGAAACGTCATCGCAAAGTGGCGAGCGCCGTGGTCGCGGTGTACTCGAGCCTACGACGAGATATCGGCGAACATCGGCGGCTACAACTTTGAGTGGCGGGAGCGGGATGAACGACGTGACAACGCACACACCTTCATGGACGGAGTTGGCCCGCGAGGCTGCCCACGTGAGTACTTACACGATGCCGCACACTATAGTTTTATATTTAGTGAATTACGACCGGAAAAAAGTACCCAGACCGTATGTATTGGGCACCAACGGAGCACCGCAGAACAGTAGGATTAATATCATCGGCCTGAGCACATATGTTTATGCTGGTTCTCTATAACCTTCTTAGTTTAGATGTAACGGATGTTTTTTTTTTTTTTAAATATTTTTCCGTGTGTTGGTTTTCTAATGAATCCAAATTATGAGTAATTTAACGATCTTATCGAGGATTTTTTTTTTCCCATTTTGATAACTACGTTAATAATTGTGACAACATATTAAAAAAATTATTTTTTTGGTATTTACCATACCTGAACATTCTTGGCAAACCTAAATTTGAATTTGTTTTCGATCCTCGACATTCGATTTTCTCAACATTTCTCAAACAAATTTTACTGCCACTCGTCACATTCTTTTCCTTCGCCTTCATCCCAAATATTTGGGATCGAACACCGATTGACCCGATTTTCTGCCTCGCATATACCGTACGTCTTTCTTCATCATTTTTAATGATGGAGGCGCGCACCTTTTATTTGGTTTTTCTCTCCTTTTATATCTTTCTACATTTATTTTGATTGCAATTATTTTTGCTTCGGTTTTTTCTCTTCCCGTGACATGCCCAAATCATCTGACTGTTTCTCTCATTTTGTCTACAATCCATGCCTAATTTACTTTTTGTGTACTTATTTTTTATTTTTTTATTGAATTTACGCCTGGTAATAAGATTTTAACATAGATACGTTAATACTTAATATATATATATAGATAAACTTAATAAATTCTCTCCAACCTTCCCAAAAAGCTGTTTTTGGATCCATTTCAAAATCGCAAAAACGCATGAAAATCATATTTTACAAAAACAGATGTGAACTTTGACCATAGATGCCAGAGATATAAATTTTAATGTTTTTAGACGCAACGTTAGCGCACAATTCAAACAGTCTCGGCACTTTTTGATCACACTTCGTGTCTCTATAAAACTAGCTATAATGTCGTTATTGTTTTTTCTAAAGGTGTCGCGAATGTACGCTGAAGTGGTGTACAGCAGCTGTATCCCCGACGACAGTGGCCCACGGGGTGGAAAAGAAAACGGCGGCATCGAGCAAGGTAGTGGCGGCACCGTGACTGTGCTGCCCGATGTCTGGGTTTCCGTATGCCGTATCAAGGACAGACACTACGCCGCGCTGGCGTATCGTTATGCGGCGTGCGCCCTTCTTCCATACTACCGCTGTTCTACCGACCACCGGCATCACCGCCGGCACAGGGATCGCTATGCCGACGACGAAACTGAGGCCGACGAACTATTGACGGAGTTGACGACCGCCACGGCGGCTGTGGGTTTGGAGCTAACCGACGACGACGAAACTACATCGGCCACGGTGCGGCAGCAGCGGCGTTGCAAACAACTTGGTACTTAAAAAAAACCCTACAATCTACACATAGGGCCAGGTCACAGTCACCTAAAGGGAACGGGGACACGAAACTGTTAACCTGATGATTGTTTTGTTACCTTAATGGAGACCCGATGGAAAAATCTAATCTGCATATCCCGGCCATTTATATTGAATACCTACAAGATATCATGACGCTAAATAACACGGAGTGTTATGTTGCTTTAGGTACTCTGTTGCTCGAGGCAGCGGCGGCGGCTCATGATCGGGCTGCTCGCGCACAACGTCTGTGCCGACAGCTCCGGACGAAAGCCGAGGGGAATGCCGCTGGCGGCGGTGGATTATTGGCCGGCGCGTTGGACAGGGAACGGCAACGAACTGTACGGCTGTTGCTGTTGCACCGGCGTAACGACAATGAATATGATGGTACCGCCGGCGGCGGTGACGACGACACTCACTGTTGCTGTCGCCGTCGACGTTGCAGCGATGACGGTCCGGCGGTGTCTGCGACAAATAGCTGTCATGACTGTTTTTCCGACGACGACGGTGTCGACGACACTGTGGCCGTAGACCACTGTTCAGGCAACGGTGACCAAGAGGAATTTACCGTGACCGGGATAGCCGGTATTCCCGGTCTTGATGTCGATCGAGGTGTGCTCTTCAGACGTGAGTGTTGTCGATAATATTTTATCTTTTATTTTTATTTAAAATCAACAATGAATAAACATCATTAAGCTGAGTTTAACAGATCGAACTACTTTAATAGTATTTATAACGCTAATTGACAGTTTTTTTAAAAAAAAAAAAAAAAAAAGCCAACTTATAATAACACACAAGTCACAAATTAAAAAAACAAAAGAATGTTACAATAATAATGTATGAGAAAACTCTGGTAGAAACACTCAAAATTAAAATAAAACCGATACAGTGATATCTTTTAGGGTCAGGAATTGTGGACAATTAATGTTACCATTCAATATAATATATTCATTTATTAAATCCATAAAACAACAAAGATATTTTGTCCCCATAATGTTTTACTCGATAAAAAAAAAATATAGTATAAATGAGTGATATCCAAAAAACCCCTCCGTCAAGTACGTGTAAAACCCTCACTAAGAAAAAAAAAAACTCAAGTTAGAAAAGTTGTGATATCAAAAAGGGGTTAAGTACCTAATGTCTTAAATTCATTAGTATAAAAATTGTTTAGAATTGTTTGCATTTGACGAAATGCGATAATTTAAAAGAAATAATTTAACTTAGCTTGGTGGCTACTCATAGTATGTACTTAAATATTGTTATGGTAATATTAATAAATTATTATATAAGATTATAAAATGGGTATGTAGATATTCATGTTGGTATTGTAGTCTTAAATATTAGTAGCCCCCAAGTTAAGTTAAATTATTTATATAAATTATCGCATTTCATAAAATACAAACGGTTGTAAACAATTTCTATACTAATGAATTTAAGATATTACTTAGCCCCTTTCTGATATCACAACTTTTCTACCTTTAATTTTAATTTTTGTTTTCTTATCGAGGGCTTTACATGTAGTTAACGGAAGGTTTTTGTTAAAATATCTATATGCCACGAATTAAAATAGTATTTCAATTTGTGTTAAGTGTATAAATACAATCAAATTTGGTAAACAATTTATGAAACTATATTAATGAACATAGTTTCATAATGAAGGGTTCACGTGAAATTCATCCGCCTTTTTTGGTTTAGCTTAAATATTTTGACGTACCTGCTTATACTTTCATTTTGAAGAATATACCTACTAAATATAACGGGTTTTAACTGCAGTTTAGAGGTAGAAGACTACATTATTTTGTGTCGCCTCATTTTAACATTTGAATACAGCCAATTTGAGACCAAAAATTTGCTGTAATTTCATATTTTTTTTAGAAGGTCAAGTGTACAAATTTTTTTTATCAAAATCGGAATAAAACTGTAGATTTATATAAATTAACAAATAGACTTTTAAGTTTATAATAAATAAGATTCTGAGTTTTTATTCGGAACGTAATAATTTTAATTGTGTAGCTCGGACAAAATTTCGGTTAATGGCAATTGCACCAGATTTCACGGACACGGGTGACGATGACAACGAAACCAATGACGGCACGACGACAGACCGACACCATCAGAGGCGAGAACAGCCTAACGAGACCGCCGACCGGGAAGAACGCCGTGCCGACTTGTTCGCGGGGCTCGGTCCTGTAGCCGTGTTCTCGGCTCGGCACCGGTTCACGCGACCTCGATGGGTCAAGGTGGTTTGCAGTGGCCGTCATCATCATTCTGCAGGTGATATCGTGGCTGCTGTTGGTGCCGACGACGAAGACGACACTGCTTTGGAACCGATACAACTCGTAGACAGGTGGTTTGGGTTCGAGCTGCGCAGTCACGGCGGTGGCACTGCAGCTGCAGTTCCACCAGCCACTGTGGGACATGTCAGATCCAATTCCCAGGCACAAGTATAATAATAAACTATTCATTTTTTTTCGAATTACCGGCCTCGTTTTTGGCATAGGTACCAGGTATCTAACAGAGTTGTTTTTTCAGCACGCCGGTCTGAGACGAGGTGATATTGTGGTGGCGCTGAAACGAACTGGTGACAATGGTAGCGTTGTGTTGGACGTCAGGTGGGACACATGTCGCCGTGTAGCGGAGTTCATTATACAGCATTGTCAACGGCGTCGACAGCAGAGTTCCATTGATTGCTGTAGCGTGGCCATCCAGATGAAAGTCGTCACACCGATCACTGCAATGATGGCATCTGATGGATACTCGGCAACCAGCACGACAGCCATTGATCCAAACAAGGTATCTACCTATACCTATAGATATCCTATACAATTTTCATTAGTATTCGTTGAAAATTATTTTACAATCTGCAACATTGTGGTATTTGTTAATCAGATACCAAACACTATTTTATTATTTTTAAATATTTGTTAAGACTGGTAAAACCTTCTATTTGTTCTATTTGTTAATGTTATGTAAAACAGGTGTCTGCTGTAAACAGTGTTTCTTGTCATATCTTATTTGTTTAAAAGCCATTTTTACCACAGTGTTTTTTTTCCAATTAGACAAAGTGGTCTGTAGACAAATTTTCTGTAATGTAAAATGAAATAAAGAGAAAGTGGAACAATGTTTGAGGCAAATGTTTACCATATTTTAACACCACTACTGTTAGTGAGGTATGGGTCTATGGGTATGTGCAAGACTCAGTGTTGTAAAGAATACTTTTTTTGTAATGTATTTAAGTACAATTTTAAATACTATTTTTTTTCCAATTACCTACTTAAATGCTTAACTATATTAATAATACAAATATAGTTATCTAAATGCCAAATCTGTATCGACAGATTTTGAATTATAATTTTTTTTTAAATCTAAAATATAAGTAAAGCTTTGTTTAGGGTTTTTTTTTATCTACATTTAAATTATTTAAAATTTATATAAAAATACAATAAAACCCAGAACACATTCACTGCTAGGTTAACATAATAACTGATTAACCAGAGGCGTAGTTAGAAATATTCTTCTGGGTAAGCTAGATAAAATAATATAAATGTTTATAATCACTATATTTGATTACTAATAAAAATGTTTGATGTTAAAATATTGTGTTAATTTAATAATGTCATGGACTGTCGACAGGGTACCTACATACTTATATTATGATTTTGGTCATTATCCTATATTTTAATGACAGTTTCAAAATAATTTAAATTGAAAAGTCAGAAAAAGTATTGAAGGTAATTATTTAATACTCCAGTATTTAATATTGTAAAAAGTATTTAAAATGTACTCAAATATTTTACAAAACTAGTGCAAGTGCAACATAAAACTTTTTTTCTAATAATTACACTCATAATTTGGTCCCATTCTATTAGGGTAGGTATACTTGATGTTACATGTGTTATATAATTATTTTAAACATTTTGATATAGTTTGACTATTGTCTCAGAAGAACTCAAAAAATTTCAAAAAATATATATTGTAATTATTTATTTAACTTACAATTTTATGTATTATTGTGTTCTGTAGATGTATCCTCGGAGGAGAACACCAGCAGTGGTGATGAATTTATCTGGGTCACCACCATTGCCACCTCAGCTTTTGCCACAGCTTACCACCAAACAAAGACGACAAAGGCGACCTAGTGCAAATGGAGACAATGAAGGATTGGACACTACCAACAAGATAAACACATGGTTGTGGAATCCATTTAGAAGACGGCACAGAAGTGTGGTTGGCAATAAATGTTAATTATTATGACCAATCATGTACATTGTACATCGTTCACAAATAATTTGTTATTAAATTGTAGCAGACAGTACAATTTACAACTTTATGTAAATAATAAATGAAAACATAAATGTTTACTTTTTTTTTGTGTTTTTATTAATATGTTGCCCTTAAAATTAAATGTTGCTCTTAAAATTAAAAGTTGCCTTATAATTAATGTTGCTCTTAAAATTAAAAGTTGCCTTATAATTAATGTTGCTCTTAAAATTAAAAGTTACCTTATAATTAATGTTGCTTTTATAATTAATATATTTCCTTAAATTTAATTCTTATTATTAAACTCTCATTTGATTATGAGGGTTGCTTAAAATACTAATTCGTTCAGTTCCTTATATTTTTAACAGTACTCAGTAATTGATGTAAAGTTTACAATACTGTAAATTGTTCTATGCATTGAAATGTGCACATTTAAGTATGTTTGGTATATTTAAATTAATAGTTTTTATAACTTGCAAAGAATTTTAATTTATTAAATATACCAAAATAAATCTTAAATTGCAATGCAATTTGAATAAACATACATTTTTCAATGCATCTGGTTTTGTTCTTAAGATGAATTTAAATTATCCTTCAGAGTGTTGGTGGACATTTGAAGTTGTTCATCTTGGTCAATATTTTTAGTAGTAGTAGTATTAGTAGTAGCGGCAGATATGTGAGTGTTGCTACTATTATTATTTGTTAAAGTAGTAGTGACTGCAGTACTTGGTCTTCTAGAGATTATGGCAGTTTCCTCAGATGCAGTAAGAGGTTTCTGGTTACTGTCTTTGGTACTAGAAGATAATGGTAGTGTAGATTGTTCAGTTTCTTTTGTTTGGGATACATACAATCTATAATTGTACATATAAACATTTAAAAAAATATTTAAAATAAAAAATGTTTGATAAATAATTATAAACAAATTAATAAAAGTATTAATAACATTTATAAAACATATATTTACGTTTTATTGTAATCAGAACAAGCATTATCTGGTATTGATGATAGTTGTTGCTGCAAAAGATTATTGAGATTGTATCCACTACCATCATCATCACACAAACCAAATTCTTCTTCTCCTCCATTGTATTTGTTTCGGAAAAATAATGCATTGTTGTCATTGAAATAATCATCATCGTCATCATCATCATCATCATCACAATAGCTATCACTTGCATATCGACTACTTAAACTGCTTTGACGACGGCTCCCATAATGTTGTTTTTCATTATGATCATTATAATATATCATTGAATTGACATCACTTAGTGCACCTACAATAGACATAAATTAAATTACTATAGTAAATATATGCATTATACTAGGAAAAATAACAAAATTAATATTACAGAACAACAGTTTGTGTTAAAATCAATTTTTTTTAATAATTTATTAAAAATTAATCATAAAGATGTGAAATGTAAACCAAATTTAAATATTAAAATTTATTAATTATGATATCTTCTTTTTCTTCACTTCATCCCAACTATTTGAAGTCAACCACCTTCATCCTAAGCATCTACTTGACCCACCTCGCATAAACAGACTTTTCTCATATTCACAATTGTATCTGGCTACCTTTTTTTAGTCTTTCTATCATCTCCTTTCGTACTTTCCATTAGGCTTCTGATTCTTCTTTTCTCATGATATGCCCAAATCATCTCAGTTTAAGCTTAATAAGTATAATACAATTTTGGAAATATTCTGTTGATTTATGAGATGTTTATATCTATTTGAAATTGCTAAGATTTTAAGTTTTGTGTATATAATTATTTTGGATTTATAAAAATATCCAACAATTTGAAACAAATGTTGTTCATTTGAAAATATAAGTATATCAAAAATCTGTAGGCATGTTTTTATTTTTTATGAGTCTGAAGTTCAGATTTCGATAACAATTTTAAAAATCAAAAATATATTGCATTCTATTTTTAAATCAATTAAATTTATATAGCCTGTAAAAATGATCACAAATTTGACATAAGATTCTTCATAATATGTAATTAGTGGTGAAAAAATAAGTTGTGTATAATGTCTATATTTATTTTAAGCATTTTAAGTTAAAATGTATGAACACATTTTGTAAAAAACAAATAATTGTAAATTACTCTTTTTAGTAATAAATTAATATAATTTTCAATTTAAATTGCATCAACAATTTTTTAATAGAATTCTGGTATTTTGTTACACTAAATTCAGACTACACTAAATATAATATTATTTGTTTAATTTTAGGGACCTGCAAACTGTTTATTTTGCTCAATAACATGCAACACAAAACTAATGCCTTGTAAAGTTAACAGATTTTGAACATTTTGTTATGTTTAAAGAAGAAAACTATTCACATAGATTGTTGGACTTGTATTTTGAAAATTATATTTCTAAATGCTCTTGAGTTAGAATATGACCAACTTTTACCTTTTTTTAAAACTAATTGTTGAAGTTTTTGGATACATACGAGATCTGTTCAAAAAGTGTCAGAATTATTTGACTGATATTATTTCTGTGATTTCTCTTGCGGACATTTGTTTTTACAAATTGTCTATAACTTTCTTTATTTTGACTTATGTTTATGTAAAATATGTTTTTCGGATTTAACAATTTCTGTAATGAATCCTAAAAATTAACTTGATAACTTTATTTTTATTATTTTTTTTTTTTTTGGGAGGGGAAGGTTAAAGCAGATTTTTTTTTCGTTTTGATGATTAAATAATTATATAGGTTATGATTATTATTATAATGTCAAAAAATGTGTATTATCATATAGTTATACCATAAAGTTTTTGACAAATCTGAATTTTGATTTCGTACATCTGCAGTTTTTTAGTTACAATTTGTTAGTATAAGTCGTGTGAAAGATTGCATTCCTCTATCAACTAAGATTTTGTCCACAAAGAAAAGGAAAAACCTCCTCCAACAAACTCTGTTTTCAAAAAATCCTTTTAATCCTTAATTCCTCTTACAAAATCACTGAATATGAAAATAATTTTTGCAAAAACATCAATGACATCAAAAAAAAAAAAAAAACTTATAGATAATCTATAAAAACTGTGCTTAGAAATTACAGAAGCCAATGATATCCAGCTGACTGATCTTGGAACTTTTTGAACATACTTTTTTATTAGAAAATAAAAGTACAAAGTTTTCTTCTTTGCAATAAAAAAAAAAATGTTTCTAATTCTTTTCAAGATATTTCTATGAGGCATGTAAGTTTTTCTTGTTATACATAGGCTCCTTAATATAAAAACTAAGAGATGAACCTTTTAAACTTGAATTAATGTTTAATTTGGACTGTATGATAATGTCTCACTTTTATTTTTTTTAATAATTTTATCTAATCATATTTTACCTAACATAAAATGTTGTATCAAAGATTTAAAATTTTTTTCTAGTCTAAAGATAATAATACTTGATACCAGTTATGATATAAATACTGTGTGGTAATGAATATTTATTTCATCACTCTTTAATGTGTACTGGGTATGGCTCATTTATGTGATCATTATCTATGAGTAGAAATTTAAACTAAATTTAATAAGGTTGTGGAAAATATTAAGACCTTCAGCGTCTGTTAGTCCAGTATCATTCATGGTGGACAGATTATCATCAAGATGTTGAGCTATAGATGTGATTGAGGAATCAGCAGCTGTGGCATATACAATCTCCATTCCTGTGTCAGCAGTAGCTGCAGCTTCATCGGTTGTATACCCAGTAGTAGTGTATCCATCACCATCACCACCAGTTGTATATCCATCACAGTCAACACCGACTGTGTAATCAGTATTGGCTGTTACTAAACTTCTATTGACTTCAAAATCATTTGCATTTTTTGTAAATTCAATACATTGTTCCCGGTAGCTGTTATCCATTAATGCTGATAATGGATCAACTGATTCATCATCACTCCACTCTGAAAATTCTTCTGTTGTTGCAGTAACTCGTTTTTGGTGTCTATGTATAGCCACTTCAGTTGTAATTGCTGCTCCTCCTCTGACAACGGACACAACATTATTTTTATGCTCCTGTAGTATTCGTCTTACTTCAGCTTGCTACAACATATTTAATGTCTAATAATAATATACACAATATGCAAAAATAATAATAATAACAAAAAAACAACTTTCATGTACACATGTGGATTGATTTATAATAAATCAGGTGTTTGATTTATCCATATTTTTAACAAATTATAAGCTACAATATTTTCATTTATTGGGTAGTAATAATTGGCTGAAAACCTAGTTAATTTTATAGGTGAAAGCTATCAATTTTATGATCATGCAATAAAATAAAAAATTAATTTTTTCATACCTGTCGTTTAACTTGTTCTGTGATTTGTCTTTCACGTTCCTCAAATGATGAAGCTGAAGATACATTTGTTGTAGTAGTCATTGGGATTGTTGTAACTATTGGTTTCTCAATTTCAATGTTTTTCTCATTTTTTTGATTACTTTCATCATCATATTTGTCAAGTTTGGGACTTTTGACAGTTGTCCCAACTGCTATGGATCCATGTTTTTCTAATGATAATTGTTCAACAACTTCACCCACAATTTTCCTGTTACAATATTAATTGTTATCGTCTTATTAATTTTATTTGTATCACAATCATTAGAAATGCAAGCACTAGTTTGTTCAAAAATAAAATAAAAACATATAGATAATACTCAAATTAATATTATGAAGTATAGGTTGAATAACAACATGATATTATTATTTTATATTTATAAGAACTGATAGTAATATAAGTAGAGTCAGTATTTATCAATAACCATTTTTACCAGGTTAACACACCAATAATGCTAAGACTAAATAAAGTTAATAAATTAGAATTAAATTTATCATTTACTTGTATTGGTAATTTTAAAGTTAATCAGTAAGTTTAAATTCTGAATGATTATCCAACTTTAAAATAACAAAAGTGTTGTTTTGAATACACATAATATTATTCTAATCTAAAGCATTAAAAATAAAAAAGTAACTTAAAATTCAGTTAATTTGGTATTTTTTTTAAAATGTATACTCCAATTTCTAATAAAACAAATGTGTTAAGAATATTGATGATTTGTTATCAAAATGTCATCATTACATTAAACACAGATTATCAAATGAAACCTAAGATAAAGGTATTTACATTTTGAATGGTTTGTTTTTGTAATACCTAGCACATGGTTTTGTTATATTTTTTAAAGTAAAAATAAAATAATTTAGGAATGGAAGTAATGTTGATGAAAGCCCAGAATCTAATGTTATGTACAGGGATTTTTTGAGCAGGTTATGTGATAAATACATTTAATTAAAATACACATTATGTAAATCAAAAATTAAAACTTTCTCTACATCAAATTCTTGATATTAAAATTCATTGTTCAAACTTTTTAATGAAGAGAGATAAACATTTTTCCATAAAAGATGAGATATCTATGAACCAAAAATATTTTTAAAATAGCAGGTGTTGAAATTTTATAATTTCAAAATAATAAACATTATTATTTAAAATTTATGATTCTATAATAAATAAGTATTGCAAAAAAGTGTTAAGAAAAAATCAATAGAAAATTAAGTAGCAATTTGACAAAATGATATAGTTTAATTTGCAGAGCAAAATGAGCAAATGAGCAGAGTGAGGAATGTGTTGGTTTTACAGTGATGTTTTGTTTTCTGTGAACAACTTTTCTACTAAAAATTTTGATTTGATTTCAAATGTAGTACCTTTTCTGAAAGGAATTTTGAATTTCTGGGGTGGTACATAAAGGGTTTTCAAATTGAATGAAAGAACTGGTAAAACTGTATAAAAAACAGGTAAATTTACGAAATTTATTACTTTCAAATTATAAACATTATGGTGTTTCATAACATATATAATTGAACTCTGCTTAGAATTGTTTTTGTTGGTAATAATTATACTTTGAGTACAGATATACATTCAATTTTTCCTTTACCATCCCAACTTATCACAACAGTGGCTCACACATTATAGGAAGTATGTCTGTTTTTTTTTTAACTTATGTTATTAATTTTAATGAATAACTTTTAAATTAATTATATTGCAAATGTATTCAATTTAAAAAAAAAAATAACTTATAATTGTATTGATTTATTATAATAACTAACTCAATTTGTATAAATTAGGAATTTTGTTTAACTAACCTAACATTCTTAATAATATATCTTATTAAAATGGTAATGCTAATTCTAAATACTAACTTTTTGTCATCGTTAAGGTCACCAGTATGTTTGTCTAAAAGCAAAATACGCCGAATCTCATCAGTAAAATCTGGGCCTGGAGCAGCACAACTTGTTCCTTGGTCTTTACATATTTGTCGTCTTTGTTGTTTTTTCCAAGGAGACAATGGTGGCGTTTCATATCTGTCACTTGTTGCTGCAATAGTCATAATTTCTGGTGCAGCACTGGATGGCGATGATGATCGTCCTGCTATTGTGGGAGCATGATTTTGTGGTAGTTGTTGGCGGCGTCTCCGACGGCGACTGGAACTGCTACCACCAACACCAGAAGTACCATTGCTAGAGCACTTCCTACGTCGATTTAATGACTGTGTGCCGCCAAAACCAGTAGAGGTGGAATTTCCCACTATGGGGGGGGACCGCAATGAGGATGAAGAGGCGACAGTAATGTCGCCGCCAGACAAAGGTGACCGAAAAGATGACGATCGCCTGACGGGAGACGAGTTAGCCGTCGTCGTTGACGGAGACCATTGACGTAGTAGTAAATGTTGTTGTTGATGGACAGGTGAAAGTGCTACTGAAGATGTAGCAGTGTCAAATTCTTCGATATCTACTCGATCGATGCCACCACCATCTTCTGTAGCCGTGCGACCATAACTATCATCGTTGTCAGATGACGATGCCGTGGTGGTAGTATTGTAATTGTTATTAGAAGTAGTCGTACCACCAGCATCAGTGGATCCGGATGATGACAATGACGAAGCAATGGATGATGTGCTGACGAATGTTTCTGCACTGATCGGTGACCGAAATGCTGATGACGATATCCATGCTACTGGATCCAAACCAGTGTTAATAATATCAGGTGAGACAGGATTCTGCAGTTCTTTGGTGGTTGGCGTTGTTGATGGTTGATTATGTGGTCGGCGTCGACGTCGAGGGTCATGATGGTTTCGTTGCCTACCGGCTACAGTGTCGGAGGAGCGTGGTGGTGCCGGCAATGGCCTATCTGCATCAAACTTCTTGGGCGTTATTGCTGGCGCTCCAGCAGTAGTGTTCCGAAGGGCTAAAATGTTTGGTCGGCGGGGTTGTGATAGTTGCTGTTGAACATGACGAGTCGTTGCACTAGCAGCCGCATGACTAGAGATAAACTTATTTGATTTAACAATATTAGTAATAGTTGGTTCATTTTTCGATGATGATGATGGCTGTTGTGAATCATCACCAAATAACAAAACAAGGCCATGGGGAACCGGTTGCGTTGAACCAGATGGTGAAGTGTGCGGATTGTTTTTCTGTTGTTGCAGTGGGCGGGCGTATGTGGTTATGGGTTTGGGGTTTGCATCAGGCGTCCGTCGGATTGGATAATACTGTTGTTTATTGTCATTGGAAAGTTGAATACTTGCAGCTGTATCAACAGGAAAATAACTAATAATATACAATTTTTAAGGTTCCAAGTTAATTTTTCACAAGAAAATATTGAGGTCTTAATTATAAAATTATTGTAGACATTATTATTTATTGATAGAATTGATTTTATAAGACATATTTTATATTAATAACTAACGAAACTGGTATACAAATGAAATTGAGTAGATACTTAATTTCAAAACTAGTTTTATAATATGTACTTGTGTTATTTTACAAATAATGATGAATATTTACCAATAAAAAAAAACTTCAACTCATACCTATATGGATGATAATAATAGAGAAAATTGTTTAAAATAATAGCTTACATTAATAAATGAGCTTATTATAATTTTCAAGTATTTTAAATAATTATTGACTGACTACTGAGGTACTCAATGTAATGTAATTTATAACTTAATATTTATATTTGTGTTTAGTTAATTATTTACCAGAAAAATTGATGTGAAACTAACTTTTATCTTTTGAATGATAATAATAATTAATGAACAAGTACATATTTTTATATGTACTCTTCTTTTTGGATGCCTATAGGCAGAAATAAGAGTATGAGGATAAGAAAAAAGGAATGGCTTACCTCGTGATCGTTTCAGTTGGTCTGAATGCCAATCTCCTTCTTCGTTACATTGTTGTTGTGGCATTGGATAGTGCTGGGATTGTTGTTTCCTACGCATGTTGGATGGTGGTGTGCTACGTGAAGGTGGTGGTGGTGGAGAGTTTTGTGGTTCGACACATTTATATCTGACCTCTTGTGGTGCTTTGGCATAATAAGAGTGCTGTGTGTGCTGTATTAGCGGTGATGACGGCTGATCACATTCTGACTGTTGTTTTATTGTACGGTGGATATTATTATGTGGAGTCGGTTGTACTGCTGTCTGATTTTTGAACCACTGTTGTTGGTTCGAATCAGTTGGTAGGTGATGGTAAGTTTTCTGACCCATAGCTATTCGTCTGTGTTGCTGCTGATAATAGTTGGATATCTGTTGCTGCTGCTGAGTCATATACTGATGACCTTCATGGCGTTGAAAATGTTCACGCACAAAATAAGTACGTCTTTTATAATCTTTGTGTAGGGTTTGAGTTCGGATTTCAAACTCATATTCAGAATCTTTTACAGATTTCATCACTTCTACTACACAGTTTGTTACCTGTGTACTACCTGGTAAGCCAGTGGTGTCCATTTGTCTAGCTGTGTTCACTGTACTGCCCCAAATATCGAATTGCGGCCGCTTCCAGATTTCATCATTGCAGCCAATTAATCCAGCGATGGCTGGTCCAACATTTAGTCCTGTAGGCATATACAAAAAGTACATACTGTTTTAATTTATTTAATATATATATATATATATATATATATATCACATAATTTGTGTTAGATTTTGTAAGAAATGTATTGGATTTATTATAACTGTGATATTTTCTCTTATAAATAACTTTTGTACCAGAAAGAACACAAATTTAGAATAATAATATTAAGGGGATTTCTATTACTTTTGATTTAAGTCTTTTCTTTTTTGTGATTATTCATTTAGAAAATAATTCTAGAGACCTTTCAATTTCAGCAAATAAATTATTACTTTTAACAATTTTTAAAATATTCTAAAATTATTCTTATTATATAATTATTACTTAACTTGAAAAAACTAACTAAAAATTAACTAAAAAAAAATATGAACCAACCATTTATCAGATATTTTTTTATTTTCAAAGGGGGTAAAAAAACGATTTTCACCTTATAAATTTTTTGGGAAAAACTGTCAAACTATCAAAAACACCACATACAATAAAAATTTTCCACTACATGATAAAAAATGATAAAAAAAATAAAACCATGCTATAATAGTGTTCATAAAAATATTTGTACTCACATATATCATGATAATATTAAAATTAATTAAAATAGAGTAAATGATGAAAACATATATTTAAGCATGTGATGTTTTTAGCAAATATGAAATAAATAAAATAATAATTGAAGAAAGAATAGCACAAATATACATAAGGGTGCTTTCACAACTTAATGTATAAGATATGTTGTTATATGTACAAGAAAATATTTTTATAAATACTTCTAAATTTACTTTTTAATTAGTTCATTTTATAAGCAAGGCGTTTAAATATATGTTTAATATTTTTTTATAATAAAGTAAAAACAAAATTACTAACTGATTAATACTCATAAATAAATAAGTAAATAAATGAATGTGTTGTCTACAGTATTATAATATTATGAAACTTTTATTATATCACGATTTTCGAATTAAAAATTCATCATTAGGTAAAATCACAAAGTCAAAAATTAAACTGACTGAAAATGAAAACAAATAAATGAAAGAATACATAGTGAAAAAATTATACAAATTGGTCTTTTACATAGAAATAATTTATTTTAATAGGGGGGATTTTTTAATGGATAGATTACAAAATTAGTTATTTTTAGAACATAGATATGTTGAGAAATATAAATTATTTGGTTATTATTTATTATGTAAAATGTATTGATATATAATATTTTTTTTTAAAATCGGTTTGTACATATAAAATATTATTAAAATTATCTTTCTTCATTTCATTGTGTATGTGTAATAATTCTAAAATTGAATTAATGTAAACGTTATTTTGGTATTAAATTTTTTTAAAACATGTTTAGCAAAATTATAATTAGGGGCAATCTTTTTTAATTTTATTTCTGAAATTTCCTTTATATAATAATTATTTTAAAATTTCTATTTGTCTTACCTATACAAAATTTAATACAGGTACATTTAAGTTTATATATACCAGCATTTTTAAAAGAAGGGGGATTTTTTGTGAAATTTTTAATTAGATTGTTTTTATGTCTGATTAAATATTATTAATCTTAAAAGCTATTTTTACATTTTTTGTATTATTGTTCAGAAATTTAGCCAATTTATTAGAGAAATTATTTTGATATTTTATACTACAAAAGTTAACAACATTATTTGATGAGTTGTGTATTATTTTTTCTTTAACATGTTTGCATTTTTTCAATAGTATTGAAATTGAAATTATTTCTATGGGCTATATTATAGATAATATTAAGCTCGTGTTGATAATTATGTTTATTTAATGGATTACTTTCAAGCCTATGGAATACTGAAGTAAAAAATTGTATTTTTTGAGAATAATGTTAATTAGAAACATGTGGTATTATTGCATCAGTTTATGTAGGTTTACCTGTAAATACTAAAATCAAATTTATTGTTTATTATGAAAACTGTAAGATATAAGAAATTTAATTTATTATTTATTTGCATTTTGAGTGTAAATTGAAAATTTTTAATTATTTTGTTTAAGTAGTTAACTAAATTTTCTGCTTGTCTATTTGAATGTCTAAATAAATTGAACGTGTCATTAACATATCTATAATATGCTTTTATATATGTACTGTATATTTTGTTGTTAATAATATTATTGATTTCATAATTTTGCATGTAAATTTCAGATAAAACAGCACTTAAAGGTCTACCTAATACTAACCTTTCTTTTGGGGATTACAATTTATTATTATATTAGAAGAAGTTTTGATTAATAATGACATTTATTGATTGATTAATTTATTGTACTTAGTTTATATTAAATTTGTAATTATGTTTAATTTTATTTTTTATAAAATTCACTGTTTATGGTTTTGGAATGGATGTATATATAAATTGTAAAAATCACTGAATTTTATGGACTATATTTTCAGATACAACTATTTTGGCTTCATAAAAATGATAAAAATAATGACAATAATTGTGTTTATTTTGCAGTTACAAATTACTATAATTTCTAACACATGTTTAACCAAAATTTGCTCAGAAATGTTTTTTATTTGTCAGAAAATTGTCATTTGTCCCTGAATATAGAACTACAGAATATATAAACTAATCTTATATATTATTACTTCACCTTTGGAACTTCTATCTTACATTCATAATGTAAAGTATCTTCTTTTTTTACAACTAAATTTCTCTTTTGCAAATTATTAATATTTAATAAATTAGGTATACTAACCAACTCTAAGGGTGAATTGTGTTGGCCGTAAATGTAAATGATAATCTGATTTTATTGGTGCCGTTTGCAACTGATGTAATGCTCGCCGCATTTCTCGAACAAAATCTAATGCAAATATCACATAATTTGCTGATGTGACATCACATAGTCCAAACTCATTATCTCTATCACTGGTGTTGTTATCCATTGAACAATTTACTCTCTTTATTCTTTGTCTAACCTCTTCTTTTTGCATTAGTAGCAAATGCTCTGGTCTTTGCAGACCCACAACCGCCATGTATGTGTTAGTGCCAACCATTTTTATTTTTTCTACTAGACCTCTGAATTTTTCATTTTCAAGCAACTAATTATATAGAAAAAAAAAAAAATTTAATAATATTATTGTAATATAATTAATATTAGTATACAAATTACTCTATCAAATTCAATGAAGATTTCATGAAGTGATAAAAGCTGTTGATGGTGCTGATCACTTCTGCATTCATTTAATTCACTGCTCGTGGTGGTGGTGAACAAGAATTGTTCACGTATTATAGATGCAAATATAACAACTATTGATTGATAATTCCGGTGATAAAGTGGAGAAAACATATGTGTTTGAATATGTTCTTCACTTTGACAATTCTGATAACAGTAACAAAAGTACAAAATAATTTAATAATTTAGACTTGCTTAATTTAGTTTGCTTACATTGACAACAATGGGTTCTGGCTGAGAATTAGTAATCCTGGATTGCTTATTCCAAGTATCATTACATCCTTCATCAGAATCATTAGCATCACCACTGTAGGTTTTTCGTAATAAATCAGCTACGTGGTCAGGTATGATGGTATGTAAAGTTCGCCGGTGAGCAACACGCAACACATTTAGCCTTCTCATATCACGATCAATCTGAATATAAAATAAAAGAAACAAAAAAAAAAACAATTGTTAATGACCTAAAGTAAATCAGCCATCAATTATAACATTACAACTCATTTGTACAAATACTGACCTTAACCTTGAGGTTGGCTTGTCGGTTTTTTAGATAATGTGTGTAAATGGAGTAGATTAGTATAGCTATAGTGAATATTATCACATACATGGTAGCTGTCACAATCATTAAATTCCCACTCTGTTGCTGTAGCTCTCGATTTTGGGCCCTACACATATAAAGGAATGTACATCTGAATATAAGTAATTTGCCACCAACATAATATTGAATATAATATGAGACATAATAACACTGAAAATGTCTTGAATAGAGAAAGTCAAAAATCAAGAAATATACACAAGAATGAACAAGCGAAAAATACTGTAGAAACAATAATAGAAAGAAGAAATAAGCGGATTGGACATAAAATGATAAATGATAAATTGATGACAATTAAGAGGGGAGAAGCAAGATGATGTAGACCAAGTACTCCATTTATGAAACAAATCATAAGAGATATAGGAAGAAATACAAGGAACTAAAAGTAGCAGTGATGGATAGGGATGAATGGAGTCTATCAAAATTATTTTTAAACCATCCAAAGTTGAAAAAAAAAACCTAGTACAGAATGATACCTTAAAAACGTCTACATAAGTCTAACTGACTATGTGTATATTTCATAATGTAGCATTTACATTTGTATGCGTAATATATAAATATATGCATACATATGTACACTGAAAAATTCGAAAATTTAAAATACTTATAGAAAAAGCTCAAAAATTGACAGAATGTTTTGATTTTTACCATAACTAGAAAAGACCAATATAAATATTTTGAGGATATTTCTGGTATTTATAATAATTGTAATTAAAGATAATTATAATCTAACCAAATCATAATAAAAAAAAACAAAAATAGAAAATAATGAAACTTATTAACTTTTCGGATTTTTATATGGTCTTCTAAACTATTAAGAAAACTGCAAGGAAATTCAATAAATAACCTCTCTAATAAACCAATTGAATGACATTTGCTACCAGAAATCATCCCAACAGTTTATGATTAGTACAAGATTTCTGGTAGAAAAGTTGTTAACAAATAGAAAAAAAAAACTACACATCATAGTAAAATCAATATACAGGATTTTTTTTTATCACGAACTAGCAATTATCTCAAAAGATTTTAAGTGAATTAGATTTTTGTTTTCTTCTGAGTATTATGGAATCCTTTGAGCTTTATTTTAAAATCATTTTTAATTTTTTATCCTTACTCTATATACCTTAAATAAATGCATATTTTTGATTTTAAAATATGAAACACTCCCCATTTTGAACCTCCCTCCTATTGGAGTAGAAAAGGGTCACAGATAGACAACTTATTACCCTAACCTACTCCTCTGGTCTAAACTTTAAATTATTATAACTCATAAATGGTAAATCTAATATTAGTGTTATATATATATATATCAATCAACATTTCTAGAAAAATATTCTCTATTCAAATCAGTGTTCAAAAGAAGGGGGAGAGGTTCTTATTTTAAAATCAAAAGTATGCACTTATTTAGGGTATATGGAGTAGGGGTATAAAATTAAAAATGGTTTTAAAATAAGGTTCTATTGATTAAAAAAAAAAAAACAGAAAACAAATTCACTTAAAATCCTTAGAGATAATTGCGGGTTCATGAAAAAAAAAAAAAAAAAAAACACCCAGTATTTCTCACTTTGCTTGGAATCTAAAAAAAAAAAAACCAATTGTTTATTTAATCACAGGAATTAAGTGAATAATAATCTAAATAGAATAATGATTGTACTAACTGTAATTGTTCATCTCCAATATGTTCTTGGCATGTATTTGTGTCACAACATGCTGATGACACAGACATCACTGAGGCAGCCATAAAAATATGTCGGTGTGTAAAATGAATAAATGTTATAGGAAACACACATATCATGAAAAACAGCACTATAAATTTCATCCACAATGTTGGTAGTGAGCCGTAGTAGATGGGAAAGGCTATTGCTATTGACAAACATGCTAGGCAGCAAGTGATTATGGCGTACTGAGGCCATTGACAAGTCAATGGACTATGATGCTGTTGTTGTCGCGAGGAATTGACTGATGGAGTATGAAATCCACTAATGCTTTCATTAAAGGTGTGGTCTGTTGCAGTTATTATCACAGGTTCACAAGTAAACTGCATACAAATATTTTAATAAGATACACATGATACAAATTAAAAAAAAAAAAAAATCCTAGATAAAATATAATAATAATAACACTTACAGCATTTAATAGTGCTAATAAGCACACAAGTAGCACAACAAACATTTCACAACATGCACTTAGCCAAAAGAATCCAGTGCACCTCATTTCATCCTGATAATTTCGCTTAGGTCTTCTCTTATTTCGACTACTAGTTTTGTGACTTCTTCTATTAATGTTAATTGTCTGTGAATGTTGTAACCGGTTTTGTAGATGTTGAGATGATGATAAACCTGATGTTGAAGCTAATATAGCATTTTCATTTCGAAAGCCAGGCCTGTTTTCAATGTCACTCTCATCAGAGGATATCCAAGAAGACCTGCTATTATTGTTCAAACACCATGTGGGCCATCTATGATCACTATGACAGAAACTGGGTATAAACCACCATCGACGACTGTTATTATCATCTAATGTATTCTCTGTTGTTATAATGGAATTATTTAGCCATTGAAATGGTTTGAAAAACCAAGTCAATAATAAACATCTATTGGGGCAACAGCAATCTATTATATGTCTTAAGCAGCCAACACTGCTATGGCTGCTGTAACTATTATCACTGTAGTGGTCGCTGTCATAGTGTTGATAATAGTCATTATCATCAGTAATAATTGCAGTTGTATAGGTATTGCTATGAACCTTTGGCAGTGGGATCCAATCGATTAACAGGGCCATCACATAAATCAGTTCACCCTTTATGCATATAAATAATATTGTATTTATAACATAATAAATTAATTTAGAATATTTTTAAAAATTATAATTAAATTGGATGAAGAAAACTTACAGAGATAATGACAAATGGTATTATAAAGGTAATCCCCAGTAGTAGGGTCCATGGCATTGTGGTCATATTCACTACAAACAGGGCAATAACAACACATAAAAGCAGTAGGTGAGCTATTGCAAGTCTAAAGAGATCATTATCAGCTGACACATTTGTAAAATTGTGGTCATAGTTCTTAAACACATCATCTTCCCATCGGCTGCTAGGCACCTAACATAAATAACACACATGTATACATTTATAAGAAGAATTAAAATTTCATATACAATTTGCTCCATAAATATCACTGCCTGATAATCTTAGATTAAAGGGCTGAAATAAACATATTAGGAAAATTAAATTTTTTAACTTTAACTGTAAAACAATCCACACCTTTTGGGTAATACTCCTAGGTTTTTATTTTTATACAAAATAGCAATCTCTTTATTATAAGATTTAAATAAATAAATATTTAAAAATACTTTGATTCATTTATGAAACCTTAATTTAACTGAGTTACAGCTAGCTATTTTAAATTTGGTAATACAAATTATACTTATGTATACTATACTATATGAGGTATGTTAAGTTTTAGGGTTATAATTATTAATGGACTAAAATTACTTTAAAAAATTGAGACTAGTATTGTGTGACAAAAATGAGTTATTGTTTAAAAAAAAATAATTAGTATTGCACATACATCCATCAGTGGTTGAACTTTTAACTAAAATATCTAAGAATCACAAAAACTTATTATAACAGATAAAAATAGCATATTTTTATTTTCCTGTCTGGAATACTAGCAATCTATCATAAGACACTCGTTATCTCGAAAAGTATTTACTTTTTCCGCAATTTATTTTCTAGAATATTTAAGAAACAAGTTGCTCTACAATTTTATATTTATGTTATTTTTTTATCACCCTTATTTTTGGGGGTAAAACAACTTCTTACTTTTGATTTTCAAATGGCAGCCTATAATAAAAAATTCCATAAATAGATGAAGTATTGGTTAAAATAAATTTTAGTATTGAAATTTTTGATTTTCATTAGTCCAATGATGAGATATTCCACTTTTAAGATTGGGTTAGAGGAGAGTAGTGGATCATTTGTGTGGCAGTAAAGATAATTAAGAGTAAATAAGTTTTATTATAAAACATATAACAAGAGCATTAAGATTAGATTTAGTTAATAATCTAGGAAGGTTAGGTTAGGTTTAGATAAAATAAACCAATTATCAATATGCTCTGGGAGTATCACTGATTTGTGCTTTTTTTGGCTTATTTTTCAAATGTGTGTGTTTTGGGTAATAGTTAAAACAACATTTCAATCTAGGCTTTGATATTTAGTGGTGCATAAAAAATGGAATATACTATGTAAGTAAATTCAATGGTACCACAATAAATACATATTAATTTAAAATCGTTATTAAATACTACAAAATAGTACCATTGTAGTTTTGACAGTTGAGCAAGTGTTAGGTATTGTTGTGACAGACTGTAAAGGCTCTTGCTCATATTTACTGCGCCTGTGACGATTCATTATCATCATAGCTGTTACAGGAGCAGTAATTAAAGCAGCGGTTGTTATTGGCAAATCAACAACCCCTGTAGTGGTTGATAATAAATGTTCTGATGTCATCTTAATTTCCTGTGAGGAATTGACAGTAAGATATTGACACCGGTGTGTTTTTTCTGCTTGCAGTTGGTGTTCTACGGATTGTAGTATTAATGATACTATGTTTGTATCTTCTCCTGAATAATTTTCATCATTATATCCATGATTTCTCACTTGATTTTGATACTCCTTAATTTCTGAATTTGTACACTGAATTTACACGAAATATATATAAATTATTCAATTTAGAAGGTTTGTAACAAAACTATTGATAGTGTTTAACTGTAGAATGTAGTATACTTACTATTACATCAGGTACTACAAAATATGTATTAATATGATTTTGTAGGAGGAACTGGTCTCTGAGTTCTTCATTACATTCAAAAGTGTAATCCTCTTTGTTGACATTAGGTTCGGGATTGTAATTGACAGTATCATTGTGAAAATTGCATCTTGGTGGATGTTGGTTGATGACCGAATTGGCAATAACTCCATTTTTAGCGACCCAGTCAACTGTAGTCTGACTAACATGTACTCGTCCTGGACGACCACTTGACTCAACACTGGATGTCACTTGAACATCATGGCCCCATATGTCGTACTTCCAACGACTCCCCAAGTTAGAATGGGTACTCAATCCACCCGTGAAACCCAGCACGCCACATGTTACCCGGCCAGAGTGAATGCCAACACGAATATTTAAATCAATTTTGTGACCATAGCGGCTTCGACTGACATCATGAACCACCTTACTATTTTATACAATATTATTATTAAGATTATTAATAAAATACATTTAATATTTTGAGTACATGTGATAAATTTGTAAATTATAAAATGGATGTTGTTACACATTATATTAGGGCATATCAATACTAACTGAAGCAGAGACATTATAGGATTTAAGAATATATAATATTAATTGCTGGTTTTAAATTTAATTATCAAATATTGAAATGATTAGTTTGAAACCAATCGTCAGTTGAAAAAAAACCATAAATAGTACTATCCCTACAAATTTGCATGACTTTTTCATAGTACTCTAGCACATACATAGTTCATCAAAAACTAAATTTAACATTACAAAATTTAAATATTAAAATGCCTTTCTAGCCATTTCCAAGAATAATTAATGTATTTTCATGATTTAAAAACATTTTTTGTATAGCATTATTGATTATTTTTTAATACATAATTTTCCTTGACTTCTAGACAATAGAACAAAAATAAGATACAACAGTTATATATGTAAACTGTATTTAATTCTATTAGGTAATCGGACAGTTATATTTTTTAGAAATAACAATTTAACTAAATTACTAGCAACTAGAAAATCACTTCATTATTTTAAATTGTTTTATTATTAGTAAGTTATTATTATATTGCAATACAATTATATAAAATGTATAAAAGCAAAACTTTACATTTTTGTCATGGATTGACTTTGAAACTACACATCCGATGGTCATGCGGATTTTTTTTTAAATGATTGAATATATTGCAGAGAAGCTATTAAGATATTTAAAAAAATCAGTCTGACCAGAAGTAGACCTAATCATCAGTAGCTAGTTTGGGCTGGAACTACTCAATTTAGTTATTCAATTTAGTTGACCACTTACTTGATGGCATTTATTAAGTCCAGTCCCATTTGGATAGCATCTTTGGCATGCCTAGTGTCCTTCCATTTACTGTTATCATATGCATCATCATCATTTATATAGCTCTCTTCAGCTGGTAATCCGGCAACAAACACTATACGTTGGCCGAGTAGGCATATTGGGAGGCAATGATTGCGATGAGCCAGTCCATTAAATAGATTTACAAATAGTTGATCAATAAGCGTAATAACTTGCCGAGAGGATTGAGAGCTTGCTCCACCATGACATACAACTGGCAATGTGTTGTACCAGAACCCAGACATTTTAGCATACACTACACTTACATTTTCGTATTCTTTTAGATACATTTTTGGATTCATAGGAATGAGCAGCTGCATATCCTGTGGCATTTGTAAATGCAGCTCATGTTTATAGTCTTTATCATTAGAATTAGAATAATAATAATAGGAACGGGCGGCGTCTGCTAAAATGTCATTTTTCATTTCCAAAAATACACGCTTGGGTACCAAAGATGTCAGAAGTCGATTCTAGGTAAAATATAAATAAAACATTTAAATTACCAGTGTATTTTAAAATTAAATTCTAAAGCCCTAGTATAGGATTTAATAGATGTGGGATTCAATACATTTATATGTTACCTACTGAAAATAAAATTAAACAAAAAAATATTGAAATATAAGATACATATTACATTGGCCAATATAAAGTAACAAATATTTTGACATTATATTAATAAAATGTAAATGAAATCAAATTAGGGACAACACATTTTTCAGATTAAGACTTAAATTAAAGATATAGGTTATTTGCTATGAAACAGTCAATCATTCAGAATTTTTTGAATGCTTTTCACACATAAGTCATAGAATATTCATAAACATGTATATAAAAACATGTTAAATCTATGTATATAATAAAAATCTGAAGGAAAGGTAAATTTATATTATCAATAAAATATGTATTCATAATTTTATAGTGAAATTGTAAATAAAAACATATAGATAAATAAATAAATAACTATTTAAAGTGCAATAAATACAAATTTAATACATACAAACTATTATAAATTTAACATTATTATTATTATCTGTAGATTTAGTTAGAAGTTAAATGAAATATAATAATGTACTCACAAACTTTTCTGCTTGCAATCGCAATGCTAAATGCAATGCATTGTTTTTTTGATTGAACTTATCAATATCATAAAAATCACCAATATCCAATCGGACAAAAACTACGTGTTGGCGTAATAGCCACCCAGTCAGGTTGATACATATTAGGGCTACCACGTTGGCTACAAGTTGCTATTAACATTAAGCAAATTCAATAAAAATAAATAAATAACATTACATTAATATTTTATAATTTACAGGGTGTCCCAGATGATCTGCCACTTGAAATTACTTTTATTCTATTCAATATTTTTGATATATACGTTTTTTTTAATGAGTAGGGGGACTTAAAATAAGAAATTTAAAATTCTAATTCAGTCATTTTTTTAAAAAAATTCAAATTAGGCATTTTATAAAATAGATTTTTTTGAAAATGTGAAGAATTTTCTTTTTAATCATAACAATATTGTTTATCAACATTAATGACCATTTACTTACTACCTAATATCTTTAATATGATAATATTATTATGATATTAATTCATGAAAAAGAAAATCCTTGTCAAGTGCCCGACTAATAACTCATTAATATTGTACCCAAATAGAATACCATATTTTAACAATAATTTCAACCACCAACATTTTTCTAAAAATCTATTCCACAAAATAGCTATTTTGAATTTTTTGTTTTCATTCTCTCTCTAAAAAAAAAAAAAAAAAAAAAAAAATTAAATGTTTATATATAAACTGTAGCCCACAGGCACACTAATTATTTTAAAAACAATAAATATAACAAAATTATTGAATAGAACAAGTTATTTTAAGCAGCAGATCATCTATAGGATACTCTGTATAAGTAGTATACACAGTTCTTTACTGGTAATACAAACCTGTTTGATAGGTTCCATCAAATTATTTTGTTGTGAATAGTGATGATAATACCAGCAATATGCGGTGTATGCATTTAGAGCGGTATATGCGAAGGAAATACCGACTGTAAAAAGCAGCACTGCCTTTGTAACATTATCTTTTGCATCATTTTCTTGAAAGTTTTTTGTATTATTGTTTCGGTGGTCAATGTTAATTTTGTTGTACGATTTGACGTTGTCAGGTATGGGCAATACAAAGCAATATGCGATGAATATAAAAAACATTATTTGCCATAGGCCTTCATATAAGATCAAATGATTGTCATGCAGGTTCCCTACAGTATCAGAATGGCTGGTTACTTGTTTTGCAGTTAAATTTTCTAACAACGGAGCTGTCTTCGCTGTAGTACTGATTTTGCCACTAAAGACTTCAACCAGCGGTACAGACGGTAACAGAGCAGTGGTAAACAATACAAGTAGCACGTAGCACCACCATCGGTGTTGTAATTGTTGTTGTTGTCGCTGAAAGAACCACCTATACCATAAACAACCAATAGTGAACGCACAACATGATTGGGCGACATAATACCAAGCAGGTGAAAAATGGCATAACCATCTTTGCAAATGGCTATCGCTATTGTTGAGTATGCCTCTCATCCATATCCATCCACTACCGGAGGTTATATCAAACGTGTAGTATACCGCAGCCATGGACGCCGCATATATAGTGTGTAATATGGTAGCCCATACGATTGGTTCGGTAGGTCGCCTATTTTCAAGATTTCGTTGACGTCGTGATTGTTCCGATTTTCGTTGTTTTCGTAACGGTTGTTTTTCCCAATCATCTGTTGTAGGCTGATGAGATCGGTTGTGATGGGATTCAAAAAGTAGAGTGGTTTGTTGTTGCTGCTGGTGTATGTCGTCCCCACCATACCAAAGTACATTGAGCCTACGATCCTGATTTTGCTGTAGCTCCAGTCGTCGGCGCTGTTCTTCCATGACGGAGATGCTGTTTGTGGTGGGAGTCCGGCAGGCTGGACTGGTATTAATTGCCGTAGTAATGGTAGGGAATACTACAGCATTTGAGGTGTGACCGTTATGTTGACCATGTCGCCAAGTTTTTGTTGCTGCTGTAACTAAACCGTTCAAAATACCACGACGACCAATTGCTTCCGTGGTATGAAGATCTGTAGCCATAGTTTTGTTTTCTTCGTTGTTTGATTTACATGTGACAGTGACGTCTAATGAACGTTGAAAGTATGTACAGTGGTGATTAAATTAATAAATATTTGTAGTAATAGTGTTATTAAGATAGAAGTTAAATGTGACTGGCGATCAGATTTAACTCGTGTAACAGTATTGGTGGTTTAGTTAGATTTAGATAGCAATTGCTGTACAAAATTATTTCTTTTTCGTTGATATATAATAGAATTCATTATCTTACATATTATTTTAGAGTTTAAAAACAATTAAAATTTGCAATGATAAAGGAAAAAACAAAAGAGCAAATAATTTCAGTTAGAAGCAGTCCAAATGCGATAATTTACCAACTTATTAAGAACATGAAGTAAATATTTTTTACAAATTTGTTTCCACTTGTAATATTTTTTTCTTCTGCAGTTACATCGTTCTCCTATGCACATACTCTTATTTGTTTGATTTTATTTAAGGTATGAATTGCTGATTTGAGTATTCACCATGTATTTTAGTACAACAATATAATACATAAAAATACACTTACAAAACTATTTGCAGTGATTGTCGTAACAGCGGTGATCGTGATTGCATATTAAGATGACAATGATCCATGAGATTCTCGTCTTTGAAGTCACAATATTATAATAATATAGCAGTGACAATAACTAGAGTTGATCTAATTATTTCTGAAAAAGTACGTAACAAATACGTAAGCAATATAAATTACAACTGGTGAGAAACAAAAGGGGCGGATAGGATTTTTTTTGACAAAATATACATGATATATGATGTGATATGGGCCACAATAGTTAAATTTCTTCCGGACTGGTCTTAATCTGTCTATTCTTTCTTAATAACAATATTATGTTGTTGCTGCAGTTGTAGTTAATGAAGGCACGAGTAAAGAGAAAAAAGCATGTGTGAACTTGTCATTTTAAAAAAATGACAAAAAAAAATTGTATATTAGCAGGGGCGGTAAGTTATGATAACATACAATGGCGACGACGACCTATATTCGGTTTCTATAATGAGTAACACGGTCTGAAAATTATTATCATACTCATTTATCGGCGCTGGTCTCGTACAAGCCCTATAGATACTAGCCACTATAAACACTAATATGTTAAACAACAACCATAAACTGATTAATGTAAAAAATAAGGTATCGTATTGTTTAAGAACGTTTAAAATCGTATCATTGGTTGTTGTGTCATCTAATGCTTCATAAATCACCAATTCAGTGAATGACTCACGTGCAGCTCGATGACAAATACCTTTTGTGGGTGGTATTAATAATTCTTGCAGGCTCACGATTTTTGAGTAGTTCTGACCTGTGCTCCACATTATCTACGCTGTTGATGGCTTTTTCTTAGTGTATGAAAACTCAATTATTCGCGTTGAATACGGGTTTTACGACGATGACAATGATGTATGCGACCCACAGAAAAAAACTAACGTTCAGAAAAATATTGGTCTGTTCCACAATGACAAATACATATTAAAGCACTTTAACAGGAGTATGTATAAAATAATAAAAAAACATATTATGAAAAATATTACTATAAATACATATACTGGGATTAGATTATCGTGATCCATTTTAAATATTTGAATATTAAAGGTAAGAAAGTATGTTGAAAAAAAATTGTGTTTTATGGTTTATAGTTCAATAAATAACAAGGCTACGAAAAATGGTATGAAGGTATTAAACTAAGTAATATTGTGAACAACGTGAATAAAATTAGTTAACACCAACTGAAAATAAACGTTGCGGAAGTATTGAAGGTAAAGGTTGATGTTAATTTATTGTTGTAACTGAAAAAAAAGTGTGATGGAAAATAAAAAAGGTTATTCGCGTAGTAGCTACAGTAAATGACTGCCGAAAGTTAGCTGTAAGGGCCCGCCCGGGCTTCCAAATCCCATACTTTGCTTAATGATTTTATAGGAAACCACTCCCATTGACCTCGTTTTCACTCTGCACATGCGTCACAGAAAATTCGATCAATATAGCATAGTAAATATATAAGTATATAATAGATAATATGGTATTGAGAGTAAAAGTTATCCCGGGCCATTTCGCTCTATCGATTACCGAGAACAACACCCACTGCAAAAATTCACTACTACTCAGGAAAACAACCACAGCCTCACAATTCCTACCGAAAATGGATAGCCAAGTGACCCGATAATAAGTACTACCAACTTAAATTATTATACGTCTAATCGAAACAGGATGAGTTGTCGTCACCATCGTAACTAATTTTATTTCCACCATAATATTTTAAACCATTGTTAAAATTTCCGTCTGTCACCCAAGTATTCTGATAAATACTATACTTTATTGAACACTTCTGTACCTACAATAAGCAGTGTTAAGGCTAGTTGTACAGTACAGTGATCAGTAAATTAATGAAGAAATTTGAATCATTTGATGTATTGTATTGTATTGTATCTTTTCTGAAAATACACTTTCTCTAGAAGATTCAATAAAAGGGTAATTTTTTGGATTTTCCTAAGAGTTTTCAAAATAATTAGAAAAAACCCGAAAGAAAATTATAGGTAAACAGGCAAATATTCAGGGCACGCCGCGGCATTACCGTTTTTAATATTTGTTCACGATGTTTCTACTAGAAATATTGCTCCAATCGAAAAATAACAAGATATCGATTTTCTTCCTTTTTATATACATATAGCCACTGTTAAAGAAAGCAGTTTTTGATTTTCTTTATAGTTTTATTAAGAATTAGGAAAAACCGGAAAAAATATAAATGAAAACTGACAAATTTACGGCGTTACGATTTCATTATTATACATTTTTTATGATATAGGTTTTCTACTAGAAATATTGCTCCAATAGAAAAACTACAATGATCAATTTGTTCAAATTTTAATTTATTTGGTGACCAAGAACGTCGTTATTTTTATTTGTTTTGTAGTTTTATAAATAAATAATTGTGTCAAACCGAAAAATACGTAGAAAGTACGGGAATATTTACAAAAATAATTCAAATAATCAAACTTAGTGCCTAGTGGTAAGAAAAAAAATTGAATGATTTGAAGAAGCTTATATTTTTATAAAGATGTTTTCTTTTCTGTGGACAACTTTTCTAGCAGAAATCTTGCTCCGATTGGTGTAGCTTTTTTTCTAAAAGGCAATCAGACTGAGGAAATAATTTAAGGAGGTCAATTTTGGTTTTCTCAACAAATATGAAAAGCCGAAAAAAAAAAACAGAGGAAAAACGGGAAAATGTACGAAATATATGTAAAATATTACGGTTATTTTTTCTGTGGACAACTTTTTTACCAGTAATTTTGCTCCGATTTACAATGATAGCACTTTTTCTAAAAGAAAATCTGACTGGGAAGGTACTTTAAGGCGATTATTTTTCAATTTTGAAGAGTTTTCCCAGCGACAGTGACGTATTTAGGAGGAGGCGATCACCCCGGGCGGCGTTAGATTTTTACAAAACCAATCTTCTATTAATGAAAATGAAAAATAATATAAATCGATAATATTCTAAGATTGTAACACCTGGCAAAGCCATAGAGTATAGACAAGATTTATAGATAATAGAACTATATATTATCTTTAGCTGTGTCTGAGCAACATGAAAATAATTTAGAAATCAGTTATATTCACAGTATTACGGCGACACTGTTTAAACAGTTATCACTTATTAAATATAGAAAACAATGAATTGTGAATTTTCTATACTACTGTACCACATTCATATGTCTACATTTCCACATTCTTATTGTTTTTTGGGCACCATTCAATGGATCTAGATTTAACATTTTCAAATGAATGTATACACTTTCGTAGCCATTTACATACCTTACCTAAGGAACAGTTACCTAAATTTTAGATATGTGTGTAACATTTAAAAATAAAGGATTTGAAGACATATACCCATACATAAATATTGCTCTAAGAATGTATCTATGTTGTCCTGTGTCAAACTACTTTTCAGAGCGATTGTTTAATGCACTAAAACGAATTAAAAGTTATTTGCTGTCGAAAATGACTGATGAACGACTAAACAATATCGCCATATTTAACATCGAATCAGACATTACAAAAAGTTAAGAGTATGATGACATAATCGATGAGTTTAATTCCTTTAAAGCTTATGAATAAAAAAAAAAAAAAAAAATGTAAATCGCAAATATTTATTGTTTTGTAATTATAGTGGATAATAATTAAAAAAATTTAAATTATTTAGATAATTTAATTTATTATTAGTTTAAAATCTGCTTTCTTTTTTTACTAACTTTGTTCTAAAAAGGATAAATATGAAGAGTAGTCACCGGAAAGTAAGCGCCAACGTGCTCGGTTGGTGAAAACACATTAGAACCCGGGCGCCAAATTTATGAATACGTCTCTGCCCAGCGAATGTAAAAAACATGGGAATACCGAGAAAATGTAGGAAAAATCGGTACAACATTAAACAAATATTATTAAAGAAAATATAGAAACCCTATTTAATACTATAATATGAAATATGTAAATATTGTAAACAAGGCATCACTATCAACTGAACTCCGTTCAGAATCGTCTTGTCGTTAACATTGGTTTATCGTTGCTAACAGGTATAAATTAAATTACCTATAACAGTAGCTACACCCATCCCCATTATTCTAGGATGTCTTTTTATTTTTGCTATTTATAGGCATTTGGCATTGTCGAGCTTATATTGGGTTTAATGGTTATAAAACTGTTTGGGCGGTCAGGAATTGAGCTACATTTTATTACCCAGGGCTACAAATAAAAAGTTTTTTTTTTAAAAAAACCGGAGATTAGGCCACAAATGTATAACACAGTAATATATAATTTTAAATATACTCAAATATATAACTAATACAAATGAGTTAAATAATTATTAATTTTTTTTTAAATAATGTGATACAGATTGCTTTGCATAGTATTCAAAAGTGCCGTCAACATAAATAGATTATAACGAACATAGAAATTTAAATTTTTAACTGTGAGAAAAAGATAATAATATAGTTGAAAATAATTTAAAATAGTGGTGTTAAATAGGGGTTTTCCTTTTGCCAAATCTAAAATATAGTAGCTCACCAAGTCTACCTGCTATAAATGTAAAATTTTTCCAACTGGTTAATTAAACTGAAATGGTTGAAAATTTAAGATAAAATTCATTATAAGTTTAACTGGGTAAAAAAAAAGAATATCATAATATAGTACTTTGTTTTAAGAGTGTTTTAAAATCAATTTTTTACGAAAACTGTAATAACTACGGCATTTTAAAATATATTTAATATTTGTTTAATCAGCCAGATACAGTTATCAATTAAAGAGCTATATGTACCCAACCTTTCCAACCACCAACCTACAAGACTACGAGAGTGGTACACGATCAGCAGTAGGGTTGCGCAATTATTTTAATCGAATTTAAATCTTTTTAGATAGATTAATCGGTTTTTCGACGCTTCAGTTATCAAAATATTAATTAATATCCTGATTTTTGTTTGTTATTAATTTGGTATCAAACATGGTTGAAAAATACCGAGTTGTTGGTTATTGAACAAACTCTGGTGTTATAAAAATTAATTAATTTTATTTACAACCAGTTGAATGAGATAATTCTTTTGTAAAATTAAAAATTTGGAAAGTTAAAATAAGTAATAGATATGTTAATACTAAAAGTGGATTAGACGCACTTATGAGATATTCGAAGACGGATTACAGATTTTCCAAACATACATTTTTTAATTCAAATTTTTTGTACATTGTCAGTATCAACAGCTACCCAACAAGACTTTTTTTAATCTCAAAAAGGTTGAAAACTTAGATCAACTATGAATGAAGTAATGTATTTTGGAAATATTTATTATAAAAATTATAACCTAACTATATTTTAAATTTGTTTTGTATTTAGGATAGGCTAAATGGACTGACATTGATGTCAATTCATCAGGATATACCCCTCAATGTGGATGCTATTATTGACGAAATAATATTTAGTTCTAGGCGAATTTGATTTTGTTTTGTATTCATAGAATAAAATGTTATGTAATTTGTTTTTGGATATTTTTGTAGATAGGTAATTTTTAATATTATCTTATCCTAAATGTTCCAGTTTTCCATTAAGCGTGATCGCTAAGCTGCAATGGTATTACAAACATTTTACATCGACTTATAAAATAAAGAGTAATTGGGGGGTGTGGGAGCGAATCCCCCCACGGCTTTAAATTCTGAAAATTTTCTGGACCCTCCCATGACAAATTCATAAATACGTTGGATGATAACCATAATATATACAATTTTAAATATTTCTAATGTAATCTTATCACTCCGAGAGAATTGGGGTGTCACCGTTATTATATTATATTATACATATTCGGTAATAACTATAAAATAATAAGGAATAGGGAAACTTAAAAAACAGAAACAGACTTAAAACTAAGACGATTACATACAATAAAGCCATTGTTGTAGGTGGGAAGTTGGTGAGATAGGATACAGAAGAGAATTTAATGTATATCTGTAAACAACGATAAACTATTGATAACGAAAAGGCGATTCAGAGTGAGTTCAGTTGACAATGATGCTTTGTCAAAAATATATACAGGCTGTACGAAGATATATACCTTAAATATCTCCGGAGATAATAAAGATAACTAGATTCTGATTTTTTTTTTATTACTCATAGGAATGAAGACTACAAATATTTAGATGTGAATTAGTTTTTTTTTTATTAAAAAAAACTATTTTATTATTTTCGGAACATTTTTAAGAGATCCATTTGTTGAATTTATTTTTTTGAAAATTTTAGTAAAAATAAAAGAAGAAATTACACTAGGTCTACTACATTATAAGTGTTAGAGAGGATCTAGAAAATATTATATAATAATTCTTATATATGTAAGTACCAAAAAACAATTTAAATTTAATATCCGAGAAAAAATGAATTAATGAATATAAGAACTGTTTTAGTGATAGTATATCTAGAAGCATAGTTTTAATATCTTTTTGCAATTGAATCACCATTAAATGACTTCATATTTTAACAAAGTTGTCTAACATAAATGATATTACAAAAATCAAGTTAATACAAGAGTACAATAAAATACTAACAAAGGACAAAAAAAAAGTTATTATTATTTATAACAAAAATTATTTTTATTACAACATTTATTACAAAATAAATTGATGGTAAAACTGAGATATTAATTAAAAATATTAATATTAAGTAATAAGATTTTCATAGTATCAATGTACCATACCCACTTTTTGTATTTTTAATTTTATTTGTTAATAACAGTTAACATATAATTATTATTATTTAGTTTAAATATTATTCTGTAACAATATTTAAAAACATATTATATAATCTGGTATAATTATTTAATTTTGGTTATTTTTGTTATTAGATTTATTATTAAGATATAGTAAATCGCATAACACATATTTATGCCAAGTAAAATATATTTTGATTTAATTCAAAAACCTTTGAAAATATCCTGTTAGGAAATTAGAAACCCTTTTGAGCAATAACAAATAAAAAAATAAATCAACCCAACAGTATTTCAAAACAAAAATATTTGGGCTGAAAATATAATACAAACCTCACCAAATAATTTTGTTAATTATTGTAGTATGAAATATCAAAATAATATATCTAACAAATTCACTAAAATTCTTAACAATAATACAAATAATATAAAAATAGCTTTTAAGACTAATTATAATTTAATTAAACATATAAACAATAGAACTAAAAACTTCACAAAAAATCCCCCTTATTTTGAAAATGCTGGTATATAAAAATTTAAATGTAATTGCAATACATTTTATATAGGTATGACACATAGAAATTTTAAAATAAAATAAAATAAAGAAATAAATTAAAATAAGAATACATTTCTGAAATAAAATTTAAAAAAATTGCCCCGATTTAAATTTTGCTAAACATGTTTTAGAAAATAACCATAATATAAGTTTTAATATTAATACAGACTTAGAAATATTAAAAACCCAAAATAACATTTACATTAATTCAGTTTTAGAAGAATTACACAATAAAAAAAATGAAAAATAACTTTAATAATATTTTAAATGTCTAAATCTATTTTAAAAATAATATATCAATACTTTTTAGATAATAAATAATCAAATAATTTATATTTCTTAACATATCTATGTCTAATAATACCTAATTTTAAATAATTTCTCCTATTAAAATAAATTATTTCTATAATTTATGTTAAATGACCAAGTTGTATAATTATTTTTTTTTGTTTTCTTTCATTTAATTTTTTATACTCAGACACATTTTACATTTTGACTGTGATATACCTAATGATGAATTTTTAATTTGAAACTGGTCGAATAATAATAATAATATCTTATCATATTACTTATAACACTTATCATAATACTCTTGGTGATACATTGATTCATTTATTTATTTTATTTTTACTTTAATATTTTATTAAATAATATATATTTTTATTATAGAAAATATTCGAAATGTTGTCGGTTTATTATTTTTTGTTTTTTCAAAATTGTGTTGGAATAATAACTTGAAATTTGCATGTTCTTTCAAATTTTTCAATTTTTGTTCAAATTTCAAAGTTTTCTGCTTCAATATTTTCTGATAATTGGCTGTTTTATAGCCCCCTCTTTTGAGACCCATCAAATGGGGTGAATAATGAATTATCATCAAAAAATTTAGCCAAAATTATCTTATGGTAACAAAAATATGAAAAGATGAGAAATAAAAACTTCAAAAATAAAGGCTACCTATATATAGTTGTTTACAACAATATGTAACCCTGTTTAGGATTATAATTATTCAATATGAAAGATTATTTTGTCAACTTAATGTAAGTAATACTATAAGACCATTAATCAACTTTATATGAATAAACTGTACATGCAGTAATGTTGATTTTGAAATATTTTGTTTTAATATAAGTTTCTTTTAATATTCAAAATTTGTATTTTCATTATATTAGTGTAAAATTAAATTTTAACGATCATTTAAATAATTAGTTTAAATTTACATCTACGTTTAAATTGTATACCCAGCATTTATTCTTTTAATTTTAAACAAGCCAGGCTCAATTACATGATATTTGAAAAATAGGTAACAGTATACATAATAAATAATCCACATTTTGCTCACTGGTGTAGTAAGTGATATACAAATAATAAACAAAATATATGTACAAATAGTTTTAGGAAGGTAGGATATAGAGAGGAATTTAATTTATATTTGTACACCAAAACCATTACAATGAACCATTATTATGAAAACCCCTTAGGAAATTAAAAAATGATCTCCTTAAAGTATAACTCAAATAAAATTTCCTTTTAGAAAAAGTACTACACTTCAAATTCGGAGCAAGATTTCTGGTAGAAAAGTTGTTTATAAATAATATTAAAAAAATAAATAAACATCATTGTAAAACCAATATGTTTCTTACAACACTTCGAAACTAAAACCAGGATAGTCATAATATTTCCCAAAAGTTAACAAAAGATACAGAAATCTAGACTTATTAGACCACGCTGTTCATGTTTAGAATATTAAAATTAAATTAATATTATTATACATATAATAATTAGTAATTATTTAAGAATATAGAAGAGGTATGTTAATTATATGTTTAATTTTGATATCAATCTTTGTATAATATACAAGGTGATCAGAATTTTATGTTATAGCAATTTTATTTTAGTTTTAATTATAAACATCTAAAATAATTTGTATTTTTTTTTACTAACTGTTTTTTTGGTGAGGGGGGGGGGGTTAAGGGTAAATTTTTAAAAATTCAAATGGGAACATATATTCAAAATTGCATAAATAGATAGTATTAGTTTAAATAAATTTTGGCGTTAAAATTTGTTATTTTTATTAACTGGTTGATGAGAAATTCTACTTTTTAGGTAAGGTAACAAAGAGTAGTGGAGCAAATGTTCCTACAACGCTCAATCTTAAATTTTAAAAATGTATATATATATATATACACACACTATTTTAGATGTTTATAAATCAAAAACCTTTGGTACTATACATTTTTCTCTATTTTGTATATTTATAGAAGAAAATTAGTGTAACATAAAATTATGATCACCCTCATATATCTTTCATTCTTGTAAACAATTTTTAAGGATTTTAATGACAAAATACTGTATAGGTGGAATAGTTTAAAATTGTATTATTTTTGAAAGCTGGTGCTTTTTAACTAGGGAAGATAAGTTAATTATATCTTTAGGCATAATTTTAGTTTAGTAACCTATTGATTTTTTTTTTTATGTGTATTATGCTTAATTAAGAGCTCAATCCATTAGTAAAACCAAAACTTACTTATAATGAACACTTATTAAGTTTTTGTACATAAACCTAATTCAAACATTAGCTCATAGAGGTGATTTGAACGCCTAGTCTTATATAGTGTAGGTTTACACTTATGGGAAATTAATTTTTACACCAGTTTCAATTTGGACTTGCAGATCATTAAGGTTATATATACTGATTAATTAAAGAATATCACACAGTTGTACTTGAGCTGGTAAGCAGAGATAGCAAGTGAAGCTAATGGTAATCATATCTGCAATTTATCAACTATTCCTTAAACCAAATGTTTGTTTAATTTTTAAAATACTATTTTCCAAGATTTCTGTACAAAACCTTTAAATGTAAATATGAAAAGTGAATTTTAATTTTATCAATGGTTTAAGCATTGCAAAAAATGTATTAAAAATATTTAATTCTAAGCATTTTTTTTTTGAAAGAAGGGCATTAGGGAAAAATGGTACTTTTTGAAGTTATTTCTACATAAATTCCACGTGGAGTTTATCCGATTTTTTTAAAATTCTTATTATACACTCAAAAGCAAATATTAAAAATTGTTAAGTTACTAAACTAGAATCGTGCCAATTACTTATTATAATCTACACAGAATATGCCAAAACTTCTTGCCAATACTCGATAATAACCGAGAAGTTAGTTAATGTTCAGAAAATGATTACTTTTTTAAGTTTTTTTTTCATTTATAATATTGTGAGTTTTAACAGTTTTAACACAACTAGTTCAATTATTTTATATTTCTTTGTTATGGATAAATTACTATTAATGTGTGATAATTTAATTCTTAAAATATCATTAATCTTGACTCTTGTATATACAAAAACTGGCTAAACTATTAATGGATTTTAGCTCATTATATTTACATCTTTATTCATTAGTGAAAACAAGAAACTATAAATATGCAGCAGGTTAGAATAGGAAACTCCCTTAAAATGTCTCTTGCGAATTGTTAAAAAAAATTGTTTTACGCTAGCACCATTATCACAAACAGTAAAATTTGTCATTACTGAGTTTTGGTAAAAAGCTGACAATATTATAGGTACTAGTAAAATTCTCACCTCTTTTCTTTGATAAACAAATTTGAAATTTCTGAGACATGTAGCTTCAATAGAGATTACGTTCAATGTAATAAAACAATAATCTAATTTGATTAGATAATTCAACAAAAATAGTCCAACTTAATCTGTGATGACGATGATTCAAACATGTTGTAAACTGAAATCATTACAAATATATTAATTATAATGGGTTAGGTTAACAAAATTAACAGATGAGAAATTAGTAAGTAAATATTATAAATGCATTGCTTGGAGTATTATGATAAATGTAAAGACCAATTTCGAATTAAAAATTCATCGTCAGGTGTAACAGTTAAAATGTAAAATGTGACTGAATATAAAAATTAAATAAAGAATACCAAATATGGAAATAATTTATTTTAATAAGAAAGAATATTTAAAATTAGTTATTAATAGACATAGACATGTTAAGAAATATAAATTATTTGGTTATTATGTATTATCTAATTTGTCTTACCTATATAAAATGTATTACAGTTACATTTAAATTTATATATACTAGCATTTTCAAAAGGAAGATTTTTTGTGAAGTTTTCGGTTCTATTATTTATATGTCTGATTAAATTATTATTAATCTTAAAAGCGATTTTTACATTATTTGTATTATTGTTCAGAATTTTAGCGAATTCTTTAGACATATTATTTTGCTATTTCATATTACAATAGTTAACAATATTATTTGTGAGTTGTATATTTTTTTTTTTTTGATACCTTTATGATTTTATTAATAGTATTTAAATTGAAATTATTTAGTGATTACATCGTATATACAAACGGTCTTCAACCTTTTTGGACTCACGACCCATTTTTTTAGGCGTACATTATTCGCGATCCACATAAGGCATACATAAAGAAAAACGTTTTTAGAAAAACAAAAAAAAAAAATCTAAAATTCCTTAATACTTTGTAATAGTACTGTTATAACTGAAGAAATAAAAATAAAAAAAACTTTTTAACGGACGTGTAAATATGAATAGAATAATAACGCGACTAACATTTATTCGTCTTTAAACACAGCGACAACATCAACAATGTTTGTAGATAGTAGGACTCTTTAACGATAATAATATAATATATTTATTTTATTACTAGCCCGGTTCACTTTTAAATTATTATATTTAATTTCATACTATGTAGAATCATACCAGTATATGAAACATATACTGTGATTTGAAATCCAAAATACTATTATATTTTTGAATATAAATTATATAATATTGTTTATACATAATATATTATAATTATTTTCAAATTGTATTTTCATTTATTAATTTTCAAAGTTTAATAATTAAACAATTATTTGTATACCTTATATAATTGTATAAACTTAATTTTTATTTTAAAAAGAAAATTCACCATGACCAAATTTTAAGCTTAGGTGATCCAAAAATGGGTCGCGACCCATCGGTTGAAGACCACTGCTATAGATAATATATAGCTTGGATTGATAATTATGTTTATTTAATGGAATACGTTCAAGTCTATAGAATATTGAATTAAAAAATTGTATATTTATTTATTTTCTTCTTATGACCGAGAGGGAATTTCTTATCAGGCAACCAAGCGACCGATTTAATACAATAACTATATTTTATTTGAATCAAGAAGATGCCCCATAGTGTTGTAACAGTATTTTATTATTATATGTAATGAAGAAATAGATAAATAAATATATTTCAAACTTAGGCCCAGGTTTTCAATAACATTTATTTGATATGCAAGAAAGTATTCCTATGAATAAATGACCGAATAGTTAAAACTAATAAATCTATATTAAAACTGTATATACTAGTGGATGCTCCTACAATTTATTATACATGAAAAACTTGGTTTTAGAAATTAAAAATAGGTACATATAATTTGCAAATGGTTTAATTTAATGTGTTAAAATACGGCGACAAAAATCAATGAAGACATTATATTACTTTGCAAACATTATTTGACGGTATCATCTAGGTACTTACCATAATGTCAACACAAGCAGACCTTAGCCAAACAAATTTATGATTTAAGACAAAAAGACGGTATCCAGTACTTGGATATTCCATCAGCGTTGTTTTTTTCGTAACTAACTGAGATCGTTCATAACGTTTACCTGCACTCAAATGATATACCTATTTTCATACGGCTATTGTTTGCCAAGTAGGTATACAATTAACCGGCGGTAATAGTGGATAAAAATGCTCGAGACCAGTAATCGTAACAGCAAACAAATGCGTGAGAAATGAACGTAAGACAAGATACTTATACGCGATTATTTACGTTAATTTACATTATAATATTATTGCGAACGTACGTGGGTAGGTACATAATAATTGTGTACGCAATAATAGCAATAAAGACGGATCGTAACTAATGGACACTTACGAGTTACGACGATTTTCAGACAACCGAATCGCCGATCAACACTTTATGCAGTTCATCACTGTACAGTTTCCATCATAAAAATATGTATTCATAGAAAATAAAACACAACACAACGCCGTCTGATAATATACATGCTCGCCTATAAATTAATGTAGTTTGTACTACCGTGTATTTATATTTTATCTACGAACTGTTCCCCCCTCCCAACCGTCTCCCGCCCACACCGGCAGGACAGTGCGATGGTACCGGCGATTACCGCCTCCACCGCCACTCCACCGGGTGATGGGACGCAAGTAATGGTCGGTTCCCTTTGTTGACTTCCCGATGGAGCGTGGCGGGAATGGCGGTGTACGGGAATAAATCAAGAGAACACTAAATATTATTGTAGTTTGTAAGCAGTGCTCGAATTTACATTGCTCCGCAGTAGTGCCGTACAAACGTTTGAATACGGCCGTAACATTGTGCTTCGGCCGGATAACCGGAAACCGAGCGTTATTTTTATCACCGATAAACCGAGTGTTTATCTCGCGGCACACATCAACAATTTTTGTTTACAACATCGGCCGCCGACTGTAATACGGATCGTTGACGCCTTGTCACCGGCCCGTGCCCCTCTCCCCGTTATCGCACAGTTGTTGCCTAAGTTGTTGAGGCCGGTCGTGTGTAATGTTCGTTGTTGTCACGTTGTTAATGTTAACGTCGCGGGTTGTTATGAAAACGCGTTATCTTCCGGACGACCGCGCGGCAACTTACTACAGACCATTGAACTACAAGATAAGATGAGTTATCTTATAGTAGTTCAATGCTACAGACTCGTTCGGGGGCCGCCGTGACTGGCCGCCGCTAATGCGTTATCACAGACGTAGCCACGGACCGCAGACGTAATAATATTATTACTGTTATGATAATATTTTGTCTACGCCGCGGACAGATAAAAAAAAACAATAGCGTTTTCAATATAGATAATCGTATCCCGCAAGGCCGTAACGTGCGGATAACGGCATATCGCCGCGTCTCGTTTCGTACTGTCGTTATGCAAATACCCAATAAAGGAATACTATTGTTATTGGTAATAAATTAATGATAATAACAATTTTGTCAATAGACTGTGTTTGCTCGCACACGTACACTTTCGGCCGACCAATTGGATCGAAATTCGTGGTTCGTCCGCGTTCCCGCGCCTACGCCTCCTCGTCGTCGATTTAACACAATGCAAATGTGCACACCACAAACACGGGTCCCCCATTTATTGCGTCACAGACGGTAATCGCCGCGATAACCGCAATTGTGGCCGTCGACGCCTCCGTTTGGCGATCTCTGCGTGTGTCCGTCGCGTAGTTTTGCGTGCCACCGCCGCCGCCGCTGGTAGTTTTAAACGTGTACAATATACGCCTACTGAACACTGCGATAAAATACAATATTTCGTCGGAACTGAGTGAGTAAATTCTGCGAAAGAATTGTTTTGATTGTTTCGATTTTGGCCAACCTACCCGTGTTTTTTTTTTTTTCTACTTGCAATTCGACGGTAAAATACCTAGGTAGTAAGGTGTTTTTTTGAAATCGCGATTTGTTTTCCTAGCGTAACATTTTACTAAATGACGGTTTTAATTATTGTAACTTTGTATGTGCCTATATCAGACTTCCAGTCGTCTTCCTCATTATGTGCCTTATAATATCAATATATTATTATTACTCATTACTTACGCTACCTATAATATAATATCCATAAATATTAATCAATTTTGTTTTTTCCGTGAATGGGTAACTAAGCGGTAGAAACCTATCCTATCTAGTAGTGTTTAATACAACATAACTTTACTACGTACACACTAATAAACAACCATTGTTCTTTCAGCATTAATTGTACATTCAAATCAATGTGCTGCCTCGAGTGTACAATCTAGTTGATCAAGAAAGACCAGAAACATTTGGGCTTTGAGCTTATTACATTTTAATTATTGTTGTTTCAACTACATACCATACTACTGTTAAAATGAAGGTAAGTAATTTGTGCTGTACACACTATTATTATATATATTAGTATAAAATAATTTTAAACATAATTACATACAACTAATCACTGGAATTAAATGCACTTAAAACCCACAAAAAACTCTTCAAAAATGCCCCTCTAACATCTCTAATTTATTAAATAAATTAGAGCTTTTAGAGTGGGATTTTTGTAACCCCTCTACCATTTTTACTTGTTAATTATTTTTTAAAGCTGTAATAAACGCCTCAAGAACCACACTAAGTGTAAAAAGAAAAATACCTAGTCAGGAATGGATTACCCCAAATATCTTAGACCTAATTGAGGAAAGACGAAAATACAAACACCAGACTGACATAGAAGGACAACTAAAATACCGAAGCATAAGAAACTGTATAAACAGAGAATCAAAAAAAGCAAAAGAAGAATGGCTAGAGCAACAATGTGCTGAAATAAACCATCTTTTTGGAACAAGTAGACTAGATCAAGCCTATGGAACCATTAAAAGTTTCCTCAAAACAAATAAAACTCGCAATAATAATATTAAAGACAAGAATGGGAAATTGCTCTTGGAAACAAGAGAGGTGGTAAACCGATGGAGAGAGTACCTGGAAAAACTATATCAAGGGGATGAGTTACAAGATATCAATGAAGAAACTGATGAGTGCTCTTATGGTGCACCGCTACTAAGAAGTGAATTCAATGCCAGTCTTAGAGATCTGAAAAATAAAAAAGCCCCGGGTATAGATGAAATCTCCGGAGAACTACTACAAAACGCTAATGAAAGCATAATAGACGTGATGTACTATCTTATGAAAGATATATATGAAACAGGAGTAATACCGAAGGACTTTTGCAACAGCAGAATTGTAACATTACCAAAAAAGAATAAAGCTGACTCATGTACAGATTTTAGAACTCTGAGCTTACTCCCCCACGCCTCAAAGATACTCATAAAAATTATATATCGAAGATTTAATAAAGCCAACCAATATCTTGGAAATGATCTGTATGGATTCTGAAAACAAAAGGGAACTAGAGAGGCAATTTTAGGACTTCGGATCTTAATAGAAAAACCAATATCTCGAAATAAAATAACATGCTTATCATTTATAGATATCGAAAAAGCTTTTGACAACNTAGTGCGGAAATACGTAGAGGTGTAAGACAAGGGTGTCCACTTTCACCATTATTATTCAACTGCTACATAGAAAAAAGTATTATGGAAGTTAAAGATAAACTTAACAGGCTTTGGATTGGAATCAAAGTGGGTGGTATATTAATTCCAATGATCCGGTTTGCAGACGACATCGTAATACTAGCAGAAACAGAGCACGACCTTCAGAGAACTCTGGAAGAAATGCAAATAATTATAAATAAGTATCAAATGCGTATAAATTCAAGTAAAACAAAAATTTTAATTTGTGCTCATGAACCCACAATTAACGCAAATATTTATGTAGAAAACCAACTTATTTCCCAAGTTTCTAGTTTTAAATACTTGGGAAGTCTAATAACATCAGATGGAAGAAGTTCACAGGAAATTAAACAAAGAATCGGGCAAGCAAAAACAACTTTTATCAAGAAAAAGAAAATTTTGGTTACGAAAAAAATTAGCAAAGCAATAAAAAAGACTTTTTTAAAAACGTTTGTATGGAGTGTCGCTTTATACGGCTGCGAGACATGGGTTATTAATGAAAAGGAAAAAAGATCCCTGGAAGCATTTGAAATGTGGTGTTGGAGATGAATAGAAAAAATAAACTGGACAGAAAGAGTAACAAATGAAGATGTATTGACCCAAGTTGGAGAAACAAGATCCTTAATTAAAGCCATAAAGCGATGACGATGGGACATGATGGGACACGTTTTACGTCATGACGAAGAATTGCATCATACTATAATAGAAGGTGCAATTGAAGGACGGAAACCACTAGGAAGACCAAGAAACTCGTACATATCTCAACTGAAAAATGACGTAGGGTTTGATACACACGCCAGATTAAAAAGACTTGCTGAAGATCGTGATAAGTGGAAAATATTAGCGAAGTTAAAAACGTTGTAAACCAACCTAATATAGGTTGAAAAAAAATATATATTTTTTAAAGCTTTCTTAGGATTTTTTTACATTGTGCATTTAAATACGGTCTCCACTTGTAAAATTATAGTAAGTACTCATACATGCACAATTTTTAAGTTTGTTTTTATGATTTTGAATATTTTTTGATTATTCAATTCTAAATTAATTACCGAGGTGATCGAACTCTGGCTTTTAGATGATGGGAAAAATACCAAAATGTTGAATAACATTTGTTCTAGTACCCATCCAAACAAATTTAACCAATTTTAAATTTTTAAATTTTTCACCTATTTTTCGATAACACTATGGATTTTAGATATTGTAAAAATTTTTTGCTTATTACTATTGTATTCGGCCCACGAGATTTAAAAATAATAATAGGCCTGCCTGATTTAACCTATTTAGTAAGTAAAATATATAAGAATAGTTGCTAAAAGAGTACCAAATAGTGTCTACAAATAGAAATTCTAATAAATGAACTATGTTTTAGGTAAATTTTTTAATACAAAATTTCTTTAGCATTTTTCAATACTAAACTAAAAACATTGAAGCTATTTTAATTTGATTCATTCTGTATATTTTGAAATCACTATAACATTATTAACCTAACAAAAATCAAAATAACAACTATCTTATCAAATCATTTCTTCCCCCTCCACCCGATTTCTAAATTTGTCTGTTTCCGAGTTGTTTCCTCAACTGTCATGCTTATAAGTTAGGTAAGTTAACTTTTATGTATGTATTTATTATTTACAACTCATATGCTAAAAATACAGTAGAAATCTATTTATTTATGAAATTAATAAAAGTATTAAATTAATATTGTATATTTTATAATCATACACATAGTTATTATTGAAGTATATTGTAATAGTTACCTATCTATAACACTCTAGGCTAAGTTTCATTATTTTTTATTCATATCTATTTTATTGTTTAATTTTTTAAGTATTAGTCACTAAAATAATTTCTATTTTTTTCTGATGTATTTATATATATAATGTATAGTTTTTTATATTTTTACCCATATATCTAATATATTTTTGCAGGTGTTGGTTCTTTATGATTTTGTGGGTGAACCTGGCTCATCTGAATTATCAGTCACAGCAGGCGAGACACTAGTGGTAAGCCGTTTAGATGTTGGTGAAGGCTGGTGGGAGGGAACAAATTCAGTGGGGCACACAGGCTTGTTTCCAGCTGCTTATGTTGAGGTACGTTTTCTTCATACTTTTACTATCATACCTTTTTAATTACTAGAAAATGGATTTATATTTAATTGAAATCCACAGAAGATTGCTTGAATCAAAAATGTCCTTAAAAAAAAAAATGGGAGAAGGGTTTAAAATTCCCCTCTAATAGCTTTGACTTATTAAAAATAAAATGACAATATTATATAAAAAAAAAACTTGATGATTAATGTTAGGCGATTTTATTGATTATAGTATAGTTGAAATCCTTTTACCACTTGTTTTTTGAAGTGGATTCTAACTGTATTTAAATCTGTTTCCTAATAATTTTCTTATTTAACATGTTTTCTTTACATATATTTCGATTTTTAACAGGAAATCAGTGGTGAATTTGTTCAAGCAGATGAAGGTAAACCACCACCAGCTGTACCGCCCCCACCTTTACCACGAGCAGATTTATGGAATGCCAATGACCGACAAAGCGAATATTATTCGCAAGTTCCTGGTAGCCAATATCAACAACAAAATCCTCGTCAGCAGGCTAGTACTAAATTAAAACAAAAATTGATAATGTATCTTATATAAACTATAATATGTTAATTGCCATGGAACATGTATAGTTTAGTAAACTCTCATGGTATACTTGCTATTATGTTGGCTGGCATTATTGTGTGTAATTATATACCAGATAATTTTGCTTCGAAAGTGTAATTAAGGATATGTGAAGTTGGGGGAAGGAGAACCATAGAAATGAAATTTAGCACTGTATATGGGTTATTTATGATAGGGGAAGGGCATACAACTATAGTGGTTCAGATGAAATAAAAATAAAAATATTATACATGGTGAGAAATTTTTTATTGCAGAGACAAATCTGGGATAAATAGTTAGTTTTCTTGTAAGCCCAAAAACATAACTATGATTCTATGTTAATCTATGCAACAAAGATAATTTTTATATTCACATTTATAAAAATAATTTGTTCATTGACTATATTCAGTACCGAATTGAGTTTGCTATTATTTTATAAGATTTAGTTAATATTTTAAAACCAATGTGTCTTTGGTATCAAATATCCAAATATGATTGGGGTGCATACATAATTATTGCTTGTATTATCGACTTTTATGTTATAGTATGGCAAAACATCATTGTTATAGTTCAATTAAAATTAATAATACCAACAATATTTGGTTTAAAAACAAAAAAAAAAAAAAATAAGCTTACTAAAGAAAATCAAATATTTTCATTATAATATAAAATTCAAAGTAAACAAATTGTTCAGTTTAATAAAGTAATTCATAAGTAAAGTTTAGATTTTATTTATTCAACTAGGCCAGTCAGTCAATACGAATAATTAGGAAATAGCCAAAAAAAAATCCTCTAATAAGATTTGTTAAATTTGGATATGTACTTCATCATATTTATGTTCCCTTAGATTAGACTGGAATTATTTTTAAATTTTCAAATTTCAGGTAATTTTGGGTGGTTTAGAAATATTTTTAAAAATATTTTGCTTAAATAAAAAAAAATTTTAATTGAAATATGTTTTTTTTAAAAAATTTAAAGTAGTATTATATAGTTATTAATATTGAGTAAATAATTTAAATATAACAATAATTTGAGTTTATAAGAAACCTAACATAAATATGGGTTTCTAAATTTTTGAAAAAATATTATGCCATGGTCTGTGACAGTATGTCGATCACTTACCAGCAGTCTTAATAAAAATGCTAACTAAAATACAATTAACCAAACCTATTATTAAGGTACTTCATACTTATTTGATGGCTATAAATTATAATATATTTTAATATTTATCATAATTATAGCATAAAAAATTTATGATAACATTATCATGTACCATGTGATTTATTTAAGTAGGTACACTCAAAATCTCGGAAAGTATTAATTTTTAGTGGAATCTGTTTTATAGAAAATTTAAGAAACAAGCAAACCTTACAATTTTACATTTTTATTATATCAACATTAATTTTTGGAGATGACATGACTACATACTTTTGATTTTCAAATAGCAACCTTTTATTCAAAATTCCACAAATAAAAGGAATATTAGTTAAAATACATTTTGGGATTGGAATTTTTAATGTCCATTAATCTATTGATTATTAATAATTTTATGATATTCCACTACTCTCCTCCAACCCAAATTTAAAAGTGAAATATCTTTGTAAGGATTAATGGACATTAAAAATGTCAACTCAATAATTTATTTTAACTAATACCCCATCTATTTATGGAATTTTTAATATAGGTTGCAATTTTAGAATATTGTGTAACAAATATGTTTTGTTTTATGCAATATTTTTTAAAATCTTGGCAAGATACATTTTTAAACATAGCAAAATTTGAAGAACTTTAAAATAAATCCAGCCCAAACCATAGAGGCTTTTAGTATTATAAAGAACAAATTCTAACTTAGCTTTTTTTAAAATTATGGAACTCTACAATTATCTTGTTCTTTAAAAGATTTGTTTTATTTACTTTAAATTTAGGTTCTCTTTAATATATTATACTAGTATATTATATTTTTTCTAGGAACAGTGTACTGAAAATCCTGATAGTACTGAAAATACTGAAACATTAGCAACATTGGTAATCTATTATGATATGTATTGCACTGGGACTTTTGAGTGTTTTTTTGTTTTGTTTTAATTTGATTAAATATATAACTAGCTCTAAATTAAAAATTTGATAGTGTTGCTAAGTTTGTGACTGTTAGAAGAAATGAAAGTTAGAAGTTAAGATATTTAAAAAAGTAATTTAATTTATAATTTGAAAAATGATTCCGAACAAAATTCTGTTCAACATGTTTTGAAATGCTATGAATTACAATTTTTGACAACATTTTAATTTAAATGTTACAAAAAAAAAAAAAAATACTATACAATACACAATTTTTATTTTAAGTAGACTATGTATAAATTATGATTAATTTCATGTTGTATTTTTATTGGGAAAAAATAATTGTATTTACAGAAACTAAAAATAATATAAACATTTTTAAAATTGACAAAATATGTTGAACATTATACCACTTAGAATGGGCTAAATAGGTGATAACTTTAAATCTACACCATCCCAGTAGTATATGTGGTGACTACAACTACTTTTTTATAAAAAAAATATCATTACCAATCATAATTATAATCATACCTTAAAATCATTCCCACATCAGTTTTTTACATATGTGTTTAGAACCATCATTTTTAATTTGTAATATGGCTCAAAAAATAATTTTTAACAACATATACTCGGAGTATTTTATTTTAAAAAAAAGCTGAAGATGATTAAATTAAATAAATAATCAGATAACCAATAATTGTATTTATGATCTATGTAATTATTGTTAAAATTGTTTTAGTGATATAATATATACAAGTTCCAAATAATCAATAATATATAGGCAGTTACCATAAAAAAAAATATGATGAATAACTTTTTTATTATAACAAATCAAAAAAGAAAACCGGTTATTCCATAATTTTCAATGAAAATATTTTAAGGATTTTTTGAAAGCTTATTATGGGAACATTTTTTCCTGATGACAACAAAATTCAAGAGTTTTTTGTCTCAGTCTATAGCAGTTTTATTTTATTTTAAGGCTAGTTAAAGAACCTATTACAAACAAGTTATCTTTATGAGTTAGCTACTACAACAATAACACCTGATAAAAAATGGGCCATTACTTTGTTGTAATACTTTATAATTTTTAGGCAAGACTCAATTTGAAATTAATTTTATTTTGTAGTCCTTGCACATATTATCTCCATGCACTCATATAGATAACAATTTCAAATTAAGTCCAAGTATAAAACAAATATATAAAATTATTAAGTTATTAAAAAAGTATATAATATTAATTAGAAGAAAAATGTTTGTTTTTAGGTTTTTATTTTTTTGTTTTTAAGTGTTAAATAAAATTGATCAGAATTTTATTCTCTGAGATAAATAAAAAATGTAAGAAAATTACACATCATATTAAACCTGGTTAGTTGTTAACCAATAACAAGGCCATTAAGTATTGATAAGACAACATATTGATAGGACACTCTTATTTACTATCTTTTGTCAAGTTTTATTACCCCATTATTTTTGCAAAATTATTTAAACCTATTTTGTAGGTAATATTTTCAAATTATAATATATTATGGATTACTTATTATAAATTATTACATGTCATAAATTTTCCTACTACTAGAAAAATCAAAAAATTACCTAAGTTTAGATTAGATTAAAGTACCTTCCCACTTAGATTTCCTTTTTGAAAAAATGCTATCATTGAAAATCAAATTAAAATTCCTCCCTTCACTCAGAATCTAAAAAATTAACATCATTGTAAAAATATGCAAAGAAAGAAATTAAAATAAAAACTAAAGTTCTGATCTTATTAGTATTTTTTTGATTAATCTATATTTATTTTGCAAGCAAAACTATTTGACTTACCTAGATATTATTCTCATTTAAAATTGATAAAACAATTTTGAAATTATAAAAGGCTATATGAGATATACTGAGTAGAGAATTCAAAAAATTCAAGCTATTGTTTAGAACATTTAGTTGGAACACCAGGATGATTGATACAACAGATGAGATAAAGGGGTCCTCACTACAAATACAAACTTTTGGTACAAATATTATTAATAATATAGATAAAAAAATACCCTTTTCATTAGTAGATAGTAGTATAATAGTAGGGATACAAATTTGCTTGGGGATATGTATTATAACTAAGATTTATTAAAATTAAGTAGAAACTTTGAGTAGGTATTGAAAAAAAAAAAATTTAAAAGTCTTATTAAATTTATGCATGTAAAATAAGCTAACAATATGTAATAAAATAATATTATAAACAAACTGTGATAAACTGTTTTAAAAAAAAATACAAATTATATAGTATTATTAATAAAAAAAAAAAAATGAATGTTAGTATTATCACACAATGAACACACAAACTCACAAGAATAATAACAAAAATACGATTTTATTATTTGTCTGTTTATACTAGTTATATGATAAATTTATTAAAAAATCCATTTAATTTGTGAAAACATAAATATGTACTTTTGAGTAGTAATAAATTATAATTTTCGACTTTATAACTAATAAAGTTTTTGTCTATTATATTTACACTAATTATACAATCTATATGATAAAAAAAACAATTTATTTTTAATACAATTATATTGTGCCTACGTTGTCTACATTCTTTTGTATTCAAATGTTTAAAATGTGTTTTGTGTTTATTTAATTTCTCATTAACATTCATATCAAATATGAAATATTTCATACTTGATAATTAATTCTAAATATCTACTATAATATGAATGAGTCATAATGGGAATTTAAGGAAGTAAGTAAGTAAATATAAATAAAACATGTTATAAATTTCCCCTAAAACTTATCACTCTGTGTTCCCTCAATAAGAAATATTTTCTACTGATAATGGTTTTATCCTTATTTATTTATGTATGAGCTTTTGATATCATGTGTGTTTTTAGGCTTAGTTTGCTATTTAAATAATGGTTTCATTGTGCTTATGCTACTATATCGCAAAAAATAATAATAATAATAAAACGCTTTTTTATAGATGCACTAGTGTTTATGGAAGCAATTCAAATATTTAGAGCATATTATGATCATGTTGCTGAATAATACTTTGTTTTTTAGTTAATCAAATTTCTGGTCACATAATACTACCAATTTCTAATTTTCCTGGTTATTAAAATGATACAAAACACTAGAGATATGTGTAAATAATATGAAACATAGATTTTGTAAGCATTGAATATATGACAGTCCTAAGTTGGCAATTTGTCTTAATCGGTGGCATGGTGACCATTTTAATTGGTTGGCCCAATTTTCTTTTATATGATACCCACCACTCTTATTATATATTAACCAGATGATTTTTTTTGCCCTTATGCTTTACAATAATGTCTACAATTTACACTGTCTAGAAGTTACTTACAGTAGATACCCTTTAAAATGACACCAATTGTGACATTTCAGGTGTAATAAGCTTAGATTGTCCTGGAAAACTCCTATATTGTATGGAATAATTTGTATCAATTATTATGATGTTTGTATAATTACTAAAGGGATATCATACCTATTATTTTTGGATATATTGTATAAAACTGGTATCTATATCGATTGTATTACACTTTTATGAAAGGTAATTTAACAGCTAATAACTGTGTTTTGTGTATAATTGGTGCATTGAATTGTAACAAAATGAACAAAGAAATTCACAATTGATGAAAAACAAATGTTATTTTCCGTAATTTTAAAATAGTAAAATAACTTTTTTCTCTACCTATTGAAATCCCAATTTAGTGGCAAAAATATAACACATTGATTGTAATACAATATTATGTTTTTGTAAATACATATACTTTTATTATATACAATCAAGTTTTTAAATTGTATTTTTTCATTTTGGTTAAGTCTTATCAGTACTATGATTATTTTTAACTAGTTCCTTGAATGTCATTATCGATGGTTTCTATTGTATATTATACAAACAATTGTAGTCCAGTACAAATTAAACTTAAGCTCTAAATAAAAAGTTTTAAATATTTTTATAAATATATAAATTCATAAATCAATTTTTATTAATAAATTATTCAGTTTTTATTTGAGTAAACAGGTGTTTTAATTTGAAGAATACCATTTTATTGCCTGTATACAGTTAACAATTGCAATTGTGTAAAAATATTCAATTATTGTACATTATATACTAGTATTAAACTAACATTTCTACATTGAAACAAATAATTAAATAACAATCAACTTTTGCATCCAACTGAAAGTTGGGATCCACTTATCTTACAACTACTACCACCCAAAATATGGTCCTTAAAAACATGACATTGGTCTTAACTTCAATTTATTATCAAACATTTATTATTATTGGTGTTTGATTTTTTTTTTTTTTTTATATATATATATATGAAAGGGCATTAAAATATTTATTTAATGTTTAACATTTTGTAAAATTAAAAGGGATGTTCTAGTCTCTGAAGTATTTTAAATAAGTAATTTTTCTATGCATAAAATCAAATTTACTTTTATACTGTGTAGTTTAATTAATTGTATTATTTAAGTCATTGACAATTAAATTATGATGTAAAATTATCTGATTGAGTTGATCATTATATATTATTAATTTTTTTATTTTTACAGTCACCTGATGATTTATATGATGATGAGTGGGATGATGATTCTGAATGTGGCGGTAGTAGTACAGTGCAATCAACTGCTGCAATGCCTGTGGCAACCCAGTATCCTGTAGTAGGAGCAAAAACAACAACAGTGATGAAAACATCTGGTATCTATAAATGCTGAATTATCTAAATGTCTATTTAATAATGTTAGCTAGATTTCAACTTGCAATTTAACATATTACAAAATTCCTTGATGAATGATTTTGATTGATTGAATTGATCAATTATTATTTATTAACTTTTAATATTTCATTTTCATTGTGGTTTATAAATAGTCATTCAGGACTAGAAAATAGGCCAATGTCATTATTTTCATAAAATATTAATTATGAGTCAGTTGACATCCTGACTAGTTAATAAATGAATATTTGGTTAAAATGTAGTTGAATACTATTTTAATTATATAGATTGGTAGGTAGGTAGATAAATAAGATAAAGTAATATATAATTTCAACTTTATTATTCCATACATGTTTATGTATTAATTAATACCACATAATTAATATAATAATATAAAATATAAAAAAAAAATAACTATTGAAATAAAATAATGTACATATTTTAATAAGATGTATCTTTTTCTGTATAAATACAAGCCCCTTCTTCAATAAGAATTGAGTTTTCAATTAATTTAAAATAGTTTTCATAGAATGAAGAGAAATGAAAAAATGACATTTTGAAGATATTTATATAGAATATAGTTTTATATGGATGTGAGACCTAGACAATATCAATAGATGAGCCAAAATGATTGGAAGCATTTGAAATGTGTAATATTACAAGGATGTTGAAAATAAGTTGAATAGACAAAATAATTAATAAGGAGATTTTTAAAATAATGAAGGACTATGAAAAGAACTATATTATGAAAAAGTATAGTAAAAAGACTGAGTGAATGGATAGGACATATTATTCAGCATAAAGGATTACTAAAACTATTTATAGAAGGAAGTATGGAAGGAAATAATAAAGAAGACCTTGATTAGTCAAACTACTAGTAAGGGACTAAGAACGATATTCTTATGTGCAAAAGAAATGGCGAGCAGATAAATGAGAAAAGTGGTCATTTTCAAATCAATCTTGAATTAAAACCATAGAGAGAGTGAATAAAGCAGTTTTTGGTACTGGAAAAAAAAATCATATACAACATATTTGCTCCAATTTACAATGATTATTTTACCATAATTTGATATATATATTATTGTCAATGCAACACTGTCAACTGGACTCTGCTTAGATTCATTTTTCTTTAGCAATAGTTAATCATTACTTTCTTAGAGATATACATTGAATTCCCATCTATATACTACCTTCCCAATTTCCCACCTACAACAGTGGCTGCACCCATCCACATTATCCTAGGACAGCTTTTTTTTTTTTTTTTTTAAATAATTTAAAGTAAAGATAATCATTGTTATAGTTTATCAAAATACCATTTGTTTTTTTTGTATACCAATATTTTTTGTTCAGTCAGTTTATCAACAAGTATGAAGTGATATTTATAACTTTTTATTTAAAAAAAATTCAGCATTTAAAATCTTAACTCTTGTAAAAAAAATTTTAACATTGCACTTATTTCTTTATATTACCAGTAAGATAAATTTAAGAAAAAATAACCTTGCATTCAATATTGAGCTTTTAGGTATTTCAATATAAAAGTTATGAATTTTTAATTTTATACAATCTTCAAATGTTTGTAATTTTGACTAATTTTGCTAAAATGTGTTGTTCCAACAAAAATAAAAAAATTAATAGGTATAGACATACTTCATATAATTGGTAGGCCACTATTGTAGGTGAGAAATCAGGAAGGTAGAGTGGAAATTTAATGTATACCTATACTCAATAATTAATTATTGCCAACGAAAAATGATTCTGAGCAGAGTTCAGTAATGCATGTTTTAAAAAGCCAAAATATTATGATTTGAAAATAATAAATTTTGTAAATTTTCCCTTTTTCCCGTGTATAATGAAAACCTCTAAAAAAAATAAAAAAATAACCTCTTTAAAGTACCACCCCAGTTAAACTTCCTTTCATAAAAGATGCTACACTTGAAGATCGGAACAAAATTTATAGTAAAAAAAAAAATAAACATTATCACACAAAATAGTCTAAATAACCCACCTAAATCCACCATATTTGTCCCAGTGAAGCTATACCTAATTGTATTATTTTATTCATTATTTTACTGTGAGCCTACTCCACAAAGGAGAAAACATAATTTACTAATTAATTGTGTATAAAATAAGTAAATGATGGCATCAGTGGATGTATTATGAAAACAGATCCCTACTGTTAGTGAATTATAAAAAAAAAAGTGTACAAGATTATATAGCTAGTATTGACATATAGGTATAATACAAGGTTTATAGAACATCTATAGATTAAAATTTATAAACCTTGGGTATAATATAATAACTATTATAGGCATGTACAGAATTGAAGTTTGGAGCATAACCTTATTTATATATACAGAATATACCGGAACAAATCTAGTTTACAACCAAAGTTCATTTTTCAAACTTTTTTTTTCAAAATGTGTGTTTTTGCCTATATATTATGAATCTAAAAAAACAAAAATTAGTTGAACTTCATTTGGAAATTATGAGAGAAAACTTAATGAAATTCAGGTTTTCCATTTTGCGGATTTGTTAGTGAGAATTTAACATTTTAAAATTTTCTTATTTTTTTTTTTGATTTTTTATGCTTAATCCATTGGTATAATAATTAAAACTTACCTATCATTCTTAGTTTTGAAGTTATTGTACATTAACCTTGAAAAATAGCATTTTGGGTACATCTAGGGACCTAGTGGAGTCACTAGGGTTTGAATGTATGCAACTTTAAATTTAAGCCATAGATTTATTCTAACTTCTATAAAAAACTTTGTTATCAAAATATCAATAACTACAAATTATAATAATTTAAAAAATGAGCTTGGGTGGTAAACTAGATTTATATCTATATAATTACTATAAAATATAATATATTTGAATAGGTGTATATTATTTATAAATTATACCAAGCACTAGTCACCTATATACATCTGTATATTATAATTAGGGTTCGGATTATAATGCAAATTTCATATTTTTCTAAATATCCTAAAGCAATGTTTTCCAAGCACAAAAGACTTAATACTCTTTACATACGCTTAATCTTTATAGTCTTGATAGTGTGCCCTCTATTATCTTAAAAAAAATGCAAAAATGTTATTAAATATAAACCGATTTCTAAATTATCTATTATCTCAAAACTATTTGAGTCTATTATTACTAAAAAAAACTATCTATATTATTGTCTAATTATATTTCTCCTAACCAACATGGGTTTTGACCTAAACAATTTGTTTTTACGAATTTACTCACTTATACTGATTTAATTTCCTCTATTGAAAATGACTTTCAAATTGATACAATGTATACAACTATATCAGTAGTTTTTAATACAGTAAACCATGACATGTTTATAATCAAGTTACAAAAATTTGGACTGCACAGTAATTTTGTTAATTGGTTAAATTCCTATCTTATTAATAGAAACCAGTCAGTTAAATTGTCACGTTCAATTTCAAAATTTAGAAAATTTATTATCAGTAAATATTTATAAATGCAATGTTATTTCTTTCACAAAAAAAAATATTTCTTAGTTTTTAATTATAAAATTAATAATATTTTCATTAATCGAGTGGATTCAGTCAGAGATTTGGGTATTCTATTTTTTTGTAATTTATCTTTCTCTTTTAGTTTTAATTAAATTAGACATTTTAAATGCTAGGTTTCATATTAAGAAGAACCAAAGAATTTAAAAATGTTCATGCATAAAAACACTCTATTGCTCCCTTGTTAGGTCTAACTTAGAATTTGGTTTATTCATATGCAGTCAAAATTTCACTGATAAACTTATTGACAATGTTCAATATAATTTCTTAAAGTTAATTGCCTTCCATTTAAATTTACCTATTTCCAGAGATTCAATGTCATTAGTAGTAGATTCTATTTATATTCAGCAATGTGTGGTTAGACTAAGCTAGGTTATTTGTCCAAGATCTTCTCAATAATAATATTGATTGTCCTGATTTATTTTTAAAATCAGTATTTGTATTCATTAATACTGGATTAGAAATACAAATTAAATTTTTGTTCTTTTTTTTAAAAAAACAAATTTGTGCACAGATTCTTTTTTCCCGATAGTGTTTTTACTTTGTAATCTAATTTGTACCAATGTTGATTTTTAAGAATGCTTTAGGTCAAAAGCTTTAATTATTTTTTCAAACTAAAACTTACTTACTTTTATATTTTTGTATTACATTACCTTGTCAATATCTTTCATTCATTTATAATATTACTGTATGTATTTTTCTTTCCCCTTTTTATTCTTTTTTTTTTGTTGTTCTTGATGTTATCATTGTTTATTGTATTTAAAGGGTTATTATCCCGTAAAATATTAATAAATAATAAATATTGACCATTTTTTTTATTTTTTGCTGCTCAACTCCAAAAATGTATGGCCTTAAAAATGTTTTTTTCAAATTATCCAGCCATTATTGCCAACAAAGTAGATAACATATATTTTTACCATCTATGCTATTGATGGAGTTGGTGAGCAGTTATTTCTAAAAAAAAAACAATAACTCACGAGAGAAAATAAATTTTATATTGTTTTATAACGTCTTTCAAAATAGCTATTGAACTATTGGTTTTATCAAAAACACGCCAATAAAAATTTCGTAAATGATAACCATAATATTACAATGTCTTTGATATCTTTGATGATAACATAAATTTATTCGTTATGAAGCATCGGCACAAATTTATAGTGAACTATTATGGTACAGTTATTCATACTAAAAATTCGTCGGTACTAACTGATGTAAATTTCCCTTTGAAAATCAAACCGGTGTGAAGTTGAGAAACTTTTTGGAGTAACCGGTGTTAAAATTAATGACACCAGTTTAATTTTTCTGCACCATCACGTGCATATGGTGCAAACAATTTACAAAGGTTTCATCCCCTCCCTTTTTCCTCTCGAAATAATCGAACAGATAAAAATAATAATTTAATTGATAACAATTAGTTTTAATGCCTATGATATCGAGAATTCAATAAAATTACCTATACTTATAGTATATATTATATATCTACCTATATTTGTTTTTTTATAACAAAATTAATACTATACTCTAATATTTAATTTATATTATTATTGTTAATTTTGGATGATGGTGGGGATACACTGATTTCCATCGTCGAATATCTGTGGTTGGTGTAAAATAATCAGTATCAAGTCTTAGTAAACCAGTACTGAATGTATATCAAATTGTTCCAACGAATTTCTAGATAGTAACTAATGGTGACGAAGGTATTCGTTTATAAACTTAACCACTCCTGTTACTCTACTTATGACCACAAGTAACTGTATAGTGTATATTAATATATTATTATCCAAATAACCAAATACTTTCGTTATCGAATGCGTGAAATGTGTAATAATAAGACACCGCCCATGTAACAACTTGCTCAAAGATTGAACGATAAAATATAAACAGTCTGAGCATTTGGCAAGAATCGACCGTATATCTACATTAATTGTGTAATTCTTATAATCGAAGCATTGTAAGTTATTAACGGAGTAGCTTTTTCATCAAATTAATTAGATATCTCATCTAATCGTCCATCCTCTACGATATCATTAATATTAAGGAACTGCCGGTATGTACTCAATAGACAACCATTCAAAAACATGATATTATAATTTTGTTTTTATATTAATTGTATAAATTAAAATTGTATTAGTCTTCTCTCGTGGCATTAAATTCTTATCCTTTCATTTCCATTGTTTCCTATCTCGTACTTCAAATCCGTTCGATTTCATCTGGGTTCCTAGCCATTCAGGTATCCTAGGGAACAAAATAGCGGACCAGTTTGTTACGTCATGTTCCTATTCCTTCTTCAATTAACATCCCATATTTCTCCAGCCCTTAAGACTAATGCTTCCAGGTCCTGGAATCGTGAATGGGTAAATTTACCTCAACCTTTGCCACCTCTTTTCGTGTTGTCTACCCTTCTATCCCTCCCTTCTCATGGTTTCACAAAATTCCCATTACTCGTTTTACCATTGTTTTTATTTCTCGTTAAAATTAAATCATAACCACCCATCTCTCAATGATTCTCCTTTTTGTTTTCGTTATGACGGCTTCGATATTTGTAACACTTCCCATCTCACCTTCAATAGTTCTACCCTTTCCAATAAGAGTCATCTCTCTTCTTTATGTTCTTCTAATGATATTCCTTTTTCTCTCCTTCATATTTTCCAAGGTTCCCTTATTTATTGAATAATTAATTTCTTTTTCTCTGAAGGCTTTTTTTTATACTTGTTTTTATTATTTTGTAATGTCATTTTTATAATCACTGAGGTATATATGTTTATTACAACAATTAATAAAAATAAAATTGACTATCGCTACCTTTTCCCATCTGTAAAATATTATTTACAGATTATTAATTTCCTCATGGACATATAGGTATATTATTTTGATTATGTTGATATAGGTAAAACAGCTGCAACGACAGGAGGTAGTAGTTCACGATTTTCCAAGTTGGTAGGTGGTGGTGATGCATTATATATAATGGGAACTATTCAATCACCAGTCCATATACCTGATTCTGAACAAATAACAATTGTTGTGCGCAGTGTAACCAGTAATGGCCCCTTGGCAGTAGATGTTGAATGGTGTATAGACACCGATGATGAACCCTATGGATACCAGTGTGTGGTAGCATCTCCGAAAAAGGAATCTAAACTCAAGGGGCTGAAGTCATTTATTGCGTACCAAATTACACCCACGGTTGGTTAATAATTTTTTATAAATCATATTTTTATATTTTATCTTAATTTTTAAGAATATAAATTTTGTTTTTGTACATTTTTTCACAATTGTGTTTTATTAATATTAAGTATATTATTTTAATACAAGACAAATATTTAATTTTACACCAGCAATTTATTTATTTATTAGAATTTCTACTTTAGATAAGTTATTTTGTGTAGATGTATAGTAACAAATATGACATAACAGTGTTTTTAACATTTAAACAATGGGGTTGACTGTAAAAACCACCTAATAACTTTGTTATCCACTCTTCAAATATAAAACCAAATTTTGTATAAATAAGAAAAATTACATAGTGGGTTAATTCCCAGTGTTAAATTTTATTTATGAAATATTATATTTATTATATAGATAATGTAAATATATTTTTTTGGTTTGTATATGTTGCAGTTTAACAATATTCAAGTATCTAGGAGATACAAACACTTTGATTGGTTGCACGAAAGATTATTGGAAAAATATTGCTGTTTAATACCGATACCACCATTACCGGATAAACAGATATCAGGTAGATGCAATAGCAATAATTATGCTACTCTGATTTATAAATTATAGTTCTAAAAATTAGTGTTATAGTGAGTAGTGTAAAATTAGTGAGTAATATCAAATAATTAATAAGTAAAAAAAATGTTTATGCATATTCAGGCCGGTATGAAGAACATTTCATTGAACGCCGAAAACAACAGTTACAAGCATTTGTAGACGCTGTTTGTCGACATCCTGTGCTATCACGTGGTTGGGTATGGCGACAACACTTTATCACATGTACAGATGAGAAACGTTGGAAATCAGGTAAGCGAAAGGCTGAATCGCGAAATACAAGTGCCGAAACTCTTGCTGGGGCAAACATATTTTTTGCCATTCAGGCTGTCTCTGCGGAATCCAGTGATCAAGCTCCTGCTCTCATTAACCAAGCTTTGTTGTATGTTTCTGTTTTATTCCTACAATTAATAGCAACTGTACTACAATATAGAATGATATTAAATTTGTATTTATTCTATGGCTTTCAAAGGGATCGTGAAGTGGATGGATTTCAGAAATTTGTGGCTGGACTAGATGGAGCGCTTAAAAACATGGCTCAGACAGTGGCAGAACAATCAAAACGGGTGCAAACATGCTACAAACGGGATGCTCAAAGATTAGGCCAATCATTTTACATGCTGGGTCATGCTTATAGTGGTAAGAAATCTTATAATATGGTAGCTATCCACTGCGCGTGATGAATGGCACCTGGCATTTTAAATCGAATATTATTAGGAAGTTTTTCACCCTGAAAAATTACTGTTAATTCTAGTAACTCTCGGTAATCATCTCTTGGGTGATTTTCTAATAGTTGATCTCTAGAAAATTTGATAATATCATCACATACGTCATTTACAGAATCCATTATAATACTATTTTGTATGCCAGGATTATAATTTTTAGTATTTATTGTTCCCCAGGCATGTTGGAACCTTTTAAAAATGGCCACGTCTGGGCCCGATATCGCCCTANTTAGGAAGTTTTCCACCCTGAAAAATTACTGTTAATTCTAGTAACTCTCGGTAATCATCTCTTGGGTGATTTTCTAAAAGTTGATCTCTAGAAAATTTGATAATATCATTACATACGTTATTTACAGAATCCATTATAATACTATTTTGTATGCCAGGATTATAATTTGTATTATTTATTGTTCCCCAGGCATGTTGGAACCTTTTAAAAATTAATATTATACTAAAAACATACACAAAACTTCAAGTTCATCATGGGCACGATATTTTCTTTTATTTGTCGCTTGTTTGCTATCTTCTATGATTTTTTCTTTTTTTATCATTTTTTGATCAATACCAAGCAACGACCCAGGTCGACCTTTCTGTCTCTGGGCTATTATAAATACTTTGTCATTCTCAATAGACAGTAAATCTAATGCATTTGCACTCGCTACGTCGAATAAATCATCTAAATTTGATAGAAACTGCGTATTTTTTTCCATTTGCGTTGCACTTTTTCTATATTCTAATTTTTGTAAATTTCTCCACTCTTTGTATAAACCTTCCAGCTTGTTCACACACTTTTGTTCTGTTCTCGTTGGTATGCGTGCCTTCCGTCAAAAAATGATTGCTTTTTGTATCACTAATGTAGCACTTTGATGCATATTTAAGTTTAATTTACGCATATTAAAAAATAGTACCGACAAAAATTGTTTGTTTGATTGTAATTTACTACCAACAATTTGATTTGTACTATATCCAATTAAAAAAATATATTTCGACTCACGTAAACTATCCCTGGTAACCATTGTAAGTCACTAAAATAAAATGTATGACGNGTAGAGAATAAAGAATGTAGATAATATATTATTTGATTGTCTGAGTCATAAAAATAATCTTTAGGTAATAATCGCAAAATATGGGTACTGGGTAAAGTGCATATTATTTATTTGTGCAATCGACCCATACCCGATAATGATTATGATTTTTTTTTTTTGACCTTTTAGTTCAAATATTTAAAAAAACTTTAAATTTATAATATTAATTATAAAAAACAAACTATTGTAAATTTAGTTTTCTATAATTTATAATCTAAAGAATTTATGGTGAGATTCTTTTCTCTAGAGTTTTGTTGGTTTTATAACAAAAACTTAACGATTTTGAAAAATTTTTCTATATTTGTAACTTCAGAGCTGTTGTGGCACGGGTTAAATTTATTTGATTTGTCTAAAACTTTATTTCTATCATTATTTTTAGTAATGGAACTTATTAAGGGGGAAGTAATTTGAAAAATTTGGTTATTTTTTTTTCATACATAATAGAGGACCACCCTAATATATATATAAAATACCACATTAAACCAATTTTTTTTTACCACTAAGTAAAACTATAATGAATCTCCTATTAAATTTTCAAGCATTTATGTATAGTTTAACAATTTTATCCACAAAGTATCTACCAAATCAAAATACTTGCTAAATTAACATATTATATATAAAATAGCTCAGATTCAACTCAAATATTTTTAAAATTTTACCTCAAAATTTAAAATCTCAACGAATATTTTTAATTGAATTAAAATAAAGAAACATTATTGAAAATCATAAAACCATTATTTTCAAGAAGTTTTCTGTTCTTTCTAAATTTGTTTTGATTTAGCTCAATTATTATAAAAACTTTAGAACAAATCAAAAAATATAAAATGCTTACTCACCAATTAGATTATAAATACACCAAAAGATCACTTTGCATTTTTCGATTAAAGCAATTTTTCTGGTAGAAAATATAGTTTCCAAAACTTAAAAACAATGAAATTGGTTTTGCAGTAGTTTGCTGTAAATATTTGTTGTTTTACATATATTTATGTTTTGCTGATATTTTCCAATTATTTTAAAAACCCATTTCAAAATCAAAAAATGATTTCTCTAATGCACCAACTAGATAAAATTGACTTTCAGAAAAGTTGATACACTTGATTAAATGTACTTCTCAAAAAGTTATTTACATTCAGAAGAAATAAAACCAATAGATTCTCAACTTTGGGAATTTATAAAAAAAAAAATTAAATAAGATAAGAAAATAAATTTAATTATATGCAGATATTTATGTATCAGATATATACAGATAATATTCAATTATAATAAGACATGCTGCATATTATTTTAAAATTGATTAAATGTAAGACTGAAGACATAAACTTTTTATATGCCATATCACCTATTTCGTTGGTAATTTTCTTATTTCCTAATCTTTATTTGTTTTGTTATTTTGTAGGTTCATCATCTTCTTCAATTGGAGACATTAGTGGTAATGGTAATGCAATTAGTCAAACTACTCGGCAATTAATGAGTGCATTAAAAAAGACTGGTGATGTATTCAATGAGATGGGTGGCCGGTTAATGGACGAGCTGCCTGCTGCTGGTTGGGACTCCTTTGCTGATATGCTGCATGTATACCGAGGTGTTGCATCAGCTTTCCCTGACATACTGGCTGTGCATAAGGTTATATATTCATTCAATAAGTTTTCCAGTATCATATATAATAATGATAATTAGTTGTTTAACCTATAGAATTGATATAAATGTGTTATTTTTATAATTTCACTATTTATTTATTACCAGCATGACGATCAAATTAATATAATTAATAATACAAATTACCACTTATTTTATTACCTAACATTATTCCCCTTAATTTTGAATTAGTATTTATTAGCATTATGCACATGTTCTTTAATTATAGTTTGTAATAATTGCACATAAAAATTAATTTCTTTCTGTAACAGAGCGCAGTGCAAAAACGTAAAGATTGTGAACGACAGTATTCAGATGGTGTGCCAATTGGAGTTGGTAGTGAAGTAACAGGAGGTTCAGGAGCTTCATCTGGTGGATCTAGCAGTGGAGGTACGACCACAGTAGCAGATCCAGAACAACAGTGGCGGCTATTGCGTGAGGTTCAACGCCGGACTGACTTAGTGTCCTATGCTTTGTTGGCTGAGATCAATCATTTTCACCGGGACCATGTACTTGGTCAAATGGCTGGTCATTGTCGTCAGTTATTACGTAATCAGATTGAATTTTACAGAAAAGTAAGTGATCACTTGCCTGTATAGTTATTAAAAAAGTTTGTTGAGAAATGTGAGATATAATAGTATACTAGTAGACCGCAAACAATTCATAACAAACAAATATGTAAACAAAAATAATTAAATAGCTTTTTTTTTTTCTGTATAATGTAGGAAACTAGAAATTGGTAACAAAAGTAATTCAATTTTCATATTCAAATGTCACCCGTTTAAAAATTTTAAATTACATAATTTGCAATTAATGTTTAATTTTAAAAGCCGTGGATAGAAACTACTTCCACTTTAATATGCTTAATAATTTTAACCTTGTTATAATAGTTTTTTGTTTTTAAATTAATTTTTTGTCAGAATACATTTTTGTTACTTTAAAAACCCAATTAAATTGTAACATACAAGTATCCTCACTTTGTATGATTATGACATTAGTACTTTTATTAATAATTAGGGACTAAATTAATATGCATTTAAAATCCACATAAAAAGCTGTTAAAATTGTCAAAAAAGTCCCATAAAAATATTAAAAAACAAGTGATTTAAATTCTCTCCTCTAATGTGTCTAATCTTACTAAATAATATTGTCTAATGCTAAAAAAATGGCTTGCACAAAATATTATTATTTTTAAAATGTACAATTTGGTTTGAAAAAAAATGATGACTTGTTAATCGTTTTTGTAATGTTAGAAAATTATTTTTAATAAGTTAGAGCCATTATAGATTTTATACTCCTCTGCCATTTTTGCTTTTTTTAATATTTTGAATTTATTTTTTTAGAGATCTGTTTATGCTTATGTTTTATTGTGGATTTTAATGCATACTAATCTGGTCCATATTAATAACCATTTTAATCCTTTTTTTTTAAGTTAAAAATTCTATAAAGTTTGATTAATTTGTGTAGATTGCTGATAATTTAGAAAACGTTTTACAACTGTATCCTGAAGATGGTAATGAAGAAATCCTTGCAGGATCTGCTGCAGACCATCATTCCCAACAACCGCTATATAACCAAGGAGAACATCAATATTATGCTAATTAGTAATGCAATACATAGCTTTGTTTAGTAGTAAGAGTAACATGAATGGGTAACAATAATGTGATAACTGACTAAACTACTATTATTTTTTATTCGCTCAATGTCCATGTTTGCACACAAACATATAATTGCTTTTCATATACCTAATATAATTTATTTTTAATGGGGCCATCAATGTTGCACTAACATTTAAACAAATATTATTGAGTATATTGATTATACATTATTTTGTCTTAACCATGTTAAGTGAATGTTATTATTATGGAAAACATTCAAATTTATCTTTAATCATTATTCCATTTATGATATATAATAATTATATTATTTTTCTGCATATATTTTGTTTTAATTACTAATTTTATTTGTATGATTATAACTATTTTTAAAAAGACTTGATGTGTAAGAGTAAACAACTTATTAACTATATGCTTTGATTAGTATAAATATGAATATTTCAAATATTAAATATCAAAACTATATAGTTTAAATAAAACAAATAAACCCCCATTTAATATGCGTACAGAATTTAGGTTTATGTAAAATACAGTACTACAGGAACTGATAACTGTCAACCAATAGAAAAGTTTTATTGAGTTGGCCACTCTTTTATTCATCTAGTCTCCCAAATTAGTACTGTAGGGTTCTGAAGTAATTTTTCTTTTACTTTCTACCATGTTCATAGTTTTGAATTTACAAGTCATATGGGGTAAAAGTATATATATATTTTTTCTTCAGTAATATGTTTGTTTACTATACTTAAGAAGCTAGATAAATGTACAGCATTTAACTTATAAAACAAGAATTATATTGTGAGGTAATTATTTACCTTGTAGAAGGTTAAGAACCTAGACGTATTCTCTTATTTATTAATAATAAATAAATTAAAAATGTGGCATGTTATTAAATCAAATAAATACATTTTTAAAAGTTAAATTGACTAGAACAGCAGTTGTTATATTTTTGGTGCACATGGACTTCTGATGAAAAAGTTTTGGAAATAGGGAACCTCCTATATCAATACCTTTTTTAACAAAATATCTCATGTTTACATAATCAATATTGACTGATAGAGTAACCACAGTTTAAGAACTACTAGACTAGAACACAATTTTTAATAATATTTTCTCATTGAGCTTAAGTATTTTTTAATCAATAAACTACAGTGTTTTACCCCATTATTACCAGAGAATTTTGGTACTAGTGAAAGTATTTTTGAAACCCTTAGGTTTATATAGTTTGGATGGTGGAAAATGATAAATTAAATTAATTATCTATCAGACAAAATAAAACATTGGGTGTAAAAAACCTTTAAAATTTAACAATTTGTTCTATATTTAATTTTTTATCAAAATTAAAATAACAGGGATTTCACACCAATTATAATTTGTTAAAATCTATTAGTGTCTTGTTTAAATAATTTAATGCAGTTTCATAATATCAACTGGCAAATAAAACCTTGTGTGCCTTAGCTAGAAATTTATAAAATTTAATGATATTATATAAATATTGTGAGAATAAATATATGTTTTAAAATATATAATCATCACTTTGATTTCAAAGTATATTTTAATTAATATTTATGACTAAATAGTTCTGAGCCTTGATTTTAATTTATTGTACTTTACTCATATCTGTAATTTGTACTATTGTATACACATTTTTGCTTTATCTTTTCTTCGAAAATTTTCGATGATTTAACCATACCTATTATTTTATATATTTTATGCCATGCCATGATAACACGTTTTATTTTATCACAAAAGGAATAATATTTCAATTGAAATCTTATTAATTAATGTGTAATATCTAGTATATAATATTAAATAATATAAATAAAATACATATTTGGTCAATTTATATACTTATTCATAAACATATATAATCCATACACTATAATTATCATATACTATTTACATGCTCTAATAACTTAATTATAACATAATTATTACTGTTTTTTTTTTTCTGATTTCTTTACTTTTCCATATTAGAATATTATCAACATATACTCTGCCCGGTATAATTATTGATTTCTTACATGTTAACAATGTATGTAATATATGTCTATGTATGTATGTACTTTATATAAACACATTATTAATAACTACCTATATTTTTAAATAAAAAGCAATATTGTTTTATGCAAATTCCTAAATAATATAAATATTATATAATATTTTTTTATTATAAAACTGCAGCTGCTCATTCAATTTGTCAAAAAATAATAATTTCCATGTAAACTTTGTGATATAAAATATTTAAACTATATTGTTATATGTATTTTTTTGTATTGATAAATTGTTTTGAAAACTGGTTGAATTAACGTTAAACAGCACTATCATTTGCCACAAAATTATTACTGGTTGCTCCTATATTGTACATACTCATATTTACTTTACATAAATAACATATTGACTATGTACTTATATTTTTATAAAAGAAATGAAATGGCAATGTTAATGTGTACTAACATTATGTAGACTATATTATATAATTTTCATATTAAAAAAATCTATTATAAATTATAATGAAAAAATTTACATGCAATCAACATGTTTGTTGAACATGAATAATTAGCATGTAAAATTTGTAATGCAAAATATTTAAACAATATGTATATATATATTTTTTGAGAAATTGTGAATTTAAATTTTTTTTTTTAAGCGCGTATCTGTTATAATTTGTATAAGTATATTGAAATAAATAAAAATAATAGTATACATACCATTGTCAAATTATTTATCAATAAATTGACAAGAACAAGATAGCATAAAACTAATAAATAAAATGGGCAAAGAGAAAAAGTTATCGGTAAGTTCTACCAGTATCAGTAATGCACCCCCGAAATCTAAGCCCAGAGTAGTGACAATCAAGTTACCGGATTCGGAAAAGTTGTACACGCCATCAAAAAACAGAAAGAATACGGAAAAACCAGATCAAAATGCAGCAAAAACTGGGTAATTGAATAATCAATAAGGTAATTTAAAAACGTATAAGTTTAAACATTTCACCTTTTCTACATCACTGCGCGCCTATTGACTAGTCTTAGTATCAATATTTTATTGAAATGTTTTCAATCATTCAAATATGAAGCCCCGGGGGGAGTCGTTAGTTGACAATTGAAATAGTATATTATAATTGTTTTAATGATTCCATTTAACATGAAATAGGGCAAGAAATTTGGTGTGAATGAAACTTCTCCTACAGAGTAAAAATATTTTGAGTTGGATATTGTAAATAAGCAGTATTACTGGTTAAAAAATGTTACCACATTTCAAGAATCATTCATGATCGGTAATAATTAGAGATGTTACAAAATAGGAAAGTGTTGAGTTGAAAACTTTCAATGAAAATAAGTGGTATAAAATTGTATTGAAAAATGTTTTGTATACATGTACCAAAAATGGTATTTCATATTTTCTGTTGCACAAGGAAACTGCTGAATGAACTTTGCTTATTTCAAATAAATTCAACAAATATTTAACAATAAAATAGAAGAATGTAACAAATGGAACAAATGTAGAATTCAACATATCAGTTGCACATGCGCTTGATTTAAATGAAAATCTATGGGCTGAAGCAGTAAATTATGCTATTTTTATTACAAATCAGACTGGAACCAGTTCGGTTAAAAACAAAAATCCATCTGAACTTTGGTACCTACAGAATATTGATGTTAGAAAAGTAAAAATAATTAGTTATTAGGTTATGTAGTATAATGCCGTGCTTAGCAAAATCGACACCCGGTGCCAGAAAAATGTAATGATGAGTAAAATAAAAAAAGGTCCAACCTATCCATTAGACGTTCACTCATACGTTTATTAATAAAATATTCAGTTACAGAACTTAGAAATTGTCAAATGGCGCCTCTGTGGTCATAGCACCAGGTGTGTGGACACCTCTCGCATACCCCTTGGCTCAGCCCTGGTGTAGTATATCCAGCTAGAAATAATAATAATGAAGTATTTTAATATTATATTACAATATTGCAATTTTGCGCGATAGTCACGGGTGCAACAATGATTATGAACAAATGTCGCTTATCAAAGTTTTTTTTAGCCGAGAAACGAACGATTGCGAACGTTATTTTAGGCTACGTTGCCATATTGTTAAGTAGTATTTTTTCAATTTATTGTCTTTGCCACCCTTCATTTTAAAATTCTGACTACGCCACTGTAGGGTAGTATTTTATTTCATGAATTTGTATGTACTGTGTGCAGTAAAAATATTAATATACCTATACTTTATTCAGAATACGAAAACGTCGTTTTCTGCGGACGAAAACACGTCGTTCGCGCATTCATATCCACACTTCGACATTATGACTCGCTGTTTACACAGCGCTGAGATCGATAACCGCGCTCGATCATAACGATAATTGCCGAATAATTAACAAATCCGCTATCAGGTGGTCTGGCAGCGCTAAAAGCTCGGTTGAGATGCGCGAAGGCGGTCTGTAGTTCTTGACGTTATGGTTTTGAATATTATAGGTAGTATGTAATATGCGACCAGGCTGGGTTTCCGATGTCCCGGGTCTTGTTATTTTTCAGACAGATTCCATTCACCCATCATCGGTGAGATTTAGGCATGTCACTAATTTAATCTATTCTGTTATAGCCATTTTTATTTGAAAGACATCATTTTTTAGAAATTGGAAGAACTGATCCAATACTTACAGTGATGCGCTTTCGCTACAATACTTCCTCCTCGAGTGGCCATACTACGGGAACTTTGGCCACCCTGCTTGCTCCTGCACGATGACCCGGATAACCTATACTTATAATATTTTACTGTGGCGGTGTGGTGGTGCTACTTGCTTGTGCTATAATACTGTTATATTGATTTTTTATTTAATACTATTTAGCTGAAATATTTTTGGATATTATGTAGCGCCTTATATAAAATTATTAATTATTATTTAATATTAATAGTTAATAATAATTGATGAATAGCAATTGTTCAGAATAATCAGAAATTGTTATTAACTGTCTAGTCTACTTCTGTTATATACTGTAATATAGATATCTGTGATTTAATTCTATGTTGTAATTTATATATATGGTATAATTAATACCTACTTTTTATTTACCCATAATGTACTTTTTTTTTTAATTTTACAGAAATCTACCAGTCAACAAAGAGTTAAAAGTCAAAGCTAACAACAGATTCAAACTGTAGAACTAAATATAAGTATTCAGTCTCCTAAAGTAAAATCACCTTCAAGCAAGATAATAAGGTACTAACACTTAATATTTAAAAACCTAGTTTTATTTTATTACAAAACCTTCCAAATTATATTTTTTGAAATTTTAAAAAGAAACACTAAATTAAATAAAATGCACTATATTGCTTTATGCATTTGTAACTAATATAGGTAATAAATTCAGTTCATATTTTCAGTAATACAGTTCATTAATTAAAAGTTTTTTTTACTAATAAATTGTTTACAAAATCCATTTGTTTTAATAATGAGTAATTATTTGTGTAGCTAAGTAAGTTAAGTGCTTTGCACTTTTAAGGAATTTTCACTGGGCAACAAAAAGAAAATTTTTAGTATGTTGTATGTTAGTATGTTTAATATGTTATCTTATTTTCTATACAAAACATTATGTTAAAACTTAACACAAACCAATCAGTTGAAGGATCACAAGAAGAAAAGTCAGAAGTAAAGATGCCAAACAAGCGTAGTATGTTTATTTATGTTTAAAATGTAAGTAAATGTATTAAGTTCATAGGATTTAAACTAATTTTTGTTTTCAGGGATGAAGAAAAAACAGAAAAAACGGTCTGTTACTCAAATTCATCGTTCAATATTCCCTAAGGATCCATTAATGATATTTTTTGAGTTGTACAAAAATGTGCCTATTACATTAGAAGAAGAGACCCATAGTAATTGTGTAATTTTCACTGCTTCAATTATGGTAAGAAAAAGTTTATAACTTGATAAATTTATTTGGGACTGATCTGTCATGTGGTATGTGGTCTTCAGGCCTTTATATGATGTGGTCTATGTGCGCCCAGCTAGTTTTTACATGGACTTAATATTATTTTATTTTTTTATAACACTTTATCTCTATGGCCTTATACTTTATTTATAACTTTTGATAACAATGCTTTGGAATTTAGTAAAAGTGTGGACTCTGTGGATACCATCCATATACCTTTTTGAAATCAATGAATATTATCCACATATTCTGTCAGTACTAGTACCCCTTTTTAATTATTTGACCTTTTATGAATAATTGTTCTATGGTTGCATGTAGGATAATGCAATTTACTAATACTTAAGAGAAGGTCTTATATGCTGAGTTCAAAAGGGATATCCCTCTATAGTTGTAAAATTTTGTTTTGTCTCCTTTTTGTGATATTTTACTATAATTTTTATTTTTTTAAATTAGTATTTTTGACTGATAAATAATTGTAATATTTTTAAATATTATATCAATAATTAAATTCCAATATTGGCATATCTGCAGTTAGCATTTTAGCTGATCACAGACACAATCCCAATCTTACTTTCATTAATAATGTACTTAATGGAAAAATTGATTCTATCTTATTATTGTCCCAAATTAACTTTAAAATTTCATCCTGCACCTTATGTCCTGTCCCATTCCACATCCAATTGTTTCATTCTTACTATGAAATAAACCAACTATGTATGCTACAAGCCAATTTGGACCCCTCCTTTTCTCTCTTTTAAAATGTAAATTTTATTTACATTGTTATGTCGTATTTAATTGTACTTAATATTATATTCTACTTTGTATTTTTATTTAAAAAGCTGTATGGCTTTATTGTAAACATATAAATAAATGATTTATTTGTGATAGACCGCATACAAGTAAATTCACTAGTAAATGGCATACTCAGGCCCAGTGGCTAGCTTTGGGGTTTTTATAGGGCCCTTAAATTAAATTATAAATTTAGTTCTTTTTCTTATCCAGTTCCGTGACTAAACAATCAATGATGATATAAAAAGTTACAACTTCTAATTTTTAGATTCTGAGGGGGGCGAGAAATGTTTTAGTTTTACAATAATGTTTATTTTCAACAAAAATAATTTTAAAACCAAACTAATTTATATGAGGCCACCTTATTATATCGGGATCCGGAGACAGCAACTCCCCTTTAAGTATACCTTTGGGCATACTACATGATAGCCTTGATTTGTTTACTGAGTTACTTATAATATAATATTATTATTTTTATTATTAAGATTGATGGTCAATTGTATACTGGAGATCATATTTCCAAAAATAAAGCTAAACAAAAAGCATGTGAAAACTTATTCCGTTCTATGTTGGCAAAAAAAATTAGTGAAGATACTTCAAGCTTTGGTAACTAATGACGTTTTACTAAAATTATTATGAGTAGAAAATTGTTTATGAAAGGATCAAAATTCTATAAAAATGGCCAAAAATTACCTTTAGCAAAATAATACTATTAAAAAAATTATAAAAATAATGAAAAAAAACAAACAGACAAAATGCAAAATAAAATTTTCTCTTTTATTGTTATTTTTTTGAGTTGGGTGATTTCTGTATTATTGATAAAGGTACTAAATAGGTTATCAAACCTTAAATATAATTATTGACAATCGAAAAAGAAAAAATACCAAAAATCTATTAAAGCAAATAGTACCTAAGTATTAATTTATGTAATACATAAATATGCTCTTCAAACTAACAAAATGACCAAAAAAACAAAATAAAAGTTTCACTTTTGAAGTATTTGTTACATGACTCAAATTATGTACTTAGAAATCATTCTTAGATTACACCAGGAAAATAAGAAATATTTACATTGAACCCTGGTGCTCTAATCATAATGATTATATGGGTGTGAATGTATAAATTCACTTATATACTAAATGGTTTTTTTTTTACCTTTATTTCTCTAAAAGCTTGTCATAAGTGAATATTCAAATATCTGTGTCCGTCATTAATGTTTTGAAGAATAAAGATACAAAGATATAAAATATTAAATTCTGAATGATTTTAACTCTTGATAGGTTAAGTGTTATACACAAGGTAGGTAATATATATTATGTATTACTACCTATTGGTTTAGATAAAAAAAAATAATATTATCAAAATTGGTATAAAACTTTAAAAAATAATTATAAAAGGTTAGTTAAAATTTTCCTACTTTGGTACATACAGATACAAGTAGAGCATATTGCTCACATAGCTTATTTTTTTATTTGAGAACAAACTTCAATCTCCCAGATCCTCAAAGTTAAAAAAAATCACTTCAAAGTGGATAGCTTACTAAATGATATATTCTATAGAATTGTACAATGTATCATTCAAATTTAATATTTTTTTTTTACATATTCTTATTTATTTAATTTTTGTAAATATAAGTTATGATAACTTAAATAACTGGTTTTTTTCTTGAAAAATCAATACATTATTAATTATAATTAATTTAATTTGACAAAAAAAGAAAAAGTTGCTTTTACTGCAGATGAATCTACAGTAATGGATAGTACTGACAATATTAATTCTGCTGAACCTATGGAACTGCCAGAAGAAGATTTTCCATGGTCACATTTTGCTTCATTAGCCATGCATACCCTTATAAATCAGTGGGATATACAGTCTGCAACAAAAAAATTGAATGATGCAGCAAGCAGTAAAGGAAAGGTGAATATTTATATTTTATAATTTTATTCACTTCTAAATTGGAAACTGTCTACATAAAAATGTCAGTATAAACAATTTCACTTATCTAATTCTAACATTAAAAATAGGTTAGTTATTTTAAAGGAGTAAATTTAATATATTTATATATACTATATATATATATATATATTATTTATTACATTATTATATATTTTATATATATAGTACTATAAAACTAAGTAATTTACACAACAAAAAAAAAATTAATCTTGCCAATAGTATTCAAATTATTGATTTTAATGTTTTATTTTATTTTTAGACCTGTGGTAGAAAAATGTTTCCTACTAACCCAGAAAATTATAATCCTGTTCAGTTATTACATCAAATGGTACCCAATGTTCCATTTTTTGCGACAATCAATATTTCAAATACTCCAATACGTTTTGAAACAAGCTGTGTATTGAATGGTAAAACATTTAAGGGTCAAGGTAATATTTTGTTAAAAAACTTATTAGTTTCATTAAAATTATAATACTTGTTAAAATGTTATATGCTGTATTTTTAAAGGAATTTAAATGATTCATTTATCACCAACAATGCACCATCTAGCAGTTTATCAATGATATTGATATTAGTCTAAGAGTAGTGACATACTATTATATTTATTTTGGTCAAAAATTTTAGATCATTATAGAAAAACCTGGGTAATAGCATTAATAAAACCGGGTAAGCAACCCCTACTGAAACAACAAATTCCTAATTGATTTTCCTCTTATGCCATACATACAAAATGCTAGAAAGTTAATACTTAACAGAATATATTATACAGTGGACAAATTGCTTATAAATGATTTTGCTCAGAATCATTCATTTGGAAATATAAAGATTAGCCTTAACAACACACTAAAGTAAATCTCAAATTATTACAAAAATAACTGGTTAAGACCAAACCCATCAAAACCCAAGTATGCACTTCATCTGAGAAATAAAGAAGCAAAATGAATAATCTGGGAAGGTGTTGAAATTGAAAATGCTGAATACCCAAAATACCTCAATGTCACATTAGACTGAACTTTATCATTCAAACATCACTGCTGAAGAGAAAAATACATGTGAGAAATAACCTGATTAGAAAGCTCACAAGACATCCTGGGTAGTGGATCTAAATACTGTAAGAACTTCTGCACTAGCACTATGTTACTCAACAGCCGAATATGAATATGCTGCTCATATGGGCCATATCATGTCATGCGAAAAAGGTCGACATTGCTTTGAAAGAGACCTGCAGGATATTCTCAAGATGTCTTAAACCAACACTGATCAAGGAAATACAAGCATTATTTATTAGGACATTAGGAGAGAAATTGCATCAGAAATAGATCAACACAAACAACTAAATGACCCCATCAACCACTACATGAAAAAAACACTCTGTAAATACCACACAAATCCAGAAAAAACTTCTTTACTATGATCCAACCTATAAAGAACTTACCAGAAAAAGAAAGAATTAACAGTTGGAAAGAGAGAGAACAAAACACTAGGATGGAATTAAAAGTAGTCGAGGATCATGGTTTTTCCTCATTTGTATATAGGGTGAATTTTTTTTCAAAAGATTTTCTACTGAATTCATTTTTAAAGAAAATATGAATGTTTATTCTAAGAAGAATTCACTATGACGGGTAAAAATGTAAAATATATAATATATACATAATACATGTATTATGAAATAATATCAACCATTCAATACAAAAAATAGAATACAAATGGAAAAACCTCAAACTTAAATGTAGATAGAATTTGTTTTAAAAACCAGTTAACAGTAGTAGCTGTACACCGGGTCTCATTGTATTTTTCAATCTCCTACTCGTCAACTCATTGTGTCAGTGTTTGATGCTGTCACCATGTTGCACACTGATTGGTGCATGCATATTGCATAACTTTTTTTTTTGGAACATTATTATGTTAACAACATAATCATTCGAAAAATATTTTTGAATAATTTTTTTTAATAGATTCTTATTGAACAATTTTAAATGATTAGGTTCTAAAAAAAATAAAAAAATATTATTTTCATAAAATGGCATGTGGTGCGCTTACACCTGCGTACCTATTATCCACCTCCACTGGACAATAGGCCATCTGCTATAGTCTACAATGCCTTCTAATAGAAACTATTTGTGATAAAAAATTATTTACACTTGGAAAATGACAAAGCGACAACATTCATTGATTTTTGGATCACAGAAATCTGAATGAAATGAAAGAAGAAGAAAAACTTTTAGATCATTGTGTCAGTGCCCTTAGAAGATATTGGGTCAAGCTTAGAGTATATTTTAATTTTTTGTAGGCCATCATTAGTTATTATACCAAATTTATTTTAAATATTGTTTTAATAGCTCAAAATAATAATGCATGTAATTGATTTAAAAATAATTTATAGGTCGAACAAAAAAGGAAGCTAAAAGAGAAAGTGCTATCACAGCAATTAAACATGTTTGGGGTTTTGATTACCATTCCATAAAGAAAAAATGAATCAGCAATTTTTTGTTTTATTTTTTAAAATTTGTTCTCAAATGTAATAGTTGATTTAATTTACTATAATAATATTACACTCTTCCTTGAAAATATATTGGTTAAATTAGTTAACTATATAATGTATGTATATACATACATATTTACATACAGGGTGATTTTTTTATCATGAATCACCAATTATCTCTGAGGATTTTAAGTGAATTTGATTTTTGTTTCTTCTAATAATTATGGAATCGGTCAAGCTTTATTTTTAAACCATTTTAAATTTTTATCCCTACTCCATATACCTTAATTAAGTGCATTATTTTGGAGTAACTTGATTTTCAATAGCAAACCTCCCCCCTCCTTTTGAATATTGATTTAAATAGAGAATATTTTTCTAGAAATTTTTTGATATGCATCACACAGATTTACCATTTATGAGTTATAACAATTTAAAGTTTAGATTGGAGGAGCAGAGAAGGATATGGAGTAGGAGTAAAAAATTAAAAATGGTTTTAAAATAAAGTTTAAACGATTCCATAATGATTAAAAAAAATAGAAATCCAATTCACTTAAAATCCTCTTGAGTTATTTCTAATTAATCTCTGGTGATTTGATAAAAATGGTTCATGATAAAAAAAAATCACTTTGTATATGTTTTTATTTTTACAAAATTATTATTTTAATAATAAACAATATTATAAATTTTTTTAAATTTTTATTCATATGAATATTAACTACAATTACCTTTATTAATGATTTTAAATATTATTAAAATATGTGTGAGAATTGTACAATCTTTATAATATTTATTGTTATTATTAAATTTATTATATTTAAGTTAATAATA